ATTCCTCCCTCCCACCAACTTTCCAGGTCCCCAGCAGGCCAGCCCCGTCCCTCGGCCTGGTGGCCTCGGAGGCACCCGTGATCCCTCTGGTCTTGGCTTCAAAGGCAGCCCCTGTGCCAGGGAGGCAGGCAGACCCCGGCTCACTGGCCCCACGCACGGGGTGCCCGCGTCTGCCCCGACCTGTGGGCCAGGCAGCCTGAGGGGCCCAGCCCGGGGGCTTGGAGGAGGTCGCACAGGAGCAAGTTCACGGTGACAGCTGTCGCTTGCACGGTGCATGATGACCCATTCTAGGCCCACGTCAGGGGCCACACTGCAGGACTTTAATCCCCAGGCTTCTGCCTGACAGAGGAGAGGCCCAGGCCGGCTCCCCTGCATGTCCCCTGCTCTAGCGGCCACATCCACATGGCTCTGCAGTGTCCCGAGCCCCATGCTGTCCCTACCTTCTAGACAGGGTCCCCACGGAGAGAGGTTTCCTCACGGACCCGTGAGGGCTTGGTGGTGTCTGGCGCCTTCCAGCGGACAGCGGTGAGAGGAGGGTGCGGCGGAGCGTCCCCAGCAGGGGCCGGGATGCACGTCACATAACCCTGCCTGTGTTGCCCGTGAAAACCTTCCTGCGATGCCCGGGTAGCGCCCACGGTACGATGCGCCGTGAAAGCGAGGCCACAAAGTCACGTGTGTTACGTGACCCGAGTCGTGTGGCGAGGGTCGAGAGTAAACCCTGGGACGTGGGTGCAGTGGGTGAGTGGACCCCCAGAAGACGTCCCCTATGACGGTAGACACGCTCCGATTTGAAGGAGGGTCTGCAGATGCCGTTAAGTGAAGGGCCTCAGGAAGGGACTGTCCTGGAACAGGTGGCCCTGCATCGACGGCAGGCCCTTCCAGAGGAGAAGGGTAGGGCCTGCTGAGGGCAGGGCAGAGGCCCCGGCCAGCAGCCAAGGGGCGCCTGGAGCCCCAGGAGCTGAGAGAGGCAGGGAGGACCCTCCCCGGGAGCCTCAGGAGGAAATGAGGTGAACACAGAGGCCTTCACCCCATCTCAGTGGTATCTGCCGAGCGTCTCATTTGCGCTCTGCACCCCAAGGGTCAGGGAGCTTGGCCAAGGTCAGCCAGCGGGAGGGTGTGGGGTGGACGCAAATGCAGGCAAGTGGCGTTTGTCCCCAGTGGCGCACCTGGAATGGGGAGCTGTGGGCAGAGAGCCCCTAAAAGGGAAAAACCCACTGTATTTTCTGTTTGCCCGGGGGGGGCTTCCTTGGATTTATTTGGGGCAGGAGATTTGCTTTCCTAATTCCGTCTGGCTTAGGCTCATGTGAAGACCCCCCCCCACCACACACCGCCTTGGGAACCCAGACCCCCCGACTCTCCCCTGAAGGTGTCAGGACCTCCTCTCTCTCCATCTCTCTGCCTCTGTCTCTGTGACTCTGTGTCTCTCTCTGTCTCCCTATCACTCTGTGTCTCTGTCTGCCTTTTTTTTTTTTAATGTTTTTATTTATTTCTAGGAGAGAGAGAGAGACAGCGTGAGCAGGGGAGGGTCAGAGAGAGAGGGAGTCACAGACTGAAACAGGCTCTCCAGGCTCTGAGCTGGCAGTCAGCACAGAGCCCGACGCGGGGCCCGAACCCACAAACCGCGAGATCATGACCTGAGCGAAAGCCGGACGCTTCACCGACTGAGCCCCCCGGGCGCCCCTCTGTCTGCCTTTCTCCCGCTCTCAGTGTGCCCCATCTGCCAGGCCTGGGGGGCTTAGAGAGGCAGGGGGCGGGGTCTTCAGTCACACGAGCCGGGGAGGAGCCCCCACAGACAGACCTGCCGCGGCCAAGGGCGCGCGTGCCTGCTGCACGTGGGCCCCGGTGACAAAGCCCGCAGCTGCCAGCCAGAGCCGCGGGAGCGCTGCGTGGCCACATGGCGCTCGTTGACACAGGCGGCGCCTCACCTCCCTCGGACCTCCAGCTATTTCCTGGGCGCGCGTCATCTCCCTGGGCCCCGGGGGCGGGCGGGCCCTTTCCCTCGGGCTCCCCGCGGCCCGCGCCTGTGGACCCACTTCCTCTGCAGACCCCACTCTCCAGGCACTTTTGAGGCTCCCAGGAGAGGAAATGGCTATGGCTGACCCCAGGGGTACTCAGGGCAGTGGGGTGGGGGGCACTTGCCCTACAACTTTGCAGGACAATAAGTTGTTTCTCAGGGTAATGGCGTCACTGGGAATGTAGTAAACCTGAGTGACCTTACCCGACCGTGTGTGTGCGAATCTCTCTCTCCTCCCTGTCTCCCTTTTCCTTCTCCGTCTGGAGTCCATGGCAGAGACTGGTCGGGAGCATTTAGGTCCTGATTCGGCTCAGCACGCCTGCGCCCCCGCTGGGCCCCCCAGGGGCAGTCCTCCTGCAGGGGAGGGGGGAAGCGGGTCTGGGAGGCCGTGGACGGGGAGCTACCACGCAAGCTGCGGGGACACCCCAGGCTACTCCTGGCCGCAGCAAACACGTGGGGGGCCTCGGAGGTGGCCACCCCCTCGGAAGCCTGGGTGCTGTCCTTTGTCCCTGGGATGGCCCCAGGCAGCGGCCACCTCCAGCCGGCCTGGCCTTTATCCGGAGCCCATTGCAGCCTTGAGAGTCCACCAGGCCTCCCTGCTTCCAGGGGCTCAGAAGGGACCCAGCACCCATCCTCTGTCGTCTCCCGCCAGGCGGGTCCAAGGGGACTGATCTGGGAAGGGCTAAGTCAGCTGCCCTGGAGCCCGGCCTGGAGGCCTGAGACGTCCCTGCTCTGCCTGCACACCCGTACGGCGGGCGGGGTGTGCCCACGAGGCAGGGCGCCAGGGAAGGCCGGGCGGTGAAGGGCAGGCGCGTGGCAGGTGTCCGCAGGGGGAGGCGGGGCTGTGCACTCCTGACGAGGGCAGCACCCCGGGCGTGCTGGCACCAAACCCCGGGTGTCGGCCTTCGAGCGCTGGTGCCTTCCGGACTGGCCGGGGCCCAGCACCGCTACCTCTGCCTGCCCCCTGCACCCCTCCGAGGATGTGTCCCAATGGGAAAGCGCTTTTCTTCCCTCTAGCGCTCCTTTGGGAAGGAGGCCCCTTAGGGATGGATGGAGGGGGGGGTGCCTACGGCCTCCCACGGGAGCACTCGGTCGTGCTGGAGCACGGGCATCACCAAGTGGGTGGGTGGTTACAAGGCAGAACGTAAGGAGGTGCCCCCCCCCCCGGGAGGCTGGGAAGAGGGAGGCACAGCTGGGGAGGGCGCGCAGAGGGAACGTGGGCGAGAGGGAGGCAGGTGTGTGGCAGGTGGTGATGGATGGGGGTGGCCTCCAGGAGCTCCTCCTGACCCAGACCTGTCACCCAGGAGTCCCCTCTCTCTGGGGACCAGTGATGCTCCCATTCCCACAGGTGGCCGAACGGAGGCTCAGAGAAGGAGAGGGACTTGTGGCTGGCAGGTAACTGGGTGGCAGGTGCCTGGCCGGCTCACCGCACGGCATCCGGGAAGGCTCCTCTCCCCCGGGGAAGTTCTGATATAAAGCTGACGCTCTTGCAGCCCAGGGACCCTGGCTCCCTGCTTCAAGAAGTCCCTGTGGTGACTGCTACAGAGCCACACGCTTCTCCTCAATTCCGCCATTCGCGTCACATCCCTATGAGGGCTTTTCTGGCACCAGGCCCCTGGCCGCAGACCCATGGGACCCATGGGGGCTAGCGGCGGTGGCCTCCCGGGGACACTCAGCTCAGGCCCGGCAGAGGTGGGGCCCAAGGCGGCCGCTGCCCTTAGAAGGAGGCTCAGGGGGCACCCCAAGGAGGCGGGCCTGGAGGAGGGTGGGTGCCCTGCCCACTGCCCTCCTCTGCCCCTCCCCCACACCAGCAGCACCCACAAATCAGGCAGCAAGGCCTTGCCTGGCTCCTGTGGTCGTGGGGGAGGGCGAGCAGGCTGGGCCGCCAAGCCGCCAGCGCCCCGGGCACAGACGGTTCTCATTCCCGCTGCCTGGAAAAACAAACTAGCCCTCGGCCAACAGGCTCTTTTTTATCTTGTGTTTGTTTTTGTTGCCATTTGCCTTTGCCTGAAGCCAGCGGGCCTGTGGGCGGCAGTTCTGCAGAGGGTCCAGCGGGGAGGCCCTGGCATTTCCCTGACCTTAGGGCAGCTCTCCCAGGAGGGGCGGCGGTGCCCCGGGGACAGGAGCCCGCTTCCTGCTCCCAGACTTGTCCTGTCCCGTGGGACACAGTGACTCTGCCCAGGTTGGGAGTCTGAAGGCACCTGCAAGGCTGGGATCGAGGCCAGCAGCACAAAGCCGGGGAGATCCAGGGGTGCCCTGAGCGCCCGCTGTGGGCCTGAGGCTGAGGAGCCCCATAGGCACCCAGGCCCTGGGAGGAGGCCCTAAGGAGGCCCAGGCGGGTGGCCGAGAGAGGGTCCTCGCATTTCACAAGGTGGGGAGGGCAATGTGGTGACCCCAGGTTTCAGGGGCGAGCAACAGAAGGGTCGGGGGCTCCCAGGGTCAGGCCACCCAGGTCCTGGTAAGGGCGGATCTCCTGGCTCCTCGGAGCAGGGAATTCACCTGGGGGCACGCGACAGTGTCCGTCATCAGCTGCCACCAGTGTCTCTAAAGTAGGGACAGTCATCCCCCATGGCGGGCACCCCGCTGCCGGTCCCGAGAAGGGGTGAGGAAGGCAGAGGACCATCAAGGGCGGCTGGCCATTTGCCAAACAAAGGCAGGGAGGCCTCACACAGCCCCGGCGCGGGCATGGGGAGGCCAGCAGGGCACTGCCACCCAGGCGCCTCGCAGGTCCCAGAGAACCCGGGCCGGCAGCCAGGCCAGCGCCAGGCCCTCGCCCCCGTGCCCCCTGGTGGGGGGGGACGGGGGGGGGGGCGCTGGGGGCGCGCGCGCGCGCTCGGAGGCGCCGCCCCTCTCCCCGGCCACGCGCAGGGGGGAGGGGCCCACGGCTCCGTCCGCGCCCCCCTCCCGGCGCGGGCGGCGGTGACGTCACGGCCACGGCGGGAGGGGCGGCGCCCCGCGCGCATCACTTCCTCGGCGCCTCCCGCGGGCGGGCGGACGGACCGACAGACGGGCTGACGGTGGAAGGTGGGCGGCGGACAGCGTACGGGGACAGGCGCAGGGCGGCGCGAGCGTGGGCTGTGCGGCCCCCGGCCCTCGGCGACCCCGGCCCCATGGCCGGCCCGGCCCCGCCCGCCGCTGACGAGCTGCCCGGCCCGGCCCGGCGCCTCTACTCCAGGTAGGCTGGGTCGGCGGGGTCCTGCGGGGACGTGCGGGGACCGGCGGACGGGCGGGACCGGCGGCTGGAGGCGGGAGGCCCAGAACAAAGGCTGCGGCAGGCGCGCAACGTGGCGGGGACGCGCCCTCCCTGCGGGCTGGCGGTCGTGGAGGCGCGGGGGGAGGAAGGGGTGCTGGGATGGGGGGCGCCCGGGGTGGGGGGGTGCGAGGAAGGAGGGGATACAAGGTGGGGGGACCACCCGGGGTGGGGGAGGGGATGCAGAGGTAGGGGGCGCACCCCCCTGGCGAGTGCGGGGGAGGAGGAGGTGAAGGGGTGGGGGACCCCGGGGGTGGGGGAGGGCATGCGGGCATGGGGGTCCACCGAGGCCTTGTGCCCATTGGAGTCCAGGATTAGCGGGTGGTCAGGGTGGTGGGCTGGGCTGCTGCTTGCTGGCCCCCCCACGGCCCTGGGACAGAGCCTGGGAGACCCCCGGCTTCTTTGGCAGCTGTGCTCCCCCCTCCCCCCCAACAGCTGGGCCGCCTGGCACAGCAGGTGTGTGGCACTTCCAAGCCTGGCACCACCTCCCCTCGGCCAGGGTCTGGGCTCTCGGGAGGCAGCATGGCTGAAGGGACCAGGCTTTGTCATGGGTGGGGCCCTGTTCCCCGTGGACCCACACGAGTCTGTGTTCAGGGGATCGCAGGCCCGAACCCGGGCTGCAGCGCCAGCCAGGTGGGTGTGTGGCGGCCTGAGAAGACACCTGCCTCTGGGCAGATTCCTGGATGATGCCAGCACCCCGTGCTCTGTGCTTCATGCTCTCGTCACGGATGATGGGGCGGCCCTGCCCACCTGCCCTGCATGCCTGCTTGGTGACTGTCGGGGGTGGTCCACAAGTGATGCCATGTGCCCGACCCGGGTGGGCCCAGGGTCCTCCTAGGGGAACAGACTGCCAGTGGGCACAGGTGCCCAGGACAGCAGTGCTGGGCAGGGGCCACTGGTTGGCCACAACCCCCAGAGGCAGGCCTGGCTGCCTCCAGGGGACCTGACAGGTCCCCAGCTTGGCCGGACATGATTATCACGCAGGCCTGGCAGCGTCCCCAGCTGCGGGGCCCTCCAGGGGTCCAGCCCTGCCCGAGAGGATTCTCCAGCCCCGGCTGGGCGGTGCGTCAGCAGCAGGCCTCTGTGGGCACCACCCCCCACGTGCAGTAGGAGGCCCTGGCAGTGGGGGGGGGGGGCTCCCAGCTCCTCCCACCTCAGTCTCTGTGCCACTGATCAGAGACACAGCCCCCATTGTGTGGTCCCAGGACTGAGTGCTGCCCCCCCACCCCCACCCCGGCCTGGCTCCTGGGCCCCACATAGGGGGAGGGGTGCGCGGATGGGTTTGCTGGCAGCTGCTGCTGGAGGCCTGCCCCGGGGGATCCCTTCCGTGGCACCCCGGTGGGAACGGCAGGGGTTGATCTGGAGGCTCCTGGCTGTGTGTGCGTGTGTGCGTGGGCATGTGTGTGGACGCGCGTGTGTCAGGGGTAGCTTTAGTTCTGGAGCCCTTGCGCCGCTGAGTATTGGGGTCCGTAAGGGGCTAGGCCGCGTCCGCAGTCTCGTTGGGGGTCTGGGGTACGGGCTGGTGCTGTGACATGCCAGGCAGGACGCTGGCCCAAGGGAGTGCGGCAGGGACCGAGCTCAGAGGGGATGCCGGGAGAGGCCCCGGGCCCAGCCTGGCATCCTGGCGAGCCAAGACCTGCGTTGAGCTCGAAGGGGCAAGCCCAGCACAGACCTGGGGTGCACAGCCACCGGCGCTCCGGCGGCGCCCGCGAGGAGGCCCTCAGGGAGTATGTGCAGCCGCGGGCAGGGCTGGTGGCGCTCAGAGCTGGCTCTCGGAGGTTGGCGGGAAGGGAGGGAGTGGGGGAGCCGGGAGGGGGGCATCTGACAGGTGGGTGCTGCTGGCTGGAGAGGAGGGTCGGGTGGCGGCACCTTTGGGCAGACAGGGTTGTCTACCTCCTTGACTCGGGCCGGGGAAGCCCACCTGTGGCAGCCCGGAACGTGGGGGCCCCGTGACAGCATCAGCTTGGTTGGAGCACTTTGCAGACGGCTGAGTGGGGGGGCCTCCAGCTCAGGCCCAGCCCGCCCCCAGGGGCTCCCCTGCCCATGCCAGTTTCCCGCCCAGTGCCGAGAGTTCAGTTCTTTTTTTTTCTTTTTTTAATGTTTATTTGTTTTCGAGAGAGAGAGAGAGACAGAGAGAGAGAGTGAGTGGGGGAGGGGCAGAGAGAGAGAGAGGGAGACACAGAATCTGAAGCAGCTCCAGGCTCTGAGCTGTCAGCAGAGCCCGATGCAGGGCTCAAACCCAAGAATTGTGAGGTCATGACCTGAGCTGAAGTCCGATGCTTGACCAACTGAGACACCCGGGTGCCCCACAAAAGCAGTTCAGTTCTTATAAAGTGGGGTTCAGGGAGAAATGGGCTTGGGCCCGGGAGGGCCTGAGCGTGACTGTGCTTCTGAGCCCAGCACGTCCCCACGCAGGGCGCTGGGAGGGGCCGGGTCAGGGAGGCAGAGGAGGATGGGGACGATCACGCTCAGCGCTGGGCCCACTTGCCTGGGGCAGGGATTCTGGCGCAAGGGCCTGGGGGATGGGGTGCAGGGGAGGGGCAGGTGGCCAAAAGGCCCCTAAAAATGGGGAAGCCAAGGGTGGCCCTCTCCCTGTCCCCCTCAGGCCAGCAGCTGAGTGCTCCGGGAACTGGGAAGGGGAGAGGGGCGGTGAGCACCCCCACTGTGGGGCGACCTGTTAGAGGTGTGCCCCAGGCATGAGGCACGTGGCAGGCGCACCCTCAGGAGTGGGCTGGGCACCCAGACCGCACCGCCCTGCCGCCCACCTGTCCCTACCAGCTCCTTCCCCGGGTGCCCCTGGGCACTGGCCCCGGCAGGGTCTCTGGGGAATAATGGCCGGGCCCCAGTGCTCCCTGGGAGCACAACCTCAGGTGCTTTCCTGAGCCTGGTGCCCCTCCGCCGGCAATTCTGGTTCCCACCATGCTGCCCACCCTGTGCTGTCCCCAAATCTCCTTGTTGAAGGGAGTCAGTGTGGCTTTGCTTTGGGGGCAACAGGAGGGGTGGGCGGGGGCCCCGGGGCCTCTGCGCAGTGACCCAGACTGTGGGTGACATCCCTGGAGAAGGAAGACGGTGACTTATTTAGCAGCAAATGGGGCTCAGGGGACACAGCGCCCCGTTAGCCATGTGCAGCGGGTGCCGGGGCCTGGCCTGGGGACCAGCCGCGGTGGCCAGCACCGGAGAGCCCCACAGAGTCAGAGAGGCGGGGACAGGAGCCCCCGTGGAGAGCAGGGCAGTTTGGTCTGGGTGCGGCTGGGCTGGTGGCTTCTCCTGGGGTGCTGTCTCGGATGCCCAGGCGAGGCTGGGGGTGTGGTCACCATGCGGTGGCTGGAACAGCAAGGCTGGCCCCCCAGGGAGTCGATACCTTTATTAACCGGTAAGCCGGTGGGCAGGCGGTGGGAGCCTGGGGGACAGAACCCGCTTCCCGGCCACTGTGGTTGTCCACTGGGAAGGTTGGCCTGGTGGGCCTTGAAAGGAAGGGTACACAGGGTGGTCGCGGCATCAGAGTGGCTCGGTGCAGGGGGTGGTGGCCCCATCTGGGCGGGCAGGACCCCCACAGGCTGGTCCCAGAGGGGTGGGGTCTGGTCTCTCCTGGGGAGGCTCGAGGCCACAGGTTGACAATGAAGCCTCTGTTCCCAGGTGGGAGGGGTCCGGGTGGCGAGGCTGCTGGGGAGCTGAGAGCACGGCCCTGGGGCCCTGGACTCTGGCCAGCCCCGCCTGGAGCCCCTGACAGTGGGGTTCTGGTGGCCCTTGAGGGGGACAGGCTGTCCAGAGGCCCCAGGCAGCCCTGCAGGGTGGATGTGTCGGTTGGGGGCGGGAAGGCCAGCTTGGCAGGTGGTGTTGGGGGGCAGAGCTCTGGGGTCCTCTACCCTGAGCAGGGAGGTGCGCCTGGCCAGGCCTGCAGGGCTCGGGAGACAGGAGAGGGTGGCCTGCATTCAGGGGGCCCCTGCGGTGGTTCTGAGGGGGTGCGGCTTGGGGGTCCAGTTTGTTCATAAGGTAAGGGTGAGGAGGAGGTGATCCAGGCCCTGCCCCGTGCCCCTCAGCTGAGCTGTCCGAGGCATGGACAGGTGGCAGCTCACCACCTGGACGCTCGTGCGTGCGGGCAGGCGGCTAGGCCCCTGTACCCGCCTCTGTCGTCACCTGCCCGGCTCCTCCCAAGACTCCGCCTGCCTGAGTGGGCAGGGCCTGCGGGGCCCACAGGCTGGCGCTGGCCTTGGGGTCTTATATCTGGATGGCCTTTGCCCTGGGCCCCTCACACTCCTCGTCTTCTCGGACTCCAGGTGGTTTTAGGGAGCAAGGCCCTCCCTGGCTCCCCAGTTCCCTCTGACCCCAGAGCCACCCCCCCCCCCCCCACCGTCTTCCCAGGGCCTAGAGCCTCACAGCCTTGGACCCTCTGCCTCCCTGAAGCCCGTTGCTGAGCGGGGCAGGGGGTCTGGAAGCAAGAGTCTCCCCGCCACCCGCCGGCCCATCCAGGCCCTGCCCTGCTTGCTGACGCTGCTGATCCTCGGCTCTGAGCTGCCCTGATCCCTTGATCCATCTCAGCCCCCAAGAGGCCCCAGACGACCTGCCCAAGAACCCAGGGTCTCCTGGAACTTAGGACGCCGGAGCCTTTAGCCCACCACTCTGGGGTGGGGGTGGGGGGCAGGGAGCCACGAGCCCGGTGTGTCCCCAGCACCAACGGCCAAGGTGGGGTGGGATTTGGCCAGCCAGGAGGGAAGCCTGGTGCCCCGCGATGCCGGCTGCCTCCGCGGAGGGCCAGCCTGTGGCCCTGAGCTTGGCAGAGAAGGCCGTGTGCAAAGTGGTGTACGGAGCCCCCCGCCCCCGCCCACTGCTGCTGCCCGTGGGCCTGGAGCTATGGCTGTATGTGGAGAAGATGCGTCACCTGCAGAGGAAGAGGTGCGGTGGGGGGGAGGGGAGTGGGGGGCGCACCTGGGTGATGGGCGGTGCCTGGGGGGGCTGGGGTCCAGATGTGGTGCGAGGTTCTTGGGGTAAGTGGAGGGGGCGGGGCTTCCAGCCCTGGACGCCTGCCTGGTGCCTCTCCAGGGGGCCTCCTCCCGTTCTGGGGCCCGGGCCAGACCCCCCCCATCTGTGATTTGGGTTGGCCGCGCTGGACACCTCATCAGTGAACCCCTCACCTCTTTGGCTTTGGGCCCCAGGCCCTTCCCACACCAGAGGCCTCCTTCGAGGTGGTGGTGATGCCCATCTCTAGCTAGGCAGGGACACCAGGGTGGGGGAGGCCGCGCCCCGAGTCCTATCTGTCAGAGCCAGCGGGGCGGGCTTGGCTCTGGAAACACCAATGTCCCAGACCCACGCCCCAGTCCTCCCAAGTCATCAGGGCGGAGAGGTCAGTTCTGGGTGTCAGACGGTGGGGTGTGCGGCCCTGGCCGTGGGAGAGGGCTGCCGGGAGGCATCTGGAAGCCTTTCTGGGCGTCATGGGTAGGAGGCCGACGTTCTGGCACCCCGCTCTCTGGGAGGCCACGCAGGCTCTGCCTGGATCTGGGGGAGGCAGGGCGGTGCTGGGGTCCTAGAGCCCACCTTCCCAGGAGGCGCGGCCCCCACCTTGGGGTCGAGGTTGGGGGCGGGCTTTGCATCAAGGGCATGTTTGGTGAGAGTGGTTGAGAAGCAGCACCCTGGATAAAACCTGTTGGTGTGTCGAGGGCTCTGTGTGTTGTGCCCCAGGAACGGCCGGTCGCTGCCGGACCCTAACAAGGCAGAGAGGGGGCAAGGGCCTGGGGACCCATGCGCTGTTTTGCTGTGGACACTTTCAGTTACCCTGTGGGCTTTCCACGGACTCTGGGGACCTGGGTTGGCCCTCGGCCGCGCAGACCACGTCTCCCACTTTTCCAGGGGTGTGAGTATGGTCACTGGGCTCTTCCCACCACCTGCCGGGGGCCCCCCCCTCCAGCTTGGGGCCCCGCTACCCCCGTCCCCACGGCATCTGTGTGCTGTGTCGTCCGCTGACTGCTCTCCCGCCCTAGGGCAGGGCAGCGGGCCAGGCCTTGAGCCTGGAGCTCACAGGACCGGCTGGAATAGGGTGGAAGAGGAGGCTGAGGTTCTGAGCGATGAAGTGTCCTACCCAGGAGCCCCCAGCAGGGAGGGCCAGAACCAGGGCCAGCCTGAGTGACCGCCAGACACGAGGCTCCCCTGACAGCCGTGTCCTGAGGGCAGCTTGCCAAAGGTCATGGGGCCCCCAGTGAACAGGGCCCAGGGTAGCAGCTGGGGGGCCCAGACCCCACCTCGGGGGCTAGCAGGGCCCAAGGGTAAGGGACGGCTTCTCTGAAGCCCCTGCCCAGAGGCGGAGGCACGAAGGGGCGGCCCAGCCTCCAGCCAGGGCGTTGGTGTTCGTGTGGGGCCCTGGGCCCGTGGACTTGGGCTGGGTTCATGGGCAGGAGGCTGGAGCAGTGTCCCAGGGGTCGGGTCTACCCTGGGACACGGTTCTGTCCCACGCGCCCGCAGTAGCGCCGGGGGCGTAGGGGGAGCAGCTGTCCGTCAGGCCGTCATGGCCAGCAGCTGGACGCTTCTCAGCTCTGGGGGCTGGCTGACCCTCAGCCGTGACCCTGGAGAGAGGGTGGTGGAGCGTGGGGGGCCCCTCGAGGATGGGGGACAGGGAAGGGCTAGGGTCAGGTCCTGCCCGTGTGGCCCTGCCTGGCTCCCTGAACCTCTCTGAGCCTCGGTCGGCCTTGGTGAGGAAGGCGGGCTGTCGCGGGCCACTGCAGCTGCTCTGGGGGGTGGACATGGCCCCAGGCCCCTGGGGGGTCCCTGCCCCGGCGGCTGAGCCTTGAGGGGAGGCTGTGTTTGGAGCTTGGCCGTCGTGGGCTGAGGGTCACGGACTCGTGCGTTTGCCCGGTGCCCCTGAGCCCTGATGGTGGGGGTGTGCCGGGAGGGGTGGGCACAGGTGAGCGCCACACCGTCAGCCCCTGCCCCTGCTTCTGGGCATCTCTCCCGAGATGCGGACGTCTGTGTGCACAGGCGTGGCCTCGCCCGAGACGACGGAGGAGCACGGGGCCCCTGCCTGACCGCGTGAGGGCCAGGCTGTGGCTTCTTGTCTCTGCCCAGGATGGAGGCCTCGTGTCTGGAGCTGGCCCTGGAGGGCGAGCGCCTCTGCAAGGCCGGGGATTTCAAGGCGGGCGCGGCCTTCTTTGAGGCGGCAGTGCAGGTGGGCACCGAGGACCTGAAGACGCTGAGCGCCATCTACAGCCAGCTGGGCAATGCCTACTTCTACCTGAAGGAGTACGCCCGGGCGCTGGAGTACCACAGGCATGACCTGCTGCTGGCCCGGTGAGTGCGCGGCCGCATGGAGGGGCAGTCACAGCGGGAGTGGGGTGCTGGGTGCCCCTGACCCGCAGGTGCCCCGACCTGGGAGAGGGCGGGCTCCTGGGACGTGCCCCCAGGGGCGTGTGTGTCTGCATGCCGGTGCGCGTGGGTGTGGCCTGGTGTCCTGAGTGTGCCCCTGAGCACGTGTGCCTGTCTCAGGGACTGAGGGGGCCCCCACTTGTGTAGGAACACGCAGGAGCACGTCTCCCCTCTGGCCTCCAGACCTTCCCTGAGCTGCTCTGGTCCCTGAATACCCTTCCTTCATTGCCCATCAGCAGCTGGACCCCCCAACCCGGGTGGGGGCGGAGCTTCTCGGGGCTCCTCCCCAGCCCCGCCCACTGGCCCCTGCCCGGCCAGCGAGCCCCAGTGTCCTTACACCTGGCCAGTGTGTCGACAGTTATTCACATTGCCGGGCCACCCAGCTCTCCTGGTCTCCATCTGGGCGTCTCTCTGAGCCCCAACAGCCACGGGCGGGGCCCAGCAGAGAAGTGACCCCCAGCTAGGCTCCTTGCCCCCGGGCTGCCCAAGGGTACCTCACCTGCCATAGGCGAGACCCCTGCCCAGCATGGCCCCAATTGGCCCAGGCTGGTCCTGCCGGCCCTCGCCCGGGTTCCTGGCTGGGCTCAGCGTCCCACCCGCCCTTGGCCAGGCTCCTCACCCCTTCCTGCCCTCCAGGACCATCGGTGACCGCATGGGGGAGGCCAAGGCCAGTGGGAACCTGGGCAACACACTCAAGGTCCTCGGCCGCTTCGACGAGGCTGTCGTGTGCTGCCAGCGGCACCTGGACATCGCCCAGGAGCAGGGGGACAAGGTAGGTCAGCGCTCCCGGGCTGAGGCCTGGCCCCCCATCTTCCAGTGGGCTCTCCCTCTCACTGAGCTCCCCCAAATCTGCCAACAGCCCTGGTCGCTCCTTCCGGGTTCCGGAGGGACGCTGGGTAGCGTAGCAGCTGGAGTAGAGCAGCCAGGGACCCCGCCCCTCACCGGACACTTGACCCTCCTGCTCTGTGTGTGACCTTCCCCCCCACGGCCCCGTAAGGGAAGCACCCCCGCTTCCCTCACAGGCCCGGAAACAAGATGACTTGCCCCCGGTCACAGCTCAAGGTGTCTGGGCCTGGCCGAGAGCGCCTCCCTTCCCCCCTGCATCCGAGAGGGGCCAGGCCTGTTCCCTAGGAGGCGGCATTCGCCTGCCCTGTGCCCGGAGAGTGGCAACCACGTGCAGGCACGCCCCCACCCCTTCTTGGGGTGCCGGGCCTACTCCCACATCTGCACTTGGTGATGGCCCCCCTTCAGGTCCTTGCCTTTGGGGAGCTGCAGGCACGGTGGTCCGGGGCCAGTGGGCTTCTTGGGGGCCGTGTCTGTAGAGGTTCAACCTCGGTGCCACCCTCAGGTCGGGGAGGCCAGGGCGCTGTACAACATTGGCAACGTGTACCACGCCAAGGGCAAGCAGCTGTCCTGGAACGCCGCGCAGGACCCCGGGCACCTGCCGCCCCACGTCCGGGAGCCTCTGCGCAGAGCCTCCGAGTTCTATGAGTGAGTGGGGCAGGCGGGGGCCCCGACGGGTGGGGGCGGGGTCTGGCCGGAGCGCTTTCTGAGCCACTGCGGTGGGTGTGCGACCCCGACACGGAGCACCCACTTCCGGCCCCATCACCTCTCTGCAGACCCCCGCATGGCGATGGCCAGGCCGGCTCCCCTTCACCACCCCGCCCGCCCCCGCCTTCAGGCCCTCGGGGCTTCCTGCACATAAGTCCCACATAGCAGCGCAGAGAAGCAGGGAAACTGCCGAGCAAAAGCCATGTGTGGCGTTTAGAAAACGTGTGGCTGGAAATAGGGCCGGGGCGTTGGGCCGAGCCTCCCTGTGGGGGAGCCCTGGCGCAGGAGGACGGAGGCTGCACCTGAAACCAGAGTGTGGGGCGGGGGAGCCCCTGACCTGAGCCTTGGAGCTCCAACAGCACCCCCTTCTAGTGGCTCCAGGGCCAGAGGGGTCCCAAGCCGCCCTCTTTCTGGGGCACGTCCCAGCGGGAGCCGAGCAGAGGCTGCCTGCTCATTGCCTGCTAGCCGAGCGGGTGGGTCACAGGCCCCTGCCTCCCTTGTGCCAAGAGGCCCCCGGCTCAGACAGATGCAACCCCCAGGAGGAATCTGTCCCTCGTGAAGGAGCTGGGTGACCGGGCGGCCCAGGGCAGGGCCTACGGCAATCTGGGCAACACGCACTACCTGCTGGGGAGCTTCATGGAGGCCACGACCTTCCATAAGGAGGTGAATGCACTGTGGGGCGGTGGGGGGCGGGCAGCGGCCTTGAGTTGTCTGGGCCTGGCGCAGGGTCCCAGGCTGCTCTCTCCGGACATGCAGCTTCGGGCTGGCCACGCTGGGCGGGGAGGCCGCACCTGCCATCCACATCGGGTCCCGGGGCTGCTCCGTGACCACCCAGGCCTCCGGTCTATGTCCTCAGCGCCTGGCCATCGCTAAGGAATTTGGAGACAAGGCGGCCGAGAGGAGGGCATACAGCAACCTGGGCAACGCCCACATCTTCCTGGGGCGCTTTGATGTGGCCGCTGAGTACTACAAGTAGGCAGGCCCACCCGCCCCGCCCCGCCCCTGCCCGGCCCCATCCGCCCAGCTGGAGGGAGGGGGCCACCTGGACCCCAGCCCAAGCTCAGGACGAGAGCCTGACCTCCCAGCCTCCTCAGGGGCCAGACGGGGGTGGGAGGTTCTGGGCCATCCCGGAAGGGCAGACTGACAAACCCGGGTCCTGGGGCTGCCGGGGACAGGAAGGACTACGGTGCCCTTTACTTGGTAAGTGCGGCCAGAAGCCACTCTGTGCCAGGAGCACAGCTAACCTCAGCTGAGGGCCTCCCAGGAGCCGTTATTGGGGGAACCCCAGAGTGGTCTTTGCTCCCCACAGTCTCTCTGGGCTGTGGGGATAATCATTTGCATACGGACCCAGAGGGTGCAGAGCATGGGCTCCGGGGGGTCCCTGGCTTGTGCCGGGATGTTCTGTGAGCCAGCTGTCTCCCGGCTTGAGGAGCAGAGCAGCGACCACCAGGCACAGATCGGGTGTTCAGCGCCAGGTCCCGTGCGTCAGGCGCCCAAGCTGGGGTGTGCTGCGCCCCCCATCCTCCCTGCAGGGCAGAGGCTCCGGGTGGTGAGGTGACTGGCCAGTGCGTCCGGCCGTGGCCAGACTGCAGAGAAACCCCGGTGGGATCCCGGGGCTGGAAGTCTGTGAGCAGGCAGACTGCTTCCCCCTCACCGAGCCCCCCGCCCCGGCAAGGGCTCCTGGAACCCTCCTTGTGGGGGCTGACCCTCCCCCTCTCTCAGGAAGACGCTGCAGCTGTCCCGGCAGCTCAAGGACCAGGCGGTGGAGGCGCAGGCCTGCTACAGCCTGGGCAACACCTACACGCTGCTTCAGGACTATGAGCGCGCAGCCGAGTACCACCTACGGCACCTGCTTATCGCCCAGGAGCTGGCCGACAGGTGCGCCCTGGGGACCGTGGAGGGCTGGGCAGGCCCCGAGGGCTCCGGATGGGCCCCGTGGGCCAAGCCGCAAGCTGCTTACAGCAAGGCCCTGGCCTGCCGCTGACCGCGAAGTGACTCTGAGCAGGGCGGCCTGCCTGGGCCTCAGCCTCCCTCCATCGTTGGGCCACACTGCCCGCTAAGTGGGACCAGGCGAAACTGAGTGGATGCTGAGCCGGCCGCTGTGGCACCAGCTGGTTGGGGGTGGCCCCCTTGAGCCTCCCCATGTCTGCGTGACATCAGTGCCTGAGGAGACACAGGACTGAGATGCACAGCTGCACACACGGGTGTGGGGTGGGCCATGGCTGGGGCAGGGGTCTCGAAGTGACCAGCACTCAGCACTTGCTCTTGTGGGTGACGAAGGTGTTTCGGTGATGGCTGTGGATTATAAGCACACACTGCCACGCACTGAGCAGTTCTTAATCGGTTAAACTTACATTTTGTGATTTTCACCTGAGTTGAAAGATTAATGATGCAAGGGACTGCTCCACACCCTAGGATGGAGGGAGCTGGGGGGGGGAGGGGGAGGGAGGTGAGCCCAGGGGTGAGCCCATCACCAGCCACTAGGGGGCGAGTGAGGCCTCGGAGGGTGGAGGGAACCACAGGGGTGAGCACCTCACCGGCCACTAGGGGGCGAGCGAGGCCCCTCGGGCTGTGCTCCCGCCCGGATGGGCCTGGCTGCCTGGGGGCTGCAGACGGGACTTGGTTTCCCTCCCTGGCAGGGTGGGAGAGGGCCGGGCATGCTGGAGCTTGGGGAATGCCTACGTGTCCATGGGGAGCCCGGCGCAGGCCCTGACTTTTGCCAAGAAGCACCTGGAGATCTCCCAGGAGGTAAGCCAGGGAGGTCTGCCCTCCCCTCCCAGCCCCTGACCGCTGCCCCAGCTGGCTCTGGAGGCCCCCCAGGTGCTGCCCAGGCCGCTTCCAACTGGACCGGGAGTCTCTGTGCGCCCTGGGCTCTAGCCTGGCCTGCCCCTCTGTCCTCTCTAGGCTGTCCGTGTGCACTGGGCGGGGGCCCACCCACCCTCCTGCCTTCAGATGCTTGGTGGCTGCTTATCTGCTGTAGCCAGGGGTGAGGGGGAGGGGAGTGGGGCCTGCTTTCCACATGGAGTGTTAGCGTTCCTTGTGGGCAGGGCACAGCCAGCTTCTGTCCCCGATGGGACTGGGCCCGGCCGAGGTGGGAATGACCTACCACAGGCTGCTCTGGGGGGCTCTTGCCCTGGAGCCTTCAGCTGGACACCTTCCTGGGGACTGTAGATGGGGTCTTTGAGACCCTCCTACGGTGGTCAGGGTAGCCCAGAGCCGAGCATCACAGGTGACCTCCAGCCCCCTGGTTTCTAGCCTGCCTTCCTCTTACCTTCACCCCATCCTTCTCCTTGGCCGCAGCGGCATGGCCCCCTCCCTCCAGCACATGCCCAGCACCTGCCCAGACCCACCACGGCCCCTGTGTGTTGTGGGTGAGACCCACAGGGGACCCCTGCCCCAGGTGGTGGGGCAGGGCGGGGAGGTTTGGGCCAGGAGAGCCCCCCCCTCCTCATCGGGGCCACCAGCGGGGCCGGCCCCCAGCCCCCTGAGCATAGGCAGGGGCACGCCAGGGGCCTGCGTTCCAGTTGAGGTCCAGCCCCGCCCCGCTCAGCCTTTGGCTTGCCCCGCGCGATGCACTTCACTTCTCTGCGACGGGTCCTCCTGTTGAGCCTCTGCTCTGAGCTGGGGGTGCTGAGGGGTACACGCGGGGCTCTAAGGGCCGAGGAAGGACCTGGACCAGGCCCCCTGCCCTTGGGAGTACGCTCAGGACGGAGGGCCCTATGGGGCACAGGGCTGGCTGCTGAAGGCCCCAGCGTTCTGCGGTGTCAAGGGCGCCATCTGGGACAAACAGCAGACTGCACCCCTGGGGCACAGGGAGGCCCAGGGCTCAGTGACTGTCCCTGGGAGTCCCCCAGCCCTCCTGCCCACCAGCCTGGCCCTGCTTGGCTACAGATCGGGGACCGCAACGGGGAGCTCACAGCCCGCATGAACGTGGCGCAGCTGCAGCTGGTGCTGGGCCGGCTGAGCAGCCCAGCGGCCACGGAGAAGCCGGACCTGGCTGGCTACGAGGCCCAGGGTGAGTTCCTGGGCTGGGTGGGCAGGGGTGAGGTGGGAGAGCCACCCGGGGTGTGTGGGGTGTGGGTCGTGCTTGGACCCTGGGACAGTGCCAGGCTTCTGGGTGCTCTGCCAGGAGGTGGGCTCTGCCCCCAGGAAAACTAGCAGGGCTGCCCGGTGAGGGTGGCGGGCCCTGGTCCCGGGGGTCTGTCTGCACCACCTCTCTGCCCTGCCCTGGAGCTCCCGGGGCCGTGGGAGGTGACTGAGTGTCCAGGGTGCTTGGAGCACAGATGGGGGGCCCTGCTTCCCCAGGTCAAGTTAGGAATCTGGAGATTGGAAAGCATGGGGTATTCAGGAACAGGGATGGTGTGGGGGAAGGTGCGTCCTGAACGGGAAGCCTTTAGGCCAGTGCTTCACGGTCTCTGGGGCAGCAAGGGCCTGAAGTCACCCTGAGCCCCCCAGGTTTATCACCTGGCCAGCAGGAGGAGGAGGAGGAGGAGAGGGGCACTGGGAGGCGGAGTCAGCCAGCGATGTTGAGCCGTGCTCGGGGTGCTAATCAGGTGAGGCCCTGGGATCTCAGTCCCAGGCTGCCTGTAGCCCCATACGGGTCAACATCACTAGGCACCCAGGGGCAAAATGTTCCTTGCAGAGCAAATAGATAAATGGGGGGAGGGGGTACCCTGAGCTGGCTTTGCCAGTGGCTGCAGGCGGGTGTGGAGTAGGCTCTGGGCAGGGGGCTAGCTGCCCCCTTCCCACCTGCACAAACCCCAGCCTGGGGGAGTCTGGCCCTAACACCCTCATGGCTGTGTTCCTCAGGGCTACTCAACCTGCCCCAGCCCGGAGCCCATCAGGCCTGCGGAGAATGAGGCCCCGGGAAGTGGCCCCTGGCCTCAGTGGGGGGGGGAGGGGGGTGCCGGGGTTTCTAACGATGCCTGTCCTGAGCAATGGGAGGCATGTGTCCCCCCCACTTGGGCTGAGATGGAAGTGTGGGTGCAAAGGTTTCTGGGACTCCCAGCCACCCTTGTTTTGGGGTGCTGTGGCTGCAGGGGGTGGGATGGAGGAGGGCTCCCTCTCTGCCCCCCACCCTGCTCCAGGATGTACAAGATGGTAGCTACCCTTTGGGCAGGGGTTTTCTGAGGGGTGGGCAACTCTGTTTGGAGCCCCTGGCCCTGCGAGGCCACCCTCTGAGACACCCAGAAGTGGGTGGGGGCAGGGCTGGGCCCAGAGGGCTTCTGGAAAGTCTCCCGGGGGGGCGTGGCCAGTTCCAGGTTCTCCGGCCATTTTCCGTTTTCTCCAAGCTGAGGAAAGGGGGGCACGTCACGGGTGGAGGGCTGGGCTGTGCTGGGAACAAGGCAGCTTCTGTCCTCCCCATGCCGGCCCCGCGGCTCTGCCCTGTGTCCAGACCCTTCCCAGCCAGGGCCCCCGGAAGCTCCCTCCCTGCCAGGCTGCCAGCGCTGGGCCACCAGCCGATGCTGGGCAGTGGCCTTTCTCCAGAGCAGCCTGCTCTGGCCCGTGGAGGCAGGTGTGAGGCCCCAGGCCCTGGGATGCGGCTGCTGAGTCTGGGCAGCTGTGGAGGAACCCCCCACTGCGGTGAGTGTAGGGGGCCAGTGCCCGGTGGACGGGGCTCCCCTGGAGTCTCCTTCAGGGGCCGCATTATTCACCCACTTTTGTCCACTGCACACTGAGTGTGGGTGCTGGCCTGGAAACTGCCCATCGGGGGTGGGGATGCTGCCCTTGTGTGTGTAGAGCCTGGCAGTTTGCTGGGGGAGGGTTGAAGGGGGACCAGATAAGCGCCTGGAAGGGTGTGAACCCAGCCTGGGATCTGGAGCCCAGGGAGGATGCCATAGGCTGCTTCGGGGAGGAGAGAAGCCTGGGGCAGGGGCGTGGCCCGCGGGGGCGTGTCTGTGGTGGGCGTGTCTGTGGGGGCGTGGCCCGCGGCTGGCTCCTGGAGGGAGGCCAGGACCCAGGGGGCTTTTCTCTCCTGATAGAAACAAGGGCCCTTTATGCAGTCTGCCTGCAGCCCCCACCCCAGCATAGGCCCCAGGTCGAGTCTGGGTGGGCAGGGGGAACCTCCCTGTCACTGCTTCCTGGGCCTGGGTCAGGCCTCCCAGGCCCCCAGGTGTCCCAAGCCCTGTTGAAGCCAGGCTCAGGGCACACCGACAGGTCCCGCAGAGGTAGCCAGGGATGATGAGTGTGTGGCAGACAATGGTAAACAAATAAATAAGGCTCGGAAATGAAGAAGGGCTTGCGGAGAAAGAAACGCCGTCCGGCTGGGTGGGAGTGACACGGGTATGCGTGGAGGCCGCTGTCTCCCTCGGCTCGGCCTCGGACACCACACACTGGCAGCTACAAAAACGGATGTTTTTTCCCTGCGGATCCGGAGGCTGTGGGCCTGAGAGCCGGGTGCCAGCGTGGCGGGTCCTGGTGACGGCCCCCTTCCCAGCACGCAGACGGGGTGCTGGCTGTGCGGTTGGAGGGGGCGCCTCAGTGTCTTCTCATAAGGGCCCAGCACCATCAGCGGAGCCCTCACCCCCTTGGCCAACCCTAATCACCTCTTCAGGCCCCACTTGCTGATGCCATCATGTTGGGGTTGGGGTCTTCAGCGTGGAATTCGGGGGACATAAATGTTTGGCCCATAGCAGTGACATCTGTACAAAGACTAAAAGGGAAGGAGGGTGCGAGCCTGAGCCTAAATGGAGGAGAGCCACGCAAAGGCCCTAAGGCCTGGGGAAGGCTGGCTAGGAGGAGCACGGGGTGGGGGTTGGGGGAGCCTCTCCCCCTGTGCAAGCCCCTCCCCATGCCAGGGGGCCCTGCTGAGTGAGCTGGGTGACGATCTCACCCAGGCCCTGGGCGTCCCTGTGGCCCCCAGCATGTATAAGGGACAAAGAGAGCAGGGAGGCAGGTGGGGGGGGTGACACTCAGGTCCCAGCAAGGTGAGGAGGTGAGGAGGCGTCAGATTCTGGATCTGGTTTGAAGGCGGAGCTGCCAGGAGTTTGGAGGTTGAGATGGAAGGCGGGAAGGAGCTGGGGGAGGGGGGACACGGCCTAGCAGCTAGAAGGCAGAGTTAGGAGGCTGAGCGGGGCAGCTGTGTGCTGGAGGGGGGGATGGGGCCGGGCCAGCCTGGTGGGGGTAGAAATGATGCTGGTCAGACTCAGGCGGGAGTGGGGTGGTGCTCAGGGAACTTTCCAGACCTTCCCCTCTGGGGTGGGCGGAGCGGGAAGCCCGCCAGCGTGGCTCTGGTCTGAACGCCCCAGTGCTTGCAGCCCACTCCACACAGAGGGTGCATTTACCGGGCCGGGAGGGGATCCACCCTGGAGCTGGACACAAGCCGTGTCTCAGAGGAGCACTGCAGCCGCCGCGGTGGCCTGGGCTTGCCGGTCCAGCCAGGCGGGCCCCAGCAGACGGAGTGGGGAAGTCAAGTCAGACCCCCAGGGTGTCAGGGGGTGGCCGAGAAAGGGGCCTCCTGCCAGCCCATGGCGGGAGATGGAGCCGGGTTTTTGCTGGCTGTGGTGAGTAAAGGGCCATGCACAGAGGCCTGTCGGTCCGGACAGGGCCACTCAGCTGTCCCCTCTGATACTCCCCAGGCTAGGCAGCCCCCGGACACTGTGGTGTTGGAATGACCCCATGGTCCCTTCAGAGCTGCCTGTCTAATCTGGCACGGGGATGGGCAGTGGGGGCCCTGCCCCTCTCGGGGCCTCACAACACGGGGTCAGGCTGTGTGCCCAGGCTCTGGCTCCGTGCCTGTGGCCAGGGGCTATTTTCAGGGGGCCGAGGCAGACCCAGTGCAGACCATGTGGCCAAAGGGGGGTGAGGATGGGGCCCTGCTGGGGGAGGGCGGGACCTGTGGAGCTGCCTTAACGCTTCCAGGAGCTGCCTGGTGTCCCCTCCCCGGACTCCCGGGACAGCAGCCACAGAAGCCCCTCCTCTAAGATCACTGCTTTTCCACCACAGCCTCTGGAGAGTAGCGAGCAGCTGCCCACATGGTCTCCTACGGAGGGTGCTGGACACCGGCCCCGTTCCCGGAATCCCTGGGCATCTGGTTCCGGCGGGTCTGCACGCCTGACCTCCTGAACCGGCCCCTCTTCGGGGACTGTGTCTTGGGCAGTGGGTGTGGGCTCAGAACCGGGGCCCGGGGTGGGGGCGCGGGCTGTGCTGAGGGGCCCCTGCCTGGCCTCACTGCCGCTGGGGGGGCACATGCCCCATGCCGTCTGCTGCGGGCATCACCAGTGGGACCCAGGGCCAGGGTGGCCTTCCCCGTGATGTGGGTGTCCACATATGCCAGGCGCCACAGGTGCTCCCCATGGGCTCCTCTGTGCTGCCTACGACATGCCTGCGGGCTCGACCTGACGGCGGCACTGCGCTTGAGGGAGGGTGATGGGTGCAGGGTCCAGTGCTGCCAAGACGTGACCCCTGGGGCATCGGGCCAGGCTAGAGGCCTTGCTCGCTTCACCCAGCCTCACGCGGCCCCCCAGTTGGACGAGGGGCCCCTGGGGTGCCCGGGTGGAGCCCAGTACATGCCTGCAGGTGGAGGGCGCTCAGCACCCCGGGCTGCCCGTGTGCATGCAGGGTGAGTGGTGAAGGGAGTCCTGTAAGAGCAGGCATGGGGGCAGCTGGGCGGGATCTGAGGCTCCATCTGCACGGAGCTAGGAGGAACATTCCAGGAGAGGAAACCGTGAACTAAGGCAGGTGGGAAGCCCCACGCGGGCGGGGTCAGAGGTCCTAGACCTGACGGGGAGCAGCACAGCCAGCCCCCTGCCGGCCCCCCCGACCCCCATCTCCACGCCTGGCTGTCGTCGCTGGGGCGCACCAGGTCACGCAGACCCTCTATTTGCTTCCTGGGGGCCATGAGGTTGGCGGTTCGTCTGCGGGCCCCAGGGCGCACCGGCCTGGCCCCGGGCAGCTCTTGGTGGGGGGTCGGCACTGGGCTGACCGGGCCCCTGCCTTCCAGGTGCCAGGCCCAAGAGGACGCAGAGGCTGAGTGCCGAGACCTGGGGCCTGCTCAGGCTCCCCCTGGAGCGGGTGAGTGCGGCTGAGGGCGGCGGCCGGGGCCCTTGGGAGCCGGGTGTGGGCAGCAGGGCGATGAGGCGGGTGTAGTGGGTGCTGGACTCTCCCACCCCAGCTTCCGTCTGTACCCCGTCGTCGCCATGGGGGACAGCACACTCTCTCTGCAGCCCGAGACCCTGGACTGGCCATCTGCCCCCAGAGAGGCCCCCACCAGGCCCTGCTTCCTCCCACTTCACCCCGGGGTCTCGCCAGCCATGTCTGCCCCGGGGACAAGCCACAGTCCTCACACACTGCAGGCCCCCAAGCCCCCAGCCCACCACAGTCCCCAGTGTCCCAGCCATTCCCCTGGCCCGTCTGCTCCCTGTCCACTGAGACTGCCCCATGGGGAAGCAGAGCTGTTACTGGGTGGGGGGGCTCTGGGCCCACTCTGTGCCTGCCGGAGGTGGGTGCTCTGCAGCCCTGCGGGAGTGAGCTCCCCTCTCTGAGCTTCTGGCTCCCAGGGGTGCACTGGGTTTCCTTGCGGGTGCCCTTGGGGAGGTCTGTGGTGGGACAAGGCTCAAGGCTGCTCAGTGGGGGGGTCAGCCTCCTTGCCTCAGGCCCTCTTCCCCCTCCCTGAGGCACCTTGTTGCCCGGGTGTGCCTGGGAGACAGGGCCACTGCAGCCACCAGCCCCCCCCCCCCCACTCCTGCTCAGGGTCCTGGGGTGGGAGCATCGGTTGGGGATGGCCGGCAGCCCCCACCCATGCCTGGCCTTTCTCCCCCTCCCCAGGAGCAGAATGGAGACAGCCACCAGGTGGGGGAGTGGCGGGGGCCGGGCAGGGACATGCTCCCTCTTCCCGTGAGGAGCAGGAAGTACCAGGAGGGGCTGGAGACTGCTGAGAGGCCCCGCGAGGGCGGCCACTCCCCGCTGGACAGCGCGGACGTCCGGGTGCAGGTGCCTCGCACGGTAGGCGACCTCTGCTTGGGCGCCATCCCGAGCTGCCGATCTGGGCCACCCCCGGGGGCAGAGGCCGTGGCCGTGTTCTGCCCCAGGGCCTGGTGGGCACAGCGCCTATCGACGGCGCGGGACACTCAGTGCAGAGCGCGCCCTGCCAGCCGCGTCCGGCCTCTGCACGGCCCTGGCCACTGAGGAGCTGGACAGGAGGCCTTGTGGATGGGGCTCTGGAGGATGGGCTTGGGGGATGGCCCGGCCAGCAGCCCTGCCCCGGGTGCACAGCAGACAGAGCCGGACAGACTGATAGATGGGGTGTGGGGGGACGGCTGATGGGCGGGTGGTCAGACAGATGGGGACAGAGGGAAGGGGCCTCTGCTGCCTGGCAGGGGTCTCACTGTGTCCCGGAGGCCGGGCTGGCCTGTCTGGGCTGTTGGAAGCTGATCGGGGTCAGGGTCGCACAGGCCACAAAGCCCCGCGAGCCCAGGTTCAGCAGTCGGCCCCTCCCCACGTGCGGAACGCCTGGGTCTAAAGCTCTGGGAGTCAGTCTAAAAATAATTTCCTCTGAGGGCTTAATCAGCACCTTCCCAGCCTTTGAGGGGCGTGGGCGCCGCGCTGGTATTCTTAGCCACAGATGGTGGCTTTGCACCGTCTTTCCCACGGGCCTAGGGGGCCTCTGCCGACCCCACTCGACCCCGGCACTGCCCGCCAGCCAGTCTGTCCGTAGGGTGAGAGGTGAGGGTAGGGGCCACTACTCAGGCCAGACACTGCCCACACCCTGTGTTTGGGGCCCCCAGCGCATGGGGACTTGGTGTGACTGGGTGTGGTCGAGACTGGGCTGGCCCTGAAGGTCGGGGTCCATCCAGAAAGGGCCTGGCAGGGGAGGACCCCCAGGTCCCAGGGAGCCGCGGTGGGCTTTGGAACAGGACAGCCTTCTCCACGGGGTTCCCTGGCCCTAGTCGCGTCCCTGTCGCTGCTGGCAGGGGCCAGTGGGGGGGCTTCTACCAAACAGAAACTGTAGCCAGTGCTCATCAGCCATAAGAGGGGAAACTGAGGCACAGGGCAGCAAAGAAGCTACCCTGAGGGCACCCAGCTAGGAATGGCGGAGCTGGGCTCCCAAGGCCACGGTCGGCTCCTGGGAACCCTGCTCATCCCCTCTGAGAAGGTAGCTCGGCTTTGGCCGTGGGGGCGCCTCTAGAGGGAATTCCCATCAGTGCTAAGCCTGGCCCCAGGGGGAGGCCCGGACCCACACCTCTCCCTGCCCTGCAGCCAGAACTGCTGGTGGGCCCTTCCGGGGGCTCCGAGCGCTTCCGCAGGAAGCGGGACAGAGAGGGCCCCGGGGGCTCCCCCTCCCCCCTTCTGCCCTCGCCCCCAGCCAGTTTCCCCACATACCCCAGGGCTGGCCCCCACTGGGCCTGGGCAGGCCAGAGGCCAAGACTCCACAGACCTCCCTGTGCAGGGAGGGGACCCTGCAGGGAGCTGTTGGTGGGGGGGGGGCGGGGGGCTGGGGATGGCCGCCAGGTCCCTGGGAAAGTGCAGCATCCCAGCGGCTCCCTGCTGGCCTCAGTAGCCTGGGGAGTCAGGGCCCAAGAAAGAGGCTGACTCGGCTTCCTTTCAGAGCTGGGCCTCCGTCAGCAGGAGGATGGCTTTCCAGATAGGCTCTGTCCCTGTCCCACTTGGCCCTCTGGCGTGACCACTCCCCACCCCCACTGGCAGCCCAAGCCGGATCCCTCTGTGTCTGCAGCTCACGCGTGTGTGTGTGTGTGTGTGTGTGTGTGTGTGTGTGTGTGTGTGTGTGTGTTTGTGTGCGGGAGCGGCCGAGGGAGCAAGTGAGTAAGTGAGTGCAGGGGGGGAGGGGCAGGGACGGCCCTCCGCCGGGTCCTATTTAAGTGCGGGGCGCCACATAGCGGAGCACCCACAGTGCATAGCGTTTGGCGTCTGGTTGCTGCTGCTGGACGGAGCTGCGTGCCCAGCGTGAGTGTGGGGTCCCTGGCACGGGGTGGCGCAGGGAGCACAGGGGCCGTGCCAAGCAGGATGGGGGCAGAGTGGAGGTCTCCTGGGCTGGCATCTCTGTACCCGTCCAGCCACCTCCCCTGCCCTGCGGGGCCTGGGAGCTCAGGAGCCCCAACCAGCAGGCTGGGGGGCTGGAGAGGGGCAGCCCTGGCCCTGGGGGGGCAGGGGTTTGCGAGACCTGGGCTGGCACTCCAGCGGGAGGGGCTCAGAGACCCTGGGACAGAAGGAGCCAGAGGTGGGGGGGCAGAGGAGAGGTTGGGGGCATGTCCTGTTAGCACCCAGGGCGCCATCCTAACTGAGGGGCGGGGCCTCCTGCTGTTTGCAGCCTCACCCCGTGCACCTGTGGCCTCAGCCCCAAACCCCCCAAACAAGGGAAGCGCCAGCCCTTCACAGGTGGCCGGGACGGCTCTGCCGTGGGGGCGTCTCTGGATGGCCCTGAAGGGCCCTGTCAGCCCAGCGCTGGCTGCTGTGGTGGGGGGACTCTGAGAAGCCTCTGGGCAGAACCCCCCCCTGCTTCAGGTGTGCACGGAGCCCCGAGCTCGGCGCACGGGCGGTTGGAGGAGCACTGGCGGCCCGTGTGTCTGGAGGAGGGGCCCCAGGGCTACGCCCTCCGGCCCACAGTCCACCTGTGGCGAGATGCCAGGGTGGGGGGCCAGGAGCAGCGACTGTCCCCCGCGGTGGGCTGGTGCTGTGCTTCCCTCCCCCCCCGGCTGAGTCTGGGGCCCCGAGCGACCTTCCGGGGGAGGCCCCTGTGTGGCCCCCACCAGCTTGATGCTGGGCCCCCGCCATCCTGCCTGAACTTCCCCCAGGAGGCCCTGACCAAGTGCAGCCCCCTGACCGGGGCCCCAACTCGAGCCCTCGGCGCCTTGCGTTCTGGGCCCTGGGCCGGGGTGCAGCAGAGCGGAGCCCCGAGTTGGCATCTTGACCTACCCCAGCCTTGGCGCTGGGCCTGTCCTGCTCGGACAGGAGGGGCAGGGGGCCCTGGGGGCCCGGGGGGGGTCTCTGTCCTCTGAGCTGCCACCTGCTGCAGGCCTCACGCCCAGGACCACCCGCTCGGCTGCCCCTCCCGGCCCCCGTCGCCCCGCAACCTGAGCCCAGCGCCGGGTACCGCTCACTGTACCCGGGAGCCCGGGCTGCTCGCGGGGTCCCCAGGCGGCCCCTTGCTGGGCGTGCAAGCTCCCCCGCTCTGTGTCAGCAGCGGCTGGTGAGGGCTCGTCAGGAATCCTTGGAGCGAACCAGCACCCGCTAGGGGCCGTCTCTGCCGTGCGGTCTCTGCACGGGCCCAGCTCTGAGGGGGCCTCCAGGAGGCCACCAGCCAGCGAGAGTGGACAGGCCAGGGCTGGGCAGGGGGCGCTGGCATCAGAGAGGAGGTGGGGGCGGCACCCTTCTGCAGCCAAGGTGGCCTCCCGAAGCCACCCCATCCACGCATCAGCGCTCAGGACCAGACGTGGGGAGGCTGGTGGGGAGGGGGGTCCTGCCCTTGGTGGGGGCCCCGAGACACCAGTGCCTCCAGCCTCCTGTCGTATGGACGTGTAAGCCGAGGCTCAGCGTGGGAGGGGGTTGCCCAAGGCAGGCCCAGTGGCCTGGTCTCCCGCTTCTCACTGCCCCCTCCCTGCTCCCATCAGCAGGTCGCCCCAGGGTCAGCCCTTCTGCCTGCCGCCCAGAGACCCTGTGCTCCCAGCATGTCCAGGCTCTGCCCCCAGCCATCCAGAGCAGATCCTGGGCACCTTGGCCAGTACACAGAGGGTGCTTTAGCCTGAACACCCCACATGTCTGCTGCCCTCTGGGCCTGCCCACTCATCTAGGACTCAGACCCCAGAAGGGGTGGGGCTAGAGTGGAACACAGCAGGCCTCACCTCCCCTAACTCTCGCTCCTTGCCTTTGGTGACACGACCTGATGTTGCTGGCACCTCTGGGTCTCCCATCACTGCTGCCAGGGCCCTGGTACATACCCGTGTGATATACAGACTGGCCAGTGAGGCTCCCTGCCTACCAAGGGCCTAGTCATTCACTCACTCGCTCATTCATTCGTCCATTCAGCAGACACTGGGGAGTGCTGTGCTGGGTGCCAGAGCCCCAGAGGTGTGGGCGGTGGGGGAGCTCACTGCAGGGGCTGCCATAGCGTGTGGTCGTCTCACTGGGCAGGGGAGGGGGGGCGCTGCTGGGGTAGGGGGTGGATGGCCGTGTCCTGTCTGGGAGGATGGCAGAGGCTGGGCAGGTGGGGTGAGGGTCCCAACCTTGTCCCAGGCTGAGCGGCTGGGGTCGGGGGGCCAGGCCAGAGCCGGCGCTGACTGCCCCTGCCCCCCAGAGCGTCCCTCGGGCCCCGTCCTCTGACGAGGAGTGCTTCTTCGACCTGCTGAGCAAGTTCCAGAGCAGTCGCATGGACGACCAGCGCTGTCCCCTGGAGGAGGGTCAGCCTGGCGCTGCCGAGGCCACCGCCGCCCCCAGCCTGGAGGACAGGGTCGGTGAGTGCCCCCCACAGAGCTCGGGTCCTCGAGGGGTGCTGGGCCAGGCTGGGCCGCCTCCCTCCACCGCCTCCACCCCCTCCCCCCACCCCGCCTCCAGCCCTTGCTCCCGAGGGGCGGGCGCACCAGCTGCAAAAGTGCCTCTTGTCACCGTGAGCCCCTCAGCCCCCGCTCGACCGGGGCTGCACCCCGGGAAGCGTGTCATCATCCCCGCCCCCCGGAACACCGTGTCAGCGCATCTCCGTCTCCGAGCGGGCGTGGGAAGCGAGGCTTTCCTCCCCGCACCTCCTAGAAGCCCCCGGAGGCGGGTGTGGGGCTAACGGCAGAGGCAGCTGGGAGTAGCCGGGGCCCCGGGTCAGTGGTGCCGGGAGCCCCGCGTGCCCAGGAGTGTGGTGGGCAGGGCCGGGCTCAGGCCTGACCCACCTCGCGGGGTCCCCGTCCCCGCGCCTTGTCCCCCACAGCCCGGCCCTCGCTGACGGCCTCCCCGCAGACAGAGGAGTTCTTCGACCTCATCGCCAGCTCGCAGAGCCGCCGGCTGGACGACCAGCGCGCCAGCGTGGGCAGCCTGCCCGGCCTGCGCATCACCCACAACAACCTGGGCCACCTGCGTGCTGACGGGGACCCACAGGAGCCCGGGGACGAGTTCTTCAACATGCTCGTCAAGTGCCAGGTGGGCCTGCGGTCGGGGGAGGCTGGGGGTGCTCGCGCACCTGCCCCCCCCAGCCCCGAGGTTGCACAGGGTCCCTCTGCCCCCGTCTCTGGCGGGGGCTCCTCCCACTGCGAGCGGGCTCTGGTCCTTCCATCTCGGGCTGGATCGGAACCGAGTGTCTGTGAGCGCTCAGACCTGAGGCCCCTCCTGGGACCCCCCGAAGGCCACCCCGGACATCCTCAGCTAGACGCCCCTCACAGTACAGAAGCTATAGCTGGGGGGGCACCGGGTCCCCGAGCCCCGGTGGGGAGGGCAGGAGGGCTCTCACCATTGTGGGGTCCGGTCACCTGCCCGGTGTCAGGAACCCCATGACATGGCTGCAGGAAGGGCAGCCGTGTGGCCCGTGGGCTGGTGCGGTTTCCAGATGTGACGTTCATTCCCACAGAGCAGAGGAAAGCGTGGCCCCAGGCGAGTCCGAAAAGCCTCAAAACCGGCCCCTACAGAGAACCCCCGAGCCCCCCGCCCATATGCCCGCACGCTCCAACAGCTGCACCGGCTGCCGGCCTTTCTGTTCCAGACCCTCCAGAGAAGCCCAAATGCCTCCTCGGCCCCACGCCAGCCCCAGCCCCTCTGCACATCGGGTGCCAGGAGCCCCTGGTCCTGCCCCCGGGGCTTCTGAATGCCCCACTGTCGGGGGCCCCGGGAGCCCCCTGCCCCGAGTCTGGTGGGTGTGGTCAGTCGTCTCCCCCTGGGTGGCCTGGGGAGAGGCTCCTTACTCCTGGGACCAGACGGTACAGGTGCACAGAGTGCGGCCCGAGGCGGCCTCATTGGCCCCCCTGAGCCGGCCTTGCTGCTGAGCAGCCCCTGCCTGGGAACGGTCCCCGAGACCACCGACCGCTGGCCCAGCTGCTAGGACGGGCCCTCCGAGGCCTGGGGAGGCCGCCAACCGCCGCGTCTGTGTCTGCCCAGTCCTCTAGGATCGACGACCAGCGCTGCCCGCCTCCTGACGTGCTGCCCCGCGGCCCCACCATGCCTGACGAGGACTTCTTCAGCCTCATCCAGAGGGTGCAGGCCAAGCGGATGGACGAGCAGCGGGTGGACCTCGCCGGGAGCCCGGAGCAGGAGGCGGGTGGGAGACCCGAGCTGCCGCAGCAGTGCCAGCCTGGCACCAGCTAAGGCCTCACCCCTGTGGCCAGGCTGGCCCCACCCCCGCTCCTAGCCTCCGGGCGGGGGAGGGGGACAGGGGCAAGGCTCACAGTCATCTGTCCAGAAGCCCCTTCCTCTGCAGGCCGTGGCTGAGCACAGGCTCAGAGTCCTCCGGCCCTTTCCACTGTGGCAGATGCTGGGCTCGCAGCCCCCACATCGGCCCCTCCCAGGGTGGCGGCCTCAGGCTAGGGCTGCCCTGGCGGGTGGGTGTGCTCCTGTCCCAGAGCAGCGCCCGGGTGGTACACGGCCTCCTGCGGGGCTGCCCGCCCTCTCCCCGCCCCAGGCCCGTCCTCTCCCCGCCCGCCCTCTCCCTGCCCCAGGCCGGCCCTCTCCCCGCCTGCCTTCTCCCTGCCCCAGGCCTGATCCTCTCCCTGCCCCAGGCCTGCTCTGCAGTTTGTTGGGTCCAAACCCTCCCTGGCCTCCCCCCGCCCTGCCCAGCTCCGTACTGCCTGGCAAATGTGAAGACCCTGTTGCCTCCCTTCGGCCCCCAAGGCCGTCCTGGAGTCTCTTCTATGGGGCCCACCGGTGACATGGACGTTTCTGTCCTCCCAGGGGTGGCCCCAGGGATGACGGGGCAGACGTGTTTGCCCCCCGTCTCAGCCTCTCGGCCACAGGGAGGGTCCCCTCCTGGCCCATCGGCCCTCGCACTTCCCTTGGGCTGGAGGAGGTGCTAGGTGGTTTCCGAAAGCCTGGAGCCTGATGAGGGCTTGGAGGAGGGCCAGGTGCCCCCACGCAGAGCCGCTGGGCCCTGATATTTCAGCCCCCCCCCCCCAGCAGGCACCCAGTCCTGGGCAGGCAGGGGAGTGGGTGGGTGGGGATGGGCTGTGACACCCCTCATCTCCAAGCTCCGAAGCCTGGGACAGAGCGGGCCTGGTTCTGGAATGCCAGCCGTGGCGAGGTCGGGACCTGGACCACAGCAAGGCGGAGGGCCCGCAGCGAAAGCTGGGGGTGCAGATCGGCCCGACCCTGGGCGCCCGGATGAACACCCAGCCCGCACTGCGCCCTAAGCTGGGAAGATGACACCACTGCCTTCTCTGGGGCGGGTCCGGCCCCACATACCCAGGCCCGGCCACGGGACTGTGTAGGAGACAGGTCCCGCAGAGGGGTGTGGCCGTCGCTCTGGTGCAGGCCCCCGCCCGGGCTCACCGCCAGCCCCTCTGGAGAGCCCCTGGCTCCTCACCACAGCCCCGTGGCCCAAGGGTGCGAGGTGGCCGTGTCCGCCTCAGCCGATGCCCCAGCTGGGCTCCTCCGTCTTTCTCCGAGGCCCTCCCGGCACGGGGAGGCCACCCCGCAATACGGCCTGGGGGCCCTGGGCTCTGTGCAACGATGCTCTGAAGGGTGTGGGTGGGAGCCCGGGTCGGGGGTCCGATGCCGGAACACGGGCCCCTCGGGCCCCCACATACTTGAATGTACAAGCGTATTTATCGCTCACACGTGTTTGCCCTGTCGTCAGTGGGTCCTTTCCAGCCCAAGAGGTACATTGTTTTTTGTTTTTCCCAAAAATATAAAGTCTGCCAAGTGAATGCTGTCCGCGTCAGGATTACTGCTAAGGGCGCGGGGATGCTGGTCCTTTGGGAGTCCTCAGGGGACTGACCTTACCTGGGGAAGCAAGGCCACCGCGGGGCGACCAGCGGCAGTGACAGCCAGCAGCCGCGATGGCGCCAGCTGGCCAGCGGGCGGCAGGCCGATCCCGTCGTCCTGCACGCCGGGAGGGGGCCGGGAGGGGCCGTTTCTGTCCTAAGTGGACAGAACCTGCTCAGGGCCTGCTCAGGGCCACGGAGCGAGGGAGGTGGGGAGTGCTGGCCGGTGAGTGCAGTGCGACGGTCTGTGGGGGTGACACCCCTGCCCAACAGCTGTCATACGGCGCTGTGTCCCCAGGAAGGGAGAAGCTGGGTTCTGGAACCGGGGGAGCCAGGAGAGGCCTCACTCACCAAACTCCCAGTGACCTGCTCCACATGGCCCACCCCGCGCCCAACCTCTGGAGGCCTGACAGCGGGGCCAGGGGTGGGGGCTCAGGGGACTCTAGAGGGTGAGGGGGCACGGTCGGAGCCGCAGGATGCCGTCAGGACCTGCTATGGCGGCCACCATGGAGGCGCCCGCAGGGGCCCCGGGGGGCTGCCAGGAACACGTGCTCCGAGAAGGCTCTGCGGTCAAATAACACGGGTGCCACGCTGTCTCCCGGCGGCTCACACGCTAAAGGCTCCAAGGGCTCTGGCTTCCCTTCTCTGGCAATGCAGGAAGCTTGAGTGGCTCTGGGAGAAGGGGCCGCCCCTGGCTGGCTGGTACCTGGCCATGGGGGGCACTCGGGGGCGAGTCCTTTCCTACCTCCAGGCCCAACCCCGGGAGGGGCACGCCTCCGGGGGTGGCAGGGCCCGCATATCAAGCATTAGAATACAGGAAACAGAAGGTGCGGTCCATTCATAGGCCCCAAACCCAGGTCTCAGTTTCCCCATCCGTGAAGGGAGGGACTGGCCCGGGCCACCCTCCTATGTCTAGCTCTGCACTGTCACGTCCAGCCGGCTCCCTGGGCCTCCCCGAGTTTGGTCTCCAGCCTCTGGGGACAGGGAGCAGCCGGGCCCAGGCCCAGCGCTGCCTCCTGGTGCCTGCGTGGAGGATCAGGAGGCCGGCAGCCCCACAAATGGCACGGGAGGCCCTGCGGGGGATAATAGGCGGTTGTTTGCCGTGGGAAAGACAGGGGGTAATCGAGTCAGAGCGCAAACTGCCAACGCCCCGGAGAACAATGACAAAGCTCAGGGCGCTGACGGGGGGCAGAGTGAGGAGCTCGGATCCTGCCAGGATCGCAGCTGGGGATTAGCGGTGAAGGTCACGCTTCTGGAAGTAAACGTGCTTCGATTCCAAGAGGGCAGTCGAACAAGGCTGGGAGACAAATGGCACCTGAACGTGGGGCACACAGCCCCTGCCTGTCAGACAGTAGCCGACACCCCCACCCCCTCGCCCACCCGGCTCTGCCGTGGCCACAGCGAGCGGCCGGATTTGCTGACTTCGCTTGGCCAGCAGCCAAGGCTCAGGGCTGAGGTCAGCGCTGGCGCCCGGGCGCCATCCAGGTGTCAGGGGACGGCAGGCAGCATGGGGGGAAGGAGGGGCTGTAGGGCCTTGCTGTGTCTGGCCAGAGCGACAGGACCTTGGGGTGCTGACCCCCCTGGGAAGACCAGTGGCTCATCGGCCGTCCCTTCTCGGCTTCCCCCAGACCCAGCAGGACCAGAGCTCCAGGTCGGAGCCACCCCACGCCTGTCCCGAATCCTGTCTTCCTGTCCTTTCACCTGACAGGGTGTCACCATTAACGTCTTCATCTTCTGCTGGGAAGGCAGAGGCTCTGAGGCTCAAAGGGACCCTGCCCGGAGCCACCTAGCCACGGGCCAGAAGGGCTCAGCCTCCCCGCCGGCCGCTTCCCACACGGACGCCGCTGGAGGCCGGGTCGTCTGTGCAGGGGCCAGGGGAGGGCCAGGGGCCTGCAGCTGTGGAAGGCCCTGGCCAGCAGCACCCGGCTGGGGTTCCTGGGAGTCATTCTGACTCCGGAACCAGGGACACCAAGAAGGCCCTGGGGCCCATCGTGTCCAAGTGACGTCTGTTTATTGATAGAAAATAGGCAGGTCCGGGCGGGGCCAGGACTGAAGCATCTTCCTGAAGGCAGAGGCAGGGTCAGCTGGGCTCTGACTTGCCAGGGTAAGTGGGATCCTGGTCCTCACTCCCTTCCGGAGCAGCAGTGGATTTGGGGTTCCCTGCAGCCTCTAAAACCAGCTCTAGGGCCCCGTCGCCAGCCACTCGGCACACCTTCTCTCCTCTGGCCGCCAGGATTTCCTCAATATTCCTGAGAGAGGAGGGGGCACTGTGACACCGCAGGCCCCGAGCCTGTCCTGTACCTTGGTCCTTCGGGGCACCTCAGGGCCAGGCTCGAGCCAGGGCCGTGGGACGCCTGCTGGTGCGGCAGCAAGGCCCCTGCGCCTGGCCCTGAGGACCCTCGAGAGCCCCCAGAGGCAGCCGCGATGACCATCCCGTTCGCGAGAAGGGCACTTGCTCAGAAGCCAAACTGAAGTGCCCAGGGCCACCGGTACTGACCGCCGCCCCCCAGTGCTCTCCAGGGAGGGGCCCACACTGCCTCCCAGACGCCTCCAAGTCTGGTGTGACTGACCAGTGACTGGCCAGCCAGCGTGGCAGGGAAGGAGCCGGGACCCTGCCCGGGAGTAAGCACTGTGCAGGGTAAGGAAGGAGCCACAGGATCAAAGGGAGTCACAGCTGCGAGAGTCATCTAGTCTGACCCCTCACTTCAGGGGGTGCCGGGAGCCCTGATACGAAACTGGGTCTTGCAGACCCCAAAGGCCGCCAGTGAGGGCAGAGGTCAGGCAGTGAAGCAGAACCGAAGTGGGCGGGTCTATGGCGGGAGAGTTACGAGTACAAGTCAGTCCCTCCTGGGGGACAACTTAGGCTGAAGTTACACTTGTCGTTCACCTGAAACTCAAACTTGCACTGACAAGGCTGGGGAGGTGGACGGGAAGGGCGCCCCAGGGAAAGGCGGGATGGGGCTCCTGACCCACCGGGCCAGCCCTGGCACGCAGGCCTATGTCCCCCAACCCCGGCCCAGGCAGCCTCACCTCTTCCCATCCAGGTCTGAGAACCAGCCCAGGTTGTCGGCGATGATGTGGTGATTCTGGCAGCCGGGGCAGGTCACAATGACCACGCCCTGGTGATAGGCTAGCTTGGAGATGCGCTTGGAGGACCGAGTCCCACAGACCTGGGGGAGACCCGCAGCCCCGGTGACGTCAGTATCTTGCCCCGCCCCTCAAGAAGGCCCCTCCCCCTCTGAGGATTATCTCCATCCCGGGGCAGGGCCCGCCCCCTCCGGGAAGGACCTGCCCCTCCTGAGACAGCCCACCCGAGATAACCCCACCCATCTCCCGGAAAGGCCACGCCCCCGGGAATAACCCCACCCATCTCCCGGAAAGGCCACGCCCCCGGGAATAACCCCACCCATCTCCCGGAAAGGCCACGCCCCTGGGAATAACCCCACCCATCTCCCGGAAAGGCCACGCCCCTGGGAATAACCCCACCCACCTCCCGGAAAGGCCACGCCCCCGGGAATAACCCCATCCCTCCGCACAGACCCAGCTCTCCCCCAAAAGGCCACGCCCCCGGAGCAGCCCCACCCCTCTCCCGGAAAGGCCCCGCCCCTGGGAAATAACTCCACCCCTCCGCGCAGGCCCACCCGTCTCCCGGAAAGAACCGCCCCCGTGGGTAGCCCTGCTCCTCCATGCTGTGGTGCTGCGGGCACAGGGCACCTGTTCCCGCCGCGCCAGGCAGCACCAGATGCAGACCCGGTCTTGCACCCGTTGCGCGCTCACCTTGCAAGTGTAGACAAGCTGGTAGTGCGCGGACACGGGCCCCGGCTCCGAGCTCAAGCGCCGCCAGCCCCAGATGCAGACGCCGGCCCGCCTTCTCCCCGCGGCCTCCGGGCCTGCCCCGCGTCCCCACAGCCACCTCAGGCTGGGTCCCCGGGGCCGCGTGCGGCTTAGCAGCGGCCCAACGCGCCCCAACGCGGCCCGCAGCATCCCGCCCTCCGCCCTCGACCGCCCCGCCTCGCCCCGCCCCGCCGAGGCCGTGCGGCCGCCATCTTGGAAGCGGGCACGCGACGGAAGCGGCCCTTTTCGGTTTCCGTCGGCCGACTGTACTCTGCTGCCCCCTGGAGGCGGGAGGTGCGCGCGCAGCTAGGAGGTACACGCGGGAGCGAAGCCACCAGAGGCGGCGCTGCAGGGACAGCGCTCTTTTATTTACGGAACTGCGTTTCTGACACTGCGGCGCGCGTCTGCATCGCACCGACAGCACGCATGCGCAGTCGCGGTGCGCCGGCGCCCGGTCGTCCTCGCGCGCCCGGCCGCTAGGAGCCCTCCGTGTCGGTGTTGTCGCTGCCCGTGGTGTTCTCCCAGTCCGCCTCCCCCTGCCGTGAGCCGTGCTGCAGCTTCCTGAGGGCGCGCTTCCTGCGGGGGCGAGCGAGTGTCCGCAGGGCCGCGGCGCCCCCGCCCCAGCCTGCCTTCCCGGAGCCCGCCGCCCGCGCGGCGCACCTGCGGTAGTTCTCGAAGCTCTCCTTGAGGCGCCGCCGCTCCTTCTCGGGGGGCTCGCCGCCGCTCAGGCCGGCGTTCTGGGGGAGGAGCGCGGCTCAGGCTCCCCGGGACCCTGCCCCGCCCCTGCGACCCCCAAGCCCCCGTCCAGCTCAGCGCTCGCGTGGGCGAGTGCGGTGTAGACCGGGGACACAGAGCCAGCCTGGCCGGGCTCCAAGCCGGCGTCCCTTCCACGACAGTGCCCACGGCCGCCTGCTCCCACCCAGCGCGCGGCACAGAAGACAGGCTTTCCGCGGCTGCCACGCCCTGGCCCAAGCCGGTTGCTCCGTCCGCGAAGGGGGGGGGACTCGGCTTCCTGTTGCCAACAGTGCAACCCAAGAGCCCACTGGGCAGAGAGAGACCCTTGCGATCGCCCCCAGGCGTCCAGGTTGAGCGGTCACCCTCCCTGGGCTCCGTCACACTGAAGCCATGTCAGAGGCACCCTAGGGCCGCAGGGACCCCCCCCCCCCCAGGCAGCCTTACGTTGGGGGTCAGTGGAAGCGGCTCCTCCTGCAGAGCCTCAAAGGGCTGCTGTGGGCCGTCCCTGTGGGCGGGGCCACCTGGAATGGAGAGTTAGGCCTGTGGGTCCTACCCAGCTGCTGGGACCATGCTTAGCACGGTCAACACCCGGCCACCTGCTCACCCCTGCTGCTGCTGGGCCAGTCCCGCACCACCTCCTGGGTCCTCACTTGGACCCCGAGAGGCGTCCCATTGTGTAGACGAGGGGACTGGGGCTCAGAGATGTCACTCCTCACTCCTGACTCCCTCTAGGCAAGCAGAGGCCGCTGGAAGCCCACCAGGCACTGCCCCACCATCCAACTCTGCTTCTCCTGGGCTGGGGCTGGGGCACTGCAGCAACTGGGAACAGAACATTCCAGGCTGCCAGGTCCCCTCAGAATTCATCAGGGCCCGGACAGGCCCAGGGCTCAGGACCCTGGAACAGAAGGTGCTCTGATGGGCTGCCTCCCCTAATTGGCCATGATGAGAGACTGGACGTCCAGCCTCAGCAACATCACAGGGGGGAGGCCAGACTCTGATCTCTCCCTGGGGCTGGCACCTTTCCCTCCTCGGCCTCCGACCCTGAAGCTTGTCCTGCCTCTTTCAAGGGACCATGCCACCCCTGGGTTGAGGCCTGGGCCTCCTCCTAACGCTCACTGCCTGCTGGGTCCTGACCGCCTGTCCCCACGGACTGACTCCGTGGCCTGAAGCTCAGGCCTCCAGGCAGCGGTAGGCTGCCCGGCTCCCTCACTTCTGCACTGGCTGTTCCCCTTTTGCCTTCCTTGGAAGCCGGTGGCAGGCCTGATGCAGAGGACAGCTGTCGAGGTGGCCCCTCCCCACTTCCCCTCTGACAGCCACATTCGGAGTGAGCCCCTCCACCCCTCCTCACCCCTCCAGGCCACTCCCTGCTGCCCCTGTGCCCGGGCCCTCAGATGGCCCACCTTCCCCACTCTGTTTGCACCTCCTACGCTGGACTTCCCCTGCCCCCTGCCCCCTGCCCCCTGCCCGGGAAGATGCGGGGAGAGCAGGATGCCTCCACTCTGCATTCCTGGACCTGGAGTGGGGTCCGATGGAGGGACGCCCTCTCAACATCGGAGATGGGCATGGGCCCTGCACACAGGCTCTTGTCTGCTCGCTGGGGAGCCTGGAGGGTTCCTCGTCCCTCCGAGCCTCAATGTCCCCAGCTGTAAGGTGGGCTTGTGAAGGATCAGTGGACGGGGCTGTGCGTGCCCGGGGTCAGGACTGGTGCCAACTCAGGGCGATGAGGAGACCTTGGCCAGACTCGTCCGTGAGAGTCCGCTCCCCTCCTCACCTTTGTCTGACAGCTGGGCGGCCTCCAGGTCCGGGGGGAGCGAGAGCTTCCAGGGAGAGAGACGGGCATCCAGTTAGATGGTCCCCCTCCCGGGACCTGCCCCCCCCGCTGTGCCGGTCCTCAGCGACCTGGCAGGAAGGGCCCCCTGCCCTGCTAAGGCGGGAGGAGAGCGGCTGGCCCGGCTCCCACAGGGGACTGGTTTGGCAGGGGCTGCGGCCTGGGGCCCACCCTGAGGGTCACACTCACATCCTGGGAGTTCCTGGGTGAGCTGTCCTCCAGGTCAGAGCTCTGTGGTCACAGAGGAGCCGGTCGGCAGGTTGTGGGGAGACCCCGTCACCCCCAGGCACGGGGCAGCATGGGGCATGGTGAGGGGCCCCAGGGAGGACCCTCTCCAGGCCACGGCGGGCTCGGGCCCCTGCCCAACACCTCTCCCTCCCCCTCCTGCCACCCGGAGTAGCCTGCCAGGCCCTGAGCTGTGCCACTCCCTGCACCCCCCCAGGAGGAGGGGGCTCGGGAAGGCCGGGGATGTGGGCCGTCCGCGGCCCTTCCTGTGGGCCCCGGTGTCTCTGGAGACACGCCCGCCCCTGAGGGCCACTGCCCTGGGTCCCGCTGCGGCTGCGGCTCTGCCCGGCGGGCGCCACGCCGTCCCCAGCCCCCAGGAGACCCACCAGGACGAGCGTCTCCAGCTGCTGCCGCTTGAGCCTGCCCTCCAGGGCCAGCAGCCGGCCCTCGCGCTGGAACAGCTGCAGCTGCAGCTCGTCGGCCTTCTCCGCCAGCTCGCGGACCTGCTTCCGCAGCGCGTCCTTCTCCTGGAGGCTCCGCGAGTGCTGTGCGTGCAGCTCCTCCCGCGTGGCGATGGCCTGCGGGGATGGAGCGGGGCAGGCGCTGGAGACCCCAGTCCCGCCCCCGCCACCTAGCCCATGCGGGTTATGCTTGCGGGATGGCCAATGGAGGGCTCCAAAGAGGCGCACCTGCAGCCCCCACCTGGGAACGGTCCCTGCCAGCCCCGTGCCCTCCGCGACTCCCCCGAGCGCGCGTCCGGCACACGCTTCTGCCCCTCGCGCGGCTTCCACCGGTTTGCTACCCAGGGCACGACTGTCAGCGGCTGTGTAACGTGCCGTATTGCGCCCGACCCTCCGGGGCACACGCCGCACGTACAAACGCGCCAAGGCCAGACCGCGCCTGAGGACACAGCTCTGACCCACCCCGTGGCCGCCAGCCAGGAGCGTGCCCCACACCCACAGTGACGGGCCGGGGGCGCCAGCGGAGTCATGGCCGGCCTGCTGCCTGTAGCAACAGTCCAGGAGGCTAAGCCACATTCCCTGGAACGGCCGGCCCCCACAGCCAGCACTTGGTGGGTCACTGAGAACCGCCTGCATTTCCCTCCCCGCGTCCAACTTAGGACCAACCCCGAGAGAATCCGTCCCCTGCCTCTGGTGGCTGCAGAGCCGTCCCCTCCTGTCCCCTGCTCCGGCAGCCCTGCTGTGAGCTGGGCTCCCCCGCCTCCCACAGTGTCCGCCCCGAGCACCACTGTCCTCCCCACGGGACACGCCTCCAGACCTGCGGCCGCAGGGTTAGGGGCTCCCTAGAGAGGGGGCCAGTCACCCTCCAGAATGTCACCGGAGCACTGAGTGTAGCTGATTAGAAAGGACCCCCGGTGATGGGATGGGAAGGTGGCGGGAGGCAGTGGCGGGGACACAGCCCCACGTGGACTTGTGCATCTCTGGTCCCCAGAAGCGCGGCCACCTAAGGCGCCCACGGTTTTTTACGTTATTTGCCAATCACGATAATTTCTGTTTTTAAGACAAAAATGAAACTATACGTATGTCGTACAAAATCTGAAGGTACAACTGCCGCGGAGAACGGGGTTCCGGCAGCCGGCTGGGGTGGGAGGGGTGTCACCTCGCTGCTGTTCACATTTTTCAACAAGCGCAAACTGGTTTTGTCATTTAAAAGCACTCGGCGTCGGGGCGCCTGGGTGGCTCAGTCGGTTAGGTATCCAGCTCTTGATCTCAGCTCAGGTCACGATCTCATGGTTCATGAGTTCGAGCCCCGCACGGAGCTCTGTGCTGATGGCACGGAGCCTGCTTGGGAGTCTCCTTCTCTCCCTGTCTGCTCCTGCCCCACTCACGCTCTCTCAAAATAAGCAATAAAAAAGAAAAAAAAAACAAAACCACTCGCACAACTGCCCTCCCCCAGAGGCTCCTGCCCCGGAGGCCACAGGACCTGGGAGCGGCCCTGCCACGCTCTCTAGGAGAGAGGCACCCACCTGGTCCCTCTCGACGGCCACCTCCTCCATCTGCTGCAGGATGGCCTCGATGCGGTCCTTGTACATCTTGCAGTCCTTCCGCAGGGCCAGGCACTGCAGCTCGAACATCTCTTTCTCCTCCATGCACTACGGGAGCCAGCCGCTAGCGCCCACCGCCCGGCCCGGCCCCCGGTCAGCCCCCGCTGGCTCCCTGCTGGCCCTCAGCTTCCGGACCAGCCTGGGGTGGCGGGCCAGGGGTGGCGGCTGCGGCCAGTCCCCCTCCCCCCGCCCCCCGCCGAGCCTCCGCCTCAGGGAAGGGGGAGGCAGGCGGGCCGTGCAGCTGAGCGGGGGCCCCCAGCCCACTCAGCCGCATACCCGGGTGCGCAGGGCCTCGCCCTGTCGCAGATCCTTGCGCAGGGACAGGATGGCGCTGGCTTTCTCCTGCTGCTCTCGCAGCGCCTGCCTCCAGTCCTCCTCCAGCACCTGGATGTACGGGCTGCTCTTGTCCGGCTCTCCCTCCTGGGGCAGTGAAGGGGGGCCGGTGGCCAGGCTTCAGGGGCCCTGCCCTCCGCACCGGGGTGCTGCCGGGCCCCACCCCCTGGGGCCCCCATCTGCCTGGGACCCCAGTTCCCACGCGTGCCCCCCACCCTCCCCGGGCCCCAGCTCCCGCGTGCCACCCCCCGCCCGCCCAGGACCCCGGCTCCCACGCATGCCCCCCACCCTCCCCGGGCCGCAGCTCCCGCGCGCCGCACCTGCTTGGCGGCCTCCAGCTCCTGCACGCGCGCCTGCAGCAAGGCCTTCTCCTGCTGCAGCTCCCACAGCAGCTCCTGGCTGGGCCGCTGCTCCATGGCGTGCCGCAGCTTCAGCGTGTGCCTGCGCTCCACCCGGCAGTCGTCCTCGGCCTTCATGAGGCTGTGCTTGAGCCGCTCGATCTGCGGGGAGACGCTGTCAGCCCGCCGGCCGCATGGCGCCTGGGACCGCCCTCCAGCCGCGGGCGCCGGGCACCTCCAGCTGCAGGTCGCGGGTCCGCATGAGCGCGGCGCCCTTCTCCTCGCTCTGGCGGGCTAGACGCATGGCCAGCTCGTAGTTCTCGTCCTTGCAGCGCTTGAGCTCGCGGCTGCCCGCCTCCAGCTCCTCCTTGAGCCGCTGCACGCGCTCCTGGTGCTTGCGCAGCAGGCTGTCCTTCACCCGCAGCTCCTTGATGAGGTCGTCCTTGGAGCTCAGCAGCTGCGTCAGGTCCTGCACCTTCCTCTGCAGCTTCAGCACCTCGCTCATCAGCAGCTGCGTCAGGCCCGACTCCCCGGACGCGTCTGCAGACGGCGGCATCAGAGGGCCCGCCTGGCCTGCTGCACCGCCTCCTGGCCCCCGGGGCTTGAGGACCAGCCACCAGCCCCCCTGCCCCCAGCTCTGGGGACACACAGGCCCAGCCAAGGGGCCGCCCCAAGGCGCTGGTGCTCCCAGTGGGGGAAGCAGGCTGAGGTCCTGACTGCCCTCCCCGCCCTGTCCCCAGCCCGCCCCCAGGAAAGCAGGCGCTGGGCTCTGGCAGGGTCAGAGGGGCTCCGCCCACCCCCAGCTTGGCTCTGCCTTTCCTCCACAAGTGAGAAGGAGCAGGGCGGAGCCTCGAGGCTGGCACTCCCGTGTGCCCCTCGCACTTCCTCTGTCCTCAGTCTAGGCCCCAGAAGACCGGCCACTGGGCCTGCCAGTGGGGCCCCCTGGCCTCACCGATGATCATGGAGAAGACGCGGGTGGGCTCCTTGCCCGTGACCTTCTTGTAGAGCTGCGGGTAGTAGAGCTCCAGGCTCTCGAGGAAGGCCACGTAGCCCTTGTGGCCGGTGCGCTGCAGGATGTCCAGGAGCACGCCTGCAAGCACGTGGCCCGGGCGCTGAGCCCTAGACCTGCTGCCGCCCGCCCTGCCCCGCCCGGAAGCGCCCCAGCCCCCAGCAGACGGGCCGGGAGGTGGGTGCTGGGGAGGGGCACGCTCCCGGCGGAGGCGGCGGCACTGACCCACTTTCCGCTTGCGGATGACCAGGTTGGGGTCACTGAGCACCTGCTCCTCGTCATCGGGGTTCAGCACCTTGCACTGCCGCAGGTAGGGTGTGATGCGCGAGGGGTCGATGACGGAGATGAGCTTCACGCGGAAGCTCTCCAGGACGCTCCAACACTCGTCTTCGTTCTCGTAGTCCGACATGGCGGTGGCTCAGCTGTGCTCCGGGCGGCTCCCTGGGGGAGGTGTCCGGGATGCCAGCTCAGCCAGGGCAGTGCTCCCCAGCCTCCCCCGGGCCCGGCTGCCGCCCCCCGGCTCCTGGGCTCTCTCCCCGCGGCACGCTGATGACTGTGGGGGAGATGTGGAGGCGTTCAGGGGGCTGGTGGTGGCCAGCAACCCCCATGCCCTGCTCTGGGCTCTGTGCCCCCCACGCGCCCGGGCAGGGCCTCCCTGGCAGGTGTGGCGAGGGAGCCGCCCACGCCAGGCCGTGCTGTGCGGGACTTCCTCCTTCCCAGACGCGGCCTGGCCTCACCGCCTCCTCTCCTTCCGGTGGCCGGCTGGTGATGCAACAGCGGGGCTCGGGAAGGGTGAGTGAGGCCACCCACGGGAGACGGGCCGGCTGCGGCACCCGCGGCCGGCCCCAAGGCCACGCTGGCACCCTCGCAGGCTCCCAGGGCCCGGCACCTGCCACCTGTGGGCTCCTCTCCCTCTCGAGGAGGCCAGCTCCTGGCCACGCCTCACAAGAGGGCCACCCGTGCTGGGACCACCTGCCGCTGCTCCCTCTCTTCAGGAGGCGGGGACCACTCCCTTCAGGCCTGGGCCACAACAGGGTTGGCCACGTGGTCGTGCCCTTCTCTGGGTGGTGGGGACAGAGACCCTGACCCGCCGCCAGACAGCCCTCCGCCGGTGTGGGAACCACAGTCCCAGACACGGGTGACAGCAGGCGGCGTCTGGGGAAGGGCTTCTCGGACGTCCCACGGCCCTCAGTCTCCCCGTCTGGCCAGCAGCAGACACCGGCAACTCAGGGGACAGTCCTTGGGACACGAGGCGCTCCCTGCCTTTCCCGCCCAAAATCCACGGGTCCCACACCTGGCCCCCTGCTGTGAGCCCCCTTGTGATGAGCAAACAGGTTCCAGGTGGCCGTGGGGGGGGGCAGGGCACATGGCGCTCTCCTGGGCTGCGTGCCCCAGGACCCCGCTCCCTGCCCCAGGACCCCTGAGCAGAGCTGGGCGTCTTCCCGGCCCCCTTCAGAAAGGGGGGCAGAGCAGCCTTACCTCAGGGTCCTTGAGGGGTCCTGCACAGGGGGGCGCCGAGCAGCACGACGCGACAGACAGGAGCGCCGCTGGCAGCCCGGGAGGAAAGCGTGCACTTCCTGCTGGCGCCGGGTGCTCCACGGGCCCCGGGCAGGTCCTCCCTGAGGGAGCCGGTCTCTCTGATTCGCCCGCCTGGCAGGGCCCGGGAGGCGGGGCGCAGGGAAGTGGAAGTCCCGGAGGGGCCTGAGGCCCGGCCCTGGCACCACGACGTGCGAGTGTGGGCAAGGGCCTCCCGGGGCTGGGTGAGGCCAGTCCACCAGCTGGGCTGCCCTGGCCTGGACCCAAGCTCAGCGGGCCTCTCCAGAAGGGGCCGGCCGGGTGCAGGCGCGGATCCGAGGGCACCGGGCCTGACTCTGGGATCTCGGCCCGTGCCGCGCCGGCACGTGCCTTGGTCACACGAGGGCCGAAGCGGAGTGTCCAAAGAGGGCATACGGGCCTCGCCTGCCCCACGCGGCCACCAGCCCAGGCTACAGCTAGTGCGCCCCCTCCCTCGCTGCTGTCCCCACTCTGCAGCCTCTACCACGACACGTGGACCGTGACATGGCCCCCAAGGCCACTCCCCACACAGTTCCAGAAGGGCTGATGAGCAGCCAGCAGAGCCCGGGCCGGCGGCCAGGACAGCCAGCCCTCCGTGGCCTCCGCCCCTCGGCTGTGCCGGGAAGCCCCAGGCCGAGGCCTCACCGGTGCAGCTGTACCGGTTGAACCGAGATGCCGCTGCCGGGCTGAGGCAATAGCTAAGGAGGCCGGACGGGCAGGGCAGGTCCTGACCAGCGCTCCCCGCCCCACCTCCTCCGCGCAGCTGCCTCTCGCCTGACCGGCTCCCTGCCTGTCTGCTCTCCAGCCTCTGTCCCCGAGCCCCCGGCGGCCGGGGGTCCTGGCACAAGCCGGCGCTGCTGAGCGGGGTGGCAGCCGGCCCCTCCTTGCAGGTCTCCGGGAGGCCTGGAGGGGGGGCAGCCAGTCCCGGGGAAGGGGGTCCTGCTCCCCTACTTTGTAACACGAGGCTGAGGAAGGCCTTTCCCACACGGTGGGGGTTTGTGAGAACTAAATATTAAAAATATCACACTCTCCGTATCAGATGTAAGTTAGAAATCAGTAACAAGAAGCTAACTGGAAAACCCCTAAATATTTGAAAATTGAAACCTCTAGATAGTCCACAGGTCAAAAGAAGTCCCAAGGAGAAGTAGAAATAAACTGAGACAGTACTGACCACAAATCAAAAAATGAAAGCAGGCACATGAGGCCGCGTGGGGGCAGCCCCCCACAGGGCGCCAGGGACGCCCCGCGGGAGGTGTGCAGGGGGAGGCCACGGCACGCAGCGTGCACAGGATGGAGCCCCTGGAGAACTGAGCGTCCTTCAGAGATGCGGACGCTGCTGGGCCTGGACTCCTGCCAGGAAGCGGCCGCACGGGAGGAAGGTGGCGCCGGGCCGGCGTGCGGTGTGGCCCGTGGGCAGCCAGGCTGCTGGGGATCCCGGGCACCCACCTGGCAGAGGCAGAGCTCACGGCAGGCCCCTCGGCCCAAAGGCCACAAACGCATCTCGTGGAGATGGCAAAACCCCCACACGCTGAGGGGGCTCCTCAGACCCCAGGGCCCAGCCGGCCGGTCCCCCATGGCCAGGGGAGGCCCCACCCTTCCACACACCGCCCAGTCTCAGGGCAAGACCACGAGAGCCGGGGGCCGATTTTTAATAAAAAAATAAGCCGTCCACTTTATTCCTTCAAACACCCCAGTCTGTGCGTGAGGACCAGCCCAGGCCCCGCAGCCGCGCGGCCACTGCTGGCAGAGCCTCCCCCGACCTCCAGCTGCTTCTGGCTGCTTCCTCCCGCAGGCTCAGCGGCGGGCCCTCTGGGCAGGCGGGCTCACCAGGGTGCCGCACGGCTCCCACCTCCTGGAACACAGAAGTGCCCTGGTCGGGGGGAGGGCGCCGTAGGACACGGGCCCCAAGTGGCAGCACCGGCTCCTCTGAGGGCACGGCAGAACGAAGTCCCCGCGGGGGCCGTGCTGAGGGCAGGCCCCAGAAGGGGGGGCTCCGGCGGGTACCCCCCCACCAGCATCCCCTCGGTGCACCCATCTGCCCTAACCCGGGACCCAGAGCCTCTCGGGGCACGACCCCCACTGTGCTCAGAGGAGCTGAGTCTGGGGACCTGGACGTCCTTCCCTGTATCTGGCGTTCACACCAGAAACTCAACTAGTCCGTGCTGAGGACTTACTAAGTACCCGCCGCCTGGGCACTGGGGACCCACCCACAGAAACGTTACTAGTCTTATGGGCTCGTGGTCACGCTATGCAAATATGTGCATAGGCCACGTCGGATGTAGTAGACGGTGCCGTCAAGACACACGGACATGGGGACAGCAGGACAACAGTCAAGGACACCTCCGAGGAGTCCACCACCGAACAGACCCGACTGGAGGAAGGGAACCAACCTTACAAATAAAAGAGCAGTGCAAAGGCCCTGAAGCTCACGTGGGCTGGCAAGAAGGAAGCACCAGAGCCCAGGATGTGGAACCCAGTGGGAGAGGGGTGTCACCAGGGGAGGGGAATTAGACGGCCCCCTCCCGAAAGGGCCTCCACAACCCCAGCTCCGCCCCGAAGGCCTGCATACACCTCCCCCAACCCTGCCTAACATCATCACACTTGGTATGAGCTCCTAAGGACCAGCCTGCTCGGCCTTTGGAAAGCTGTTGGCTCCCACGTGCCCAGAGCAGAGCCGCGGGGAAGGCCTGTCTCTTCCAGGGTGCGGGGCCACCTGCAGCCGACCCCCCACCACTTACCCTGCCGCTCACAGCAGCCTCCTCCTCTTCCGGGCATGCCAGGAGCGCCGGGTTCTGAGCACATCGAGGTGGTCAGAACTGTGTAGGCAGGAAGAGGCAGAGCCCTCCCCAGGGTCTGGGGCTCCCTGAAACAAAACCCAGGCAGGGACAAGTGACCCCCAGCCAGGACAGGCAGGGAAAGCGACGGCAGCAGAGTATGCCAGGGCAGGAGCCGTGTCCGGACACCCCGGACGCCAGGGACAGGCAGCTCCCCAAACCTGTCCTGTGGCATAGAGACACTACAGACTGGGCCTGGTGACACAGCCACATGTGCAGGGGCCACACGTGGGCTATGTCCCCCCCCACCCCCAGCAATGCCAGAGAGGCAGCCCTGTGTCATGGCCCTCCCGGCCAGGCCAGCAGGGCAGGGGGCCTGGAGAGCCCGCCTGCGGGACGGGGAGGGAGGCAGCCCTTCCCTGCACAGCCCCGGCCCTGCCCCCGCTGTCTGGACAGCGCAGAGGTCAGCTCCAGCTGGGGCAGCCACCGCAGGAGACCCCACGATCTCCCTGACTCGGCACAAAACAAGGAGGGCCGGCTCTCCTGCTTGGCCACAGAACGTACGCAGACACCCTCCCGCATGGTTAGATCAGGTTTCTTGTCAGGAAACAAGAAAAGCGGTTTTGCCTCCACAGCCCAGAAAACTCTCCTGAGGCAGACAGTGCCAGAGCAGACAGCGGGAAGGACCTTGGGGTCCCCGGACGTGCAGGGGCGCCCGTGGTGAGCTGGCAGCCGCCAGCAGGAGCCTGTGTGCGCGTGTACTTGTGTGTGTGTGTGTCCGTGCGACACACGAGCCGGAGCCCGCCTGCTCAATGCTCCCGCACGGCTGCGCGGCTGCACGGCCAGGGTGGAGGCCCCAGGGGAGGCCGAGGGGCTTCGTGAGTGGAGAGGTTCCTTCCTCTCCCGTTTTCCACACCAGCCGCGAGGCAGGCCACATCCGCACAGACAGAGCCCAGAGTCAGCTTCCTCCTCAGCAACCAGCCACAACTCCCGCCCGCGCTGCTCCAGGCACCCACAGCCGTGGCCTCGGGGAGGCTGCCTACCTGCACGGGGGTGGTGGCCGCCGGCCCTGCCCAAGGGCGGCTCGTGGAGCAAGCGAAGGTGAGCTCCGACTCCCCCAGGCCCAGGTCGTCCTCGCTCTCAGAGTCAGCCCTCGCGGCTATGGACAGGGTGGTGGGGACGCCGTCGGGGGACAGGGTGGCCAGGAGCGCGGGGAGGGTGAAGGCCGCCAGGAACCGGGCCTTGAGCAGCAGGTAGGCCGGGCTGTCCCGGAGCCGCCCCCGCACCTGTCCCAGCGAGGCGTGCAGGGCTCCGGCGCCCCCCGGCACGAGGCGGGCAGCTTTGTGCTCCAAGGCCGCCTTCTCAAGCAAGAGCGCAGACAGGGCCCGCAGGCTGCACAGGGCGGGGGGCTGGTACGGCAGCCTGCTCCCCAGCGGGGGCACACGCACCCCACGCCGTCCCCTCAGCCACTCTCGCACGACCCCCTCACTCTCCTGGGACAGGAGGTCCAAGTGCAGGGCGCCCCTCTCAGGCCCAGGTCGGGGTGGGGGTGGCCTCTCCAGGCCCAGAGGCTCTCTGAGTCCCTCTGGCCCCGAGGGGGACCCTGCTGTCCCTCCTGGGCCACTGCCAGGGCCGGTGCCACCTCGCAGAGGCGGCTGGCTGGGGCCGGGGGGCTTTGCTTCAGGGTGGCCAGCCAGCAGTGTGGCCTGGGCAGGTGTCGCAGACACAGCTGTGTCCCCGGCCACTTGGGCTTCTCCAGGGAAGGAGAGCCCCCCAGGGCCGTGGGCCCCATCGCTGTCCACTTCCACAGAACCTTGGGACTGGCAAGGGATTGGAGGGCCTGGCGGGTCTGTCCTGCAGCGAGGGTCTGAGTCTGTGTCCCCATTGGCTGGGGGCTGCCAGGGGTGGCTTGGCCCGGGGAGCCTGGGGCCCTGGCCCATCTGCCTCCCAGGCAGGGAGGGTGGGAAAGCCACTGACAGTCCTTTGGGGTCAGAGGTCCCTGTTGGCCCACGAAGGCCCACCACAGTGGGCACGGGGAGCAGCCCCTGAGCTGTGAGCACCCAGGTGACAGGCAGAGGGGTGCCGGCCGCCGTGTGCGGCCCACCCTCACGCGTGCCCACAGCTGGCGCTGGGCTGACAGGCTGCACAGGCAGCTGAGTGGGGCTGAGGGCTGCAGGTAGAAAGGGTGGTGCTTCTGGCAAGCCCTGCTTCCGGGACGTGGCAGGGGCCTGAGACTGGCCCAGGCCACCTCGCTGGCCGTTCACAGGGACCTGGCGGGGGCCCAGAGCCGACAGCCGGGAGGCAGCAGGGGCAGCGTCTGTGGAGGCCGGGGCGCCGGCCAAGACTGGCAAGACGGAGGGCCTTCCGTTGTCGGCCGAGGCCCGAGCACCTGAAGCTCGCAGCCCCGTCGCTGCAGGGGCGCTGGGCCCGGGCAGCACCGAGGCTGTGACAGCCAGGCCCGGAGCCGAGGGGCCGTGGGGGGCTCCCGGGAGACGGGGCTGGAGCAGCAGCGGGGAGGCGAGCAGCAGCTGGGGCGGGAGAGCCACGGCGCCCTGGGCGGCCTTCCTGGCCCGGGCCTCCCGCAGCCGCTTCTCTCGGAGCAGCTCTGAGACCGTCTTGGGCTTGGGCCGGGGGCCACACGGAGCTGGCGGGGGTGCCCGCGGGCCGGACTCGGCGTGGCAGGGCTGCAGCGCCCTGCTCCCTTTGTGGCCGGCGCTCTGCTCTGCAGGTTCTCGGGCCGGCGCGCTCCGGAAGCCGGGGCCTGCGGGGCAGACAGAACACGCGCGCTGACGAGGGCCACGCGTGCGGATGGGAAACGGGCGCTCCCTCGGGAGGGCGCTGGCGGAGGGCAGGGGGCTGCTGGGACTGTGGAGCAGGGGCATGGCGTCCGAGCTCCCGCTGCGGCCAGGGTGCTAGGTGGGCAGCAACAGGCCTGTCGAGGACGGGACAGCACTGTGCCCCGTATGTTTTTGGAACAAAGACCCCTGGCCGCCTCTCATGGTCTCCCAGGACCCCAGGCCCCCACAGGGCGCCACTGGCATGGGGAGACTGGTGGCGGCAGAGGCCCTGCCAGACGCCCGGGGCCAGAGGCGCCCGCACAGCCCCTGAGTCTGCAAGGGGCAGGGAAGCCCAGGGGCGGCTGGTGCTCTGGCGGGAGGAGCCCGAGGGGCTGTCTCTGAGGCCTCCCACCAGCCACACCCTCATCCCTGCCATGGCCTTCAGACGAGACCTATCACTGGGGCCACAGCTGTGCTGCTCAGAGCCCGAAATTCAACACCTACAGCAAGTCTGTCCCTTTCCCGCTGCACAAGATAGCGAGACAGGGACGGAGACAGACAGACGATACCTGTGGTGCTCCGGGTGCGCGACGGTACCTGAAAACGAAAGGTGAGCGCCTCAGGGAAGTCCCTGGCCGCCCTGGGTGAGCTCATCACGCCGGGGGGTGGGGCTGTGGGATTTGAGGGAGAGACAGGAGCCTGGCCATCCAGGCAGAAGGCGCCGGGGCCCGGGCAGAGCACCATGGGGCTGATCTGGTCATTCTGTCATCCCCTCCAGCTGTGACCGGGCTCAGGGACATGATCGCTCCTGGGAGCCCCCACGCCTGGCATCCCACCCCAGCAGGGCCAATGCCCAGGGCAGCCCACACCGAAGGGCTCGGAGGCCTCCTCACAGGAGTGGGGGGCGCGGGGCGGTGGGAGGGGCACGTGCAGTGGATGCAGGCAGGCGCAAGTGCCCCCCGGGTCCCCGGCAGGTGGGCAGACGCCTCCGGGGAGAGATCCCTGGGCGAGGGGCGAGGGGCCAGGCAGGGCCAGCAGAAGCCCCGCCTCTAGGGCACCCGGGACGGCCCCCCGTCCCGGAGGAGCTGGTGTCACCTACTCCCCGGCTGCACGCGTGCTGTCCGTCCCCCCCGGCACTAGCCCTGCCCGGTGAGCCCGTGTCCAGTGCTCACCCCTATTTCTCACCGGTAGGAGCCCAGGCACTGGGTCCCGAGGGCCGGGCTGCAGCAGGGCAGGGGGCTGGGCCTTCCTCTCTCGAACGACCTCCATGCAGCCGGCTGTGTCGATCTGGAACAGCTAAGCGACGAGTGGGACACGTACGTGACCTATACACGACAAGAGCCTGTCCCCTTTCCCCACCAAGGACCGAACAACAAGGTGCCTGTGACTAACGCAGGCAACTGCAGAGCCCGGCTGCCCAGATGCCTGGGGGCACAGGAGCAGCGCTCCCTCCTCCGCCTGGGCCTCGGGGCCCTGAGCCTCCCTTCACACCCGGGGGCTCCCAGCACTGCCAGGCCTGCGGGCGGGGTGGTGCTGCGCCGGGGATGCTTTTCCACACCGACCTGCCTGCTCAATGTCGCAGACCCACTGAAAGACCCTTTCCAAGGGCCCAGAAGTTCAGAAAGTCAGACTTTAAGAAGCGAATCCATAAACGTCACCACTTCGCCCAACGAAAACCGAGCACGAGACGAGGAAGCTGGGAGGAGCTTCTCACCTGGATGAAGAGGGTGAACACCGGGGTGCTGGCCAGGTGCGCGTCCTGAAGCTGCTTCCTGACGCCATCGGCTGAGGAGACACCACGGCTCTGGCTACCGAGGCCCCTCTCTGAGGGCCCCCAGGACCCCAGCCTGCTCTGTCCGTCTGCTGCCGCACTCAGCCAGAAGGCCAGGGACCAGAGGGCAGGCCAGGCCTGACCGGCCCTCCTGAGCCGAGAGTCCCCACCCCCAAAACCACCAGCTTCTGGGTCTGAAGAGACCCTTGCCAAGGCCTGAACGGCCGGTCACTTTGCACACAGTCCCACGTGCCCGTCAGGTCGGAGACAAAACCCAAGCAGCCCTCCACGGGGGGGCATGTGGGTCCCCTTCTGCGCACCCCCCCGGCAGGGTCACCCCTCACTGCCCTGTCTCTCCCCAACCCGGGACCCACAGGAGGCTCCCGAGGGCCCCAGCAGTACCTTGGGTGTGCGGCACGGCACGCCTCCGGGCAGCGCTGGGCAGGACGATGTCGCCCACCCACGGGCTCACGGCCATCAGGAGCTGGCGCTCCAAGAGCCTCCGCTGCAGCGAGTGTCCCCGGCCCCGCTGCCTGCTCCCCATGGGCCTATGCCACAGTGGCGAGACGCAGGCGCCGGCCCCCGCCGGTGAGCCCAGAGGACACGGCTGCCTCAGTTTCTCCTTCTGCGTGAGGAAGGAAGGCACCTGGGGTTCCCAGCCCTTCCCCGGACTGGAGGGGGCAGAGGGCCTGCCCCTTCCAGTGCCCGGCGCCGGCGGGCCGTGTTGGTCCTCACTCAGCACCTGCCGCACCGTCTCCGGGGGCACCCTGAGCAGACGGCTCCCGCTGACAAGAAGACGCGGGGCTGGACACGTGCAGGCCTGGGACAGGGCCTGCGGCGCCCGGAGCCCACAGCAGGGCGGTGGCCTCGGGGCTGAGGCCCGGCACGACTGCCCGCCTGGCCGGGCCGCAGCCAGAGCTGACGGGGCCCCTGCCCCAACAGCCAGCTCCCCAGGTGACGGCACCAAACGCCCATCAATCCACAGGCAGCAACCTGGGGACTGGGCGCAGGGGCCTGTGGTTACTCACGCGGGAGAGAACCCGCGCGGCACGGAGCTGGTGTGAGCCCTGCCTGCTGCCCCTCAGGGGCCAGAGTGGAGTCTCCAACCTCTTCCAGGACAGGCCCGCCTGTCAGGCCCTGACCGCAGCTGTGCGCGGAGCCACAGCGCCCTGACACCTCTTACGCTGACTGGGCAGGTGTACGTGGGACTGCGCAGGGTGGCCCTTTCACAGGGGATCCCCTGGACTCACACGGGCCAGCAGACCCCTCCTTGCTGCCTCCCCGTGTGGCCTGGGGACAGAGGGGTCAGCGCAGCTCCAGGTGCCCGCCTAGTGGCAGCCTTGGAAGCTCACACGCAGCTTTTAAAGCAAAGTGCTGCTGGTGGCCTCGATGAAACGGCTGCTGCCCTGGATGCACTTCTCCCGAAACAGGCCAGGGGTGGATGTTCGCCTGAGTGAGGGCAGGGGTTTGTTCCCAAGCGCCCAGGGACCCAGCCGACACAGCCCCGGCACCAGCCTTGGTGACCGTGAGCGGAAGAGCATCTGATCAGGTGCGCTGGGGCCTGTGACCTACCTCGTCCGCTGGCCCCTCGGAGCCTGAGGGGGGAGGACCCGCCGAGCCCGGGCAGCCGACAGCGCTGGCACTGGGGCTGAGGGTCCCAGACGGGGTGGGCACTTGGCCTCCTTCCCGTGCGGAGGCCGAGGCTGGGGGGCAAGTCGCTCTGGCAGCCTGTGCCCCGTTGGAGCTGTCGGGAGGGCTGGGTGGGGCAGCCCGGCGGCCCTGGCCGCCCCAGGTGCCCCCCTGCCTGGCAGGAACCCACAGGGCCATGTCTGGCACGGCTTGCTGTGCCGAGGGCAGCACGTGGCCGGCTGCCTGGGCCTCTGGGGCTTCTTCGGGCTCCGAGTCCTCACTGAGCCTGCTGCTGCTGCTGCCGCTGCAGTCCCCATCGCTGCTGTCCTCGCTGCTGGAGCTCCAGCGCTCGCTGCGAGGGGGCCGCCGCCGCCGCCGGCCCCGGCTCTGCTTCTTCTGTGGGGAAAGGGCTCCTTGGAGGCCTCGGTGACCCGGGGCTCATGGACCAGGGCCCTTGGGCAGGCAGGCCAGCCCTTTGGGCAGAGACCCCGAGCGGGCTTGGACACGGTGCACGGAAAGCACGGCACCCCAGCTGCTCCAAGATGACGGCAGCTGCTGGCAGCTGCGGACACCAGCCGCCCCTCCTCTCCCAGCCCTGCATCCCTCCCCCCGGCCCGCGGTGATTCCGGCCCCACACCTAATCCAGCCCCCCGACTGAACGCTGGTACACCTTACCCTAACCATGATTTTCCACTTGCTCAGACACTGGGAGCCCGTCCGATGGGGTAGTTCCGAAGCTATTTTTGCCCAGTGACCTACAGACACAGAGCAATGTAGAAGCTGCTTCACGCAGCGCCGGACAATGGGTCTACCAGCTTGAAGGGGGGCCCTTCTCGGAGACGCGCCATCTCCCACAGAGGGCCTGTGTTGTGTTCCATCAGAGCAGGGTCTCTGGGCACCTGCATGCACCCTCACATCCAAGCAGCTCAACGACAAGCAGGGCTTCTGATTCTTGGAGGACAATTGGCCCTTTAACAGAATTCCAGATGATGCAGAACCCAGAGAGAAAAGCCATCCACGCTTATGTAAAAACAGCCCCCGTGCATCTGCCACGCCCCAGCTTCTACACCCGATGTTTAAAAGCATCTCTTCTTTCCTCCCGGAAGGTGCTGGCGGGAGGACCCCGGTGCCCTGCTCTCATGGACAGCGTGACCTGAGGCGGATGCCAGGATTCTGCACTCGCCGCGCTGGGCCACAGCACATGTAGGATTTCTCCCAAGGAGAGGCTGCGGACAGGTGTGGGGACTTTGCTGCCGAACCCTCAGCTCATTCCAGCCAACAGATGGCGGGCTGGGTGACTTGTGTGCTATCACTTGGGGAGACACGATGCGGTCGTTGAAAGCCGCGGTTGTTGAAAGCCATGGTCGAATGTGGGACGCATAAAGATGGAAAAACAACCATGACAGATGGCAAAATGGTATGAAAGAGCCATCATGACCTCGTCACGTCGAACGACTCCACTTTCAAAAGCTGTCCCAGACACGGGCCCAGGGAGGATGGGGCAGGAGCGCGCCGGCGGCACGGGCCTCCCCTGCAGCACATCCACACTCGGCTCCCTACGCTGGCCGTGTGTCAGGCTGCAAGAAGGAAAAGCCGCGGCTGCCTGCTGAGGACGGGGGGGGGGGGCGGGCAGAGACCAAGGCGGGCAAATGGGCCAAGGACTCACCAGCGCCATGCTTTTCTATCAGTTCCACCAGCTTCTCCTCCTCCTTGGCGCTCCACCGCCCCTTCTTCAAGCCGAAGTACAGCCTTCGGAGGTACCTGAGGGCAGCTGGGCCACGGGCCACGTCAGGCACCAGAAGCATGATGACCCGCAAAAACCACAAACTAGGTTTCATCAAAGGTAAACACTTTCAATGCGCCTCTGGGGACGCCATCGAGAAAGTGGAAGTGCAGCCCACACGCTGGCAGCGAGCATGTGCCAGCGGCGTGTGGGCTGAGGGACTCCTGCCAGGGCACCAGCAAGCCAGCACCAGACACCGCTCCAGTCCTCCAAGGGGCAAGTGGGGGCGTCTGGGCGGCTCAGCTGGCTGGCTCTCCGACCCGCACAGGTCATAACCTCGCAGTCCATGAGTTCGAGCCCCGTGCCCGGCTCCACGCTGACAGGGCGGATCCTGCTTGGGCTCCTCTGTCTCCCCCTCTCTGCCCCTCCCCCGCTCAGGTTTTCTCGCTCCCTCAGAACAAGCTTTACGACACTAACGGGTATTTCTCCAGACGGGATGTGCAAACAGCCGGTTAACCCCATGCAGGCACGGGCCCCACATGGTGAGCCGTCAGGGAGACTCCAGGCAGAGCCAGGCCCACTGAGATGCTGGCCGTTGGCGTGTGCAGGCGCCACCAGGGCGTGCAGTTACCACGTGACCTGCAAACCCCACTCTGGCGCACCCCTGAGGGCAGCTCATCTGGCCACAGGCGTCCCCGCGCACAAACGTTCACGTTTCCGAGGCTCATCCATGCTGCCGTGTCAGGATGGCATTCGTTTATCTTGTGAAGTAACCTCCACCCACAATGTGGGGTTCGGACTCATGACCCTGAGATCGAGTGTAGACATGGCAGAGCCAGCCGGGTGCCCCCGTTTTGTTTGTTTTTAAGGCTGAATGATATCATGCCATCCATCTAATTCTAGAACCGCGTCTGTGGTCTCCACACCGGCCGTTTCCGCCCCGCGCCACCGTGCCCGTTCGGGGCTCTGCTCCAGGAGGGTGCGGGCGCTCACTCCGTCTCCCTAGGATCCCGCTGTCTTCCGCGGCGCCTGCACTGCGTCACCCTTCGCGGGCACATGAGGGCCGCACTCTCTCCATGCCCTGGTCAGCGTGGCCTCTTCTCCAGAACCCTTCCAGGACGAGCATCCGACATGCGCGAAGCGGTCCCTCGCGGCTGCTGTGACCGTCCTCCCCAGTGACCCCTGCCTCTGGAGGAACGTCCACTCGAGGCCCCCTCCTCCTCCGTGTTACTGTTGTTGTGAAACAGGGTTCCTTCGTGGGGGTCACAACGTCCTGAGCTGACCGGGGCGAAGGGCCACACGCGCAGTCGCACTAAAGCCCGCAGGCCTGTACCCTGAGGGAACACACTGTGCGGTGCATGGCTGGCGCTCTAACGGAACATCGTGAACACGCCTGAGGGGAGACGAGGTGGCTGAAGCCGCCTCTGGGGCGCTGGGCCGTCGGGGCTCTGGCGGAGCACCTCTGACAACGGGCTTGGGGGCACTGCCAACCAGGGCCGCCTCACGTTCGATAGAAACGCCATCCTGCTTCCTGACCGGCCGCCCCACCCCCACCAAGCCCCGGCAACACACCACCCTGGGCCGCGGGCTTCTCCCCCGCCCGCTGGCTGCCCCGGAAGGCCGCCCGCATCCAGCGGGTCCAACTCACCGGTCTCGGCACTGGGCATCGCTCCTACCTGGCACCTCTTCCCGGATTTTAAACCAATCCTGCTCCCCATACTTGGCAACTGCTCGGAGCAACTTCTGCGGGAAAGGACGGCGATCCAGCGATGAGTCTGTGGGCGGCCACGGTCCCCACAACCCCCGCTCGGTCCCCTTAAGAAGAGACGTCAGAGGAAGGCTCTGCTCGGCCCCCCAGCAGCAGACTCACCGCATCCTCCTCTGGGGCCCAGAGCCCCTTCTTCAGGCTGGGGTCCAGGCTCTTGGTCCAGCGGTAGATGAGCTGCATGGAGTCCCTCCCTTCCATGTAGTAGACGACTGGGGACAGAGGGGCCGCGTGACCCCGTGTGCCCGGGGGGGGCACTGAGGCGGCCCGCGGCGGGGGCAGGGGTGCGTGCTAGCCCACTCACTTCTCCGGTAGGGGATGTGGCTGCCGACGCGCATCTCCTGGACGAGCTGGGTGAGCAGGTGGTCCTCCTCCGGCGTCCACTCCCTGCGCTTCAGCCCCTTGTTGTGCTGCTGGTACTTCTGCAGGCACTGGAAGGCGCTGCGGTTGGTCTTCCGGGGGCCCAGGGTGAAGCAAAGTGGGTGTTACCCGGCGAGCACCCCTGCGGAGGGCGTCCCCGCGACTACAGACTGCCGTGAAGCCCCAGACCGGACGTTTACAGCGAGAGACCGAGTTCAGAGAACTCCGCGATGGCTCACTGACGTGGCGCTGGAGCCGCACCACCTGCGCGCTGGGGGCCTGTGCTGCCACCCCAATCCCGGGCCTCACCCGTCTCTCTGCAGCCCCCGGGGTCCGCCCAGACAAGGGGCAGCTGCGAGGTGGAGGCGTGTCGGGGCGCGGAGACCGGCGTGGTGTGGTGCCCACATCTCTGGAGGCCCCTCCCGGGGGGCTCCAGGGTGTCTGGACTCGCTTCTGTACACACTGCAGTTCAGCAACTACACCGCCAGTCTATACCACAGACGCTTTTGCTCAGATCTGCCCCGTCACTCGTTCCCTTATGGGAAAAAAGTTTCCCAAAAGCTAATTACTGTTACTTGAACTCTCTTTTTTTTTTTTAAAGAAAACTCCTGAGTTACAGACAACAAGAGACACACAGATGGGCGTGCAGTCTGCTAGCCATAAGGTCTGGCTGTGACGATGACTTTTTAGACACAACACCACACGCGTGGTCCTTGAAAGAACGGAGCAGCCAGACCTCGTCAGAACTGAGGACCCCTGCTTAGCAAAACACACCGTCAGGAGAGAGAGACCAGGAGCCACTGACGGGAGAGACCATCTGCAGAACACACCTGATAAAGGGCTGTTACTCTGAACACGCACAACAGTCCTTCAAACTCAACAGGAAAACAATCGGATTAAAAAACAGACCAAAAATTGGGGCACCTGAGGGCTCAGTCAGTGGAGCATCTGAATCGTGGTTTTGGCTCTGGTCATGATCTCACGGTTCATGAGATCGAGTTCTGCGCTGGGCTCTGTGCTGACAGTGCGGAGCCTCTTGGGATTCTCTCTCTCTCTCTCTCTCTCTCTCTCTCTCTGTCCCTCCCCTGGGCATGCATGTGCTCTTGCCCACGTGTTCTTTCTTTCCCTCAAAATAAATACTTAAGAAAAAAAGACCAAAAACCTCAACAGACCTTTCACCGAGGACAACACACAAACAAGCAATGAAGCACCGGGTGTTTGTCACCAGGGAAAGGCCACCACCACAGCCTACGAGGGCGGCCGGGGTCTGCAGCCCTGACGGCACCACGCAGGGCACCACGCAGGGTGAGGGCTCGGGCGGCGGGACTCCCGTTCGTGGCGAGGGCCACATGACGTGGGCAGCCAGTCCACAGGACGGTTTGGTGGCTTCCTCCAGAACTAAACACCCTCTTGGCATATGACGGCTCCTTGGTGTTGACCCAAAAGACTTGAAAGCTCCCCCCCCGGACATCCGTGCACAGGGGTCAGCCAGCAGCTTCACTCACGACCGCAGGGCCCCGGAGGCGACCAGGGTGCCCTTCAGCAGGCGGTGGAGGAAGTGCTCCATCCGCACGACAGGACGTCCGCTGGGAAGAAACGCGTGGTCAGGCCGAGAGGAGACGCGGGGCCCTTCACGCACCTGCCCGAGCGGAGGGCGCCGTGGGAACGGGCCACGCGGCAGGACCCCGGCCCCGCGACATCCCGCAAGAGGCACAGCCGTGCAGGCAGTGAAACGACCCACGCGAGGCCGTCACAGCGGACGCCTGTCACCGCGTTCGTCCCAGCCCCCAGAGCGCCACCGCCAGGAGGGCCGAGTGCCCCCGGGGTCTCTGGGTGACAGCGGCAAGTGAGTGCAGACCCAGTCCTGGGAAAGGGTGTGGACGGCAGGGGACAAAGGCCATAGCCGAGTCTCTGCGCCTTCCTCTCACTTCCTTGTGAACCAAAACCGCTCCAAAAAAACCAAACTCTTAAAAGAGCCCCAAGAAACTAAGGAAATGAAAATAAAAACTGACTTTAAAACCACGGCTCCCAGAGCACGTAAAGTAAGTGTACGCACACCGGGCTCCTTAGCAGCTCAGCGGAAGCGGAACACCAGACGCGAGGAAGGCAGTGCCTTTCCGACGCCACCACGCTGGCACGGCGCTGGAGCTGCGTGCCTCGAGACACCGAGCTGAGGACTCGGGGGTCCCCGCTGCTCCCCGCGCAGCCGTGGTGGACTTCAGCGTGGCTCCCTGCACTCACATGCTTGTCTGGGAAAGTGATAAACTAACTACAGGTCGGGGAGTTTACAGATCGCTTCCTCAGGTCGTGAACCCGTAAAATTCAAACCAGAGAACGATTCAAGAGACTCCAAGAAACCAAACCACGGAGAGACTGACAAAGCTCGTTCTTACACAAACTAAGATCCAAAGACGTGAGGAAAAAACCAAAACCAAACCTGACCTACAAACCTACAAAAGGGAGAAGAGCTCACAGCAAGCTGTTCTCAGAAAAGTGGGCCTCACGTGCCTCACGCGCAAAGACGGACGGAGCGGAGCCCTTCATCTTCACCTCGGAAATGAGAAAACCAACGCAGGAGCTCGGAAGAGAGCGGGAAGGGGGTTTCCCTCGAACCCCTGGGCTTGATGGGAACAAGGAAGGACACAGGCCGGGAGGGGAGGGGAGGGGGAGGGCGAGTGAGCACTCAGACAGGATGGGGTCCGAGGGGCTGGAAGCTTCTGGAGACTGCCCGGGGAGGGTTCTCCCAGGGCCACGCCCTCTTAAACGGCAGGAAGAGCCCGACGGCCCCCAGGGCGAGGTGCGACCCGCAGCCCGCAGGGCCCCCGAACCCGCCCGGCCTCCCTGCTGCGGACCCGCTGCCGCCTGGCGTCTCGGGGGCCCCTGGGCCTCACCCCCAGCTCCTGGGCGATGTGCTGCCACTGCAGGTGGCCGTGCGCGGCCGCGAGGGCCTGCAGGCGCCCCACCTCCTGGCCGCTCCACTCCTGCTTGTTGATGCTCGGGTGTTCCCAGTTCTGCCAGAACTTGCGGATCTCCTCTGCGCCGCGGCCGCCCTCAAACTGTGGCGACAGACACAAGCAGCCTGCGAGGCCGTCCCCCTAACGGCCGGCCAGGACAGCCAAGCGCCTGGGACAAGCACGGCCCCCGACCAGGTGGCCAGGACTGGCACCGCAAGGAGTGGGGTCTGGGCTCCGAGCGCCGAGCCTGAACCTTCGCGCCCACCCACCTGGGAAGAGGCAGCTCCCCCGGCAGGCGAGCCCGAGGGGCCGCTCCACGCTGCTGGCCGCGCGCCTGACCGGAGGCGTCGCGGCGGGTCTAGCGGCCACAAGGAAGCCTGCCCACCTCGAGCTGACGCATGGCCCTGGCCGCCAGGACGGCTGCAGGCCGTCACCCCAGCGCGGCCCCAACTTACGTTAACGTTGGAGATCTTCTCCCAGTCGTGGCTGTCCAGCCTGTCCCCCAGCAAGGCCTCCTCTGGGAGCTCCCTGGAGGAAGGACCGGGTCGCCAGGGTGAGGCCCGGCCTTCCTCGCCTGTCCCCGTGTCACAGCCTCCCCAGAAGCCGCAGCTCACCGGATGTCCTGGACCTCCCTCTCCGTCTCCCTGCTCTGCTTCTCCAGGACCTGCCTCTCCGCCTCACTGGTCACCCTACTCCGTTTCTGGTGCAAGTATTCCAGCCTGCGGGGCAGAGCAGAGGCACTGGGGTTAACCGCTTCAGGGCCGTGCCCTGGGGGTAGGGGCGTCCCTGGGGCCAGCTCAGCCTCCTCGCGCACCGGGGCTCGCGCACCGCTCCACGCGATGCCGCCCAGTGGCAGGGAGCACACACGGGAGCCCGGTTCCGGCTCCGAGCCTGCCTCTTGCAGGCAGAGGGCTTTCCCAGCTCCACACCCAGAGGAAGCAGCCAGCGACACCCCCTCTCCGGGCTGTCACCAAGGTCACGTCAGCAGCTAGCGTGACGCATCTGCTGACGCGGATGGGAACAACCACCAGCTCAGCGTGGGCCCAGCGCGCAGGAACATGCTCTGCGGGCAGCCTGGCGACGAAGCTGCAGGAGGCCTCTCCGGAGGCCCGGGAGGAGGAACCCACCCGGAGGCAAGTCCTGACCCAATACGGAGCCACGAGACCGTGGGCCCGGCCGCCAACACCCCAGCCCAGCCGCAGGTGCCACGATCAGGTCACATGATGTCAACCCTTCATCACACAAAGGGTGGGTCTCACGAGCAGCCCGTTTTCACACGTGGACATAGAGGCCGAGGCCAGAGAATCCACCCGGACCACCTGACTGAACGCGGCCACTCGGCCTGCCCGGTTCTTGCACGCCTGGCCTCCGGCTCGGCCGCCTCCTTGGGGAAAAGTTCCAGGGGTCGGCGTCCCTCCCACCGGGAGCAGGGGGACTCAGCCACACCAAGCGTCTGCCTGCTGCAGAGCCCCAGGCCTGGAATCCCCGTGGCCCTCGGGGAGGCTGGCGCCTGCGGCCACACGTACACTTACTTCAGGAGCTTGGGCTGAAGCAGGCGCTGTAGGCGGTCGCTCACCACCGACCTTCTGAGCAGGGCCTTCTCCCAGGACTTCCCTGAGAAGAACGAACGGCATCAGCGGTGCCTTCCCGACTGCCCCTCAAGGAAGTAGCACACGACCATTCCAGGACCACAGCGCCGGCAGCGGAGCCCGGCTGCGGACACGGACTCTCTGTGAAGCGAGCAGGACGCCATGGCCCAAGCTCACGGAAGGGCCCCTGGGGCTGTGTTCGGGTCTGGGTCAGGAGAGCCTAGACCATGAGCTGTGGGGACGGGGGTCCCCGCATGGCACGTGGGGCAGGCTAGGGCTTCGAGTGGCCAGTGCCAGAAGTCAAGGCTCCAAGGAGCCCACGGAAGCGGAGGAGGGTGCCTGTGGAGAGGCAGGGCTGCGGTGCTGAGGGCCAGGTGCGGGCGCTTACACTTGGTCACCAGGAGCTCCTCGAAAGCCTTGATGCCCTGGGCGGCCTTCTCCCGCGTGTCTTCGTTGGCTGGAGGCCCCTGCCAGACAGAGCGGCGTCACGGCGCGGACGGAACCCGAGCGCTCTCGCCTCATTGGCCTCCTCGAGCAGCCTGGCCACATGGGAGGCCCGGCAGCGGACACGTGGGCGCGGAGCTGGGCTCTGAGTGGCCGTGAACACAAGCCGACCGGCGGGCACAGAGGCCCCATGGGGCTTATCCGTGGAGCTGAGGCCAGCGTGCCAGGTCCAGAGACCTTGACTTTTACCACCAGGCACCAGAAGATTTCAGAGAGACTGGAAAACGTCACCCTGAAGACGACGAGGGAACTGGCGACACCCACGGCGTGTGCGGAGAGGAGAGCCCCTTCCCACGCGGCCTGCCCCTCCCCCACTGGTGACCATGGAGCCCTGGCTACTCACCACTCCGGTGACCCTGTCTTTGAAGTACGGCTTCATGAAGTGGCCTATGTACAGATTTGGGGGCAGACTCTTGCCGTCCTTCATCTTGGGGCCTTTGGACCCTGCCAGGTCACACATGATTTCCTCCTGTGACAGACACAAGGGGTCCATCTGGGGCCAGGCAGCAGAGGCTCCCCTGTGGAGAAGGGGGCCCGGGCAGCCGGGGAGAAGACACAGGTCCTGGGTGCCCGGCCGTGGGGGTGCTGAGGGCCCGCCCTACCTGCTGCTCCCGGTTCTGGGCCAGCAGGAGGCTGACCTCCGCCAGCCGCTCCTGGATGACCTCCTGGTAGACCATGTTCAACTGCAGGCAGGTCTCTGGGTCTTCAGGGAGGGTCTTCTCCTTGGGGTCGTCCTCACCATTGCTGGCCTCTCCCCACCTCTCCTCTTCCTGGTCACAAGTGGGAAACCAGGGGTGAGGCAGAGGACCTGCAGACACTGACCTCCTCGCCATGACCCAGGCAGCAGCCTCGAGGCTCACGCCCGTCACTGAGCCACGTACAGCACGAGCACGGGCCACAGTCATGGCTGTGAGAAAATCCACTTCTGGAAATACGTCTTGGGTGGGGAGGTGTGAGGAGGTGAGCATTTTCCAGTTTCCATGATAAGTGTTTCTGGGAACCTGAAGTTCAGAACGGGCCCACGGGCGTCCGTCCCCAGCAGGGGACAGTGAGCAAGAACACGAGTGAGGAAGGCCACGGCAGAGCCGGCAAAGCTAAGACCCGGGGACAGGCTGCACGTGGACCAGGAGGTGAAGCACTACGGAAAGCCTGTGCCACAGGGACCGCCTGGTTAAAACCAGAAAGCGATGCTGCACCTCCTGCTTCAGCAAAAAAACTGAAAAGCAAATTGTAAAAATCCTCCAAGTTAACGTGAGATTCTAAACTCAGAAGCGGCAACAAAAACCCAAGGTGGCCGAGTCGGGGATTTAACCCTCCCGAGTGTCTGAGCTCCGCCTCGGTTTGCAGTGGGTCCACGTGTGTGAGTGGCCGGGACTGTGCCTGCAGGGACCGAGGCGCAGTCAGGGAGCCCCGAGGGGCTGCCTCGCCCACTCCCACCCTTCTGTGTGTGAGGTCAGAACGACGTGCATGCATGTCACGGGAGCTCAGATACTCGGGAGGCATTAAGTCTCCACCTAATGACAAGAGTCGTTCCCAGGGACGCTTTCAATTTTGGTGACAATCGCTTTGGGATACGTCATCTCCAGCAACGAGCGCACAGAAAAACCAAGATGGGCTTGGGCACCACCCTCCAGGGCCCACCGGCAGGTGTGCTGCCTCGGCGGGCTCCGCGGCTGGGCCGGCGCTTACCGAGACTGGGGAACTGGCAGCGTCCGAGTCCTCCTCAGGCAGCGAGTCTGCGGGGACACAAGCACGGGGTGTTGCGGGCGTGACATGACGAGCCCCCGCCAAGGAGCCGCCAGCAGCTGCAGCGCAGGGCTGTTTCCTGACGGCATCGGGCGAGGGAGGGGCTGAGTGCGACCCGCTGCCCAGGCAGAACGGGCCCTGCACCGCAGGCGGGGGCCACCAGGAGGGGCAGCCTCGCGGACCAGACCCATTTGGGGGAGCTGGAGCTATGGGGGGGGGGGGGGGGGGGCATGGGGGCCCTGATTCTCGGTGAGGCCAAGGCCCCGGCATGATCAGAAACTGTGAGAAACAGCCTCAGAGCTGCCCCTGAGGCTGGGAGAGGTGGGTAGGCCTGGGGGCCCAGTTTCTTACAGATCCTGACCACACAGGCAGGCCTCCAATCAGAGCTGCAGTGAGGGGCCCTAGGGCCTGGGGAAGCATGTGGGGTGACTCTCAGCTGTCCTGCACGGACGTGGCCGACAAGCTGAGCTCTGGAACCTTCCCTGAGAAGGGCAGCTGGCCACCCACCTGGGACAGCCGGACGCAGATGCCCCCAAAGGGCACGCATGTGCGGCCAGCAGGTCCATGGCATATGGAGGAGGGGCAGCGACGAACCGTCACGGGGAGTAAAGGCAGAGGCCACTTTGCGAGAGAAACCACTGGTCCGCAGCGTCCGTGGCTGACAGGAGCCGGAGGGCAGATGGGTCCAGTCCAGCCACGGCCTGCAAAAGCTCACCTGCTTCAGAGTCCAGTGCGAGCCCAGACTCAGAGACCTCCACGCCGAGACTCGAGGAGCTGGGATCCAAAATCCTTTCCAGCTCTTCAATCTCCTTTGCTATCTTCTCTCTTTCCGCGTCCACGTCCATGACTCCTGTCGCCAGAACACGTCACGAGGTTTCAGGAACCTAGGGTCTGAAGACACACACACCCGTGGGCGGTGACAGAAGCCTGACCAAAGCAGGCACTCCCGCTCACGGGAGCCTGGGACTGTCACATGACACTCCCCCATCCCCCCACAAGCACCCACTGCTCCATTGGGTGCTGACGCCATGTGAGTGTGGCCCACCCGCTCTGACCCAAGGCTGGGACCGGGGGTGCGGGGTGGGGGTGTGGACACCTGGACACCAGCATGGCCCAGGAGCCTGGCCTGTCTTCCCTGGGCCAGGCCGCAAGAGAGCTGGCCGTCCCGGGCAGAAGCAGCAGGCTGTGGTGGCCAAGTCACCAGGGGCCAAGAATGAGGCCCAGGGAGTGAGGACCACAGCGGCACAGTCTACTCTCCTGCCAGGAGATGCCCGGAGGGCAGCCGGCAGACTTGTAGGAAATGCAGGCAGCGGGCACCCCGGGGCGGCCGAGGGAGGCCCGGAGGGCAGGGTCCCCTGCAGTTCCCTCTCTGTCTCCAGCACCTACAACAGCACTAGCACCTGCCGAAGGAACAGAACCTTCTTCCCTAGTGACAGCAGCCTGCGAAGTCTAGAAGGAATGGAAGCCGGGAAAGAGAGGAGAATAAAGCTGCGACAGAGAAGAGAGCAAAGGAGACGTAGAAGCCAGCACAGACCTAGCAGCCAAAAATCAGGCCCCAGAAACGTTCCGCGCTGAGGTCTGACACCGGCGGCCACCAAGTGGGAGCGCGCTTCAGCGCGACGGAGCGCTGTCTACACTCCAATCGTGCGTAACGCAACCAGCCAGGAGCCACGCAGCTCTGCAGGGCCGGCAAGCGGCTACCGGCGCCAGGCCGCCACCCCCGCGGCCAGCCCGGCCCCCGCCCCCGCGCCTCCCTCCGCCGCCTCTCCCCGGCCCCGCCGCCCTCACCCTCACCCTCCGGCCCCGCCGCCGCCTGCGCCACCGCCCCCGACACTCGCAGCAGCCGAGCGGCAGGGGAGCCGCGCACCGGAAGTCCCGCCTCCGCGGCCGGAGCGCGGGGCACGCCGGGACGTGGCCGGCGGGCGGGCGGATGCTGCCCCCGCGCGGCCGCCCTCGGGACTGCCCGCGGCCGCGCGCCGGTGTGCGGTGGGCGGCGCTGGGCCGCGGCTTCTCCCTGAGCGTGTGACCTCCGGTCTCACCGAACCTCGCGGGCTTGTGTTTCCGCCTCTGCTGAGTGTATCCCGGGCTGTTGCTTTGCAGCCAGTGAGCAAACCTGCCGTGTGCTCAGTGCTGCCGCGCGGCCGGGCGAGGGGTAGGCGGCCCCCAGCGCCCGGACCCCGCGCCCTGAGTGCACCTCGGGGGCCCCTCGGGGCGCCGCCCGGGCCGGGCTGGGCCCGCCTGCAGTTGCGCCTTCTGGGGGCAGAGCGGGAAGCGCCACTCTCGGAGTGCGGGGTGTCTCCGGAGAGGAGGAGGATTGCGCGGGAGCCGGGGAGCTCACCTGCCCCCGGTGGACCGAGCAGGCGGGGCTCCCGGCGCCGCGCGGGGGGAGGGCAGGTCAGGGACAGTCTGCGTCCGGGGAACCCATCCGCGCAAACCGGGGGCCGCCTGGCGCTGGAACTCCAGACAGCAGAGCTGGGTGGATACATTTAAGTCTTTCACCAGGGGCTGCTCCAAACGTACTACAGGAGGCTGCCTGTGCACGCGGCTCCTTTATCCAGACCCTCTTCCCTGCCACCGCCCACAGCCCCTCGCCTCACCTTGCAGAGGTGGTACAGGTCTGGGCGGGCTGAAGGGCAGGATCAGGAGTGGGCGGAGCACCTGAGGGTGGGTGGGTCAAGTACACCAGGCTGGCGGTGATCTGCCTGCACGTCTCCCACCGCCTTAAAATGGCCAGTCTGCAAGCAGGGCTGTGGCCGGAGGCAGCGGCCCGGCAACCGCCGCTCCTGCTTCCCATAGCTTTCCCGGGCTGTCGTGTGCGCGCCCAGAAGAGGATGGCGCCCTAGCGCTTTCCCACTAGACCATCCTGTCAGAAGCCCGCTCTGGCAAGAGACCCCGGTACCGGCTTCTCACCAGCACGCAGGGGCAGGAAGTGACCGGGCGAGGATAAGCAGAAAGACCTGTGCAGTAGTGACTTCTGCAAACCTCTTAATCTGTAGCCAAGATCGGAGGGTGTAGCAGTTCAAACGTTTTTCAAAAATCCAACCACGTGACAGAAGAATGCTCATACTAGAATCTAGCCCAAGTCCACAACACGTGGCTGTGCCGCACGCACACCTAGCACGCTGGCCGCCTCGGTCGGGCCCAGGCAGCAGCGTTTGGCGTCCGCTTGACCCCACAGGCCACCGGGCTAAGGCTGGATTTATCAGCACAAATTACCCACGACAACCAGATGCATGCCCTAGAGTCAGATAATGGTACTAGGTTTTTGAAGCATAAAGAACTGGTTAAGTCACAAAAAAAAAAGGTACAGTTCATGTGAGTTTTACCATTTATTAAATAGGAAAGCTGTCCGTTTGAACAGAAGAAAAGGAAATTTAAAAAAATAACGTCTAGAGGAAAACGGCCAAAAAGGCGTAGAGTGCACGTCGTGCTTCCCCGACGTCAGCGAGCAGCTGGAAAGGCACCTGGGAACGCCCCGTGCTGACCCAGGAAGGCTCCGCCCGCACTCGAAATCCCTGAATTCCAAACTTCATCGTATAAGATGCCACTCGAAACATGCATCAACACCCTCCAGCCAAAGTCGCTTTTTGAATCTGACGGCCCACAGGTGCGTTTAGATGGTCACGCACAGTGGCCCGTGTGATGGGGACCCCGCGGGAGGACAGCAGCGTCCCCACGCGGGCCATCCAGGCTCAGGGCTCCACTTGCAGGGGCCGCCCACTAGGCCCCAGAAGCCGGGCCGGGGCACCAAGTGACGTCACAGAGGCTCGAGGGCCCTGGGAGGCGAGCACGGGGTTGCGGCACGCCTCCCCACCCTCCTTACGGAATCAAGGATGATCGACTGAACTTATCTTACGATTAACGTTCTGGAATAACGACGGAAAACACTTATTTCAGAACTGCTGTTTTCACATTTAGTTAACTTCAAAAAATCACTGGCTTTCATAGAAACGCCTTCCGATAGAGCACGAGTCCACAAAGCGGCAGGAGCCCCCGAGGAAGGGCCGTGTCGAAACCAGGCGTGGCTGTCACACGCAGGGGCTCCTCGCTCAGCTGGCTGCTAGTGCCATTCAGGTCGTGAAGTCAGCTGCCATGACAAGGAGTTTTACTCTGGCCGGAGGCGACGTACTTAGACACAGTGGCACTTTCAAATCCAGCAAGCGGTGGCATCTGGACGTAGGCAGGCTTCGACCCCGGGAGCACCTCAGAGTTCTCAGGACTCCTCTTCCTCCCCTTTAATTTCGGAAATCCTGTCTATAGATTTAAGGATTTCGGCAACAAGATTCAACGTTTCAGCTCCAGAAACCAGCTGCCTAAAACGGAAACGTGGACATCACTGCCCGCTACTGCCCCCGGCCCATGGCAGCAACGGAAGCAATAGAGCGAAGGGGCTCCGGAGTGAAAGGCGGATTTTGGGTGGGGGCCTGTGTGTAGGACGCCCGGTGAGGGCCCCAGCAGCTGACCCTTCCCAGGGGCCTCCTGCGCACTTATTCGCTTCTAATGACGAGAGGGCAACCCTGTCACCCGCCCCAGGCGTCAGTGCTCAGGTGAACTTGGCTACTGCCACGCAGACGGTTCCAGAGCTCGTCGGTCAGGTACGCGCTGCATGGCCTCGGGGTTACCAGCGCCGTCAGCGCCCTGCTGTTCCCGGGGCCCCGTCCACTGCTTGGGCTGCGGTCACGGCTCAAAACCCCAGGCTATGGGCCACGGGCTCCCCAGGGCCGCCAGCCTCCCCCGCCTCCCCCCCGCCTGTGACGAGACTCCCTCAGCTCCCCAGCGCTCACTTTATGGAGGAGTGGGCGTTGTTCATGACGACGCGAAGGTTCTGCAAGGCCACGTCGGTGTTCTGCTTCACCACCGTCAGGCTGGCACCCTGGCCCGACCGCAAGGCCTCGTTCTCGCGCCTGAAGTTAGAGACCTGTGCCTGCAGGGGGCGCGAGAGCGGGAAAGGGCTTTCGTGGCCGCACACAAGAGCATCTAAAAGGTTGTCCAACTGAAACTGACCACGGCACCTGCGGCAGAGGCAAGGGGGACAGGGCTGCGCCCGCAAAGGCCACTCTCCACGGGGTGGGGGGCCCTTAGAGGAACGGGCTTGTCCCGTCGCTCACCCACAGGGATGAGCAATTCAGGCCAGTGTCCGTGCTGTCTCAGACGACACAGGAAGTACCCCAACCCCTCCTGGTGAGAAAACCAGGGGCCGGGATGACCGAGCCGGTGCCTTCGCTCACGGTGGCCGGGGTGGGGGGAGAGCCCGCAGGTCCCAGATGCAGGGGCTCCAGCCCCTGCGTTTGTACCCCCGCCGTTGAATCACCTGGAGCAAGCTTATTTCCTGCTTCAGTTTCAGGACGTGATTTTCCGCCTTGACAGCCCGTTTCTGTCACAGAAACAAAAACATGGAGGCGTCACTGACCAGTAGCTCGGCGAGACGGATGCAGGACGCACGCGGCCCCTGCCCTCGCCCAGGTGGCTCTGCGGGCTGGCAGCGGAGGAGAGGCCACGCCCGGCGCGTCACAATGACCTGCCCCCCCCCCCCCCCCCCCCCCCCGGGCCCCGCGTACTGTCATCAGCTCCAGGTTCTGCTCCACCTGCTGGACCGCTGACTCCAGGTCGTGGTAGTCACTTTCCTCCTTTATCATTTTCGCTTCCAGCTTCCGCTCCAGCGTCCTCACCCTTGGCAGAGGGGAGACCCAGTCACTGCCAGCTCTCGCACCCAGTTCTCAGAATGCGTCCGGGAGGCAGTTAGCTTGGGCAGGTTAGGCAGAAACCCCAAGACCCCGCTGCCACGGCGGGAGCCCAGACAGGGTCCCGACTGGCTCGCGGTCACCAGCTCTGCTGTTCTCATCACGTGTGCTCGGTTTGGGCCTAACGTTCCAAATAAACTTTCACTCAGAACACTAGCCACACGTCTGATGCTGAGGACCTGCGTGTGACGGAAGCCAGACTCGGCTCAAGCCTGATCGCTTCGTTATTGATTTACGATGGGTTCGAGGGTTAGCAAGTGTTTGGAATTGCGGGCCTAACTAAGAGCTTACATACATTTCTGTTTGAGTTTCAGAGAAGCTCTGAACCTCAGTCAGCTTTCTTCTCAGCTTAGAATTTTCATCTTTCAGCTGCAGAGAAAGAAAATCCTCATTAGAATCCCTGTGTCTCACTGAAAATGGCTGAGATCTGTAATCTGGTTCTGGGACTCCCTGAGTAGCCAGCCTCCCATTAGCTTGCGGGGAGAAAGGCACGGACGTTAGTGTCTCCTGAAGGCCTCTGGTTACGGAGACCAACTGTCCTCATGACTTTTTTTAAGGGAACGATCAAGCCTCTTCTAGTCAAAGCACGGCAAGGTGTCCCTGAGCTGCCGCCCAGAGGGGACCCTTTCCCGTGGGTCTCAATTGCTCGTGCCTGAGCTGCGCCACACCCCACGGTGCTTGTCACACGCGGGATGGGTCAACGCGGGGCACCAGCGCACATGGGCTCCAACCGATGGCCGCACCACAGACCGTCTCATCCCCGGAGCCAAAACCCCAGGCCCCCATGGACACCAGGTGGCTCGGGGTCCTCCGCGAGTGCTCTGCTCACGCACGGGTGCCGGCCAGGGCGCCGCCGTAGGGTGCCCCCACTTACTGCTTCATAGCTTATCTGCAGCGTCCGGAGGTGCCTGTCTCCCAGGGACTCTCCGTGAGCCGTGAAGTCTGCACTGGGGCTCCCCGCCGGAGAGGCGCGGGAGTCAGAGTCGCTCAGCGTCCACGGGGGCAAGGTCTCGGGCCCCACCAGTTCCGACGGGGTGGAGAAGAAGGAGACGTACTTGCTGCAGGGCGACGTGCCGGTGGCAGCCCCCCCCGGGGAGCGGGTCTGCTCCACGCTGGACGGCAAGTAGGCCCCGTCCCAGCCGTCGTCCTCGTCGTCGTCATCATCCTCGGCCAGAAGGTCGCCAGCCCCTGTAGGGTCTTCGAAAAACGGCTGCTGATATTCCAGGCCGAACCCCACGGTCTGGGGGGGTGGGGAGCTGCGGCCAAGTCCCAGTGGGTGCCTTGTGGGTTCCTAAGGAAGGCGGCCAGACGCACCTCTCAGACTCAGAAGCCACTAGGGTGGCTCAGAGGCTCTCAGAAGCCTCTGAGAGCCAGGAAGGGTCCCACTGGCTTCAGCTGGGGCTCCCTCTGCTCCCCCTGCCCGAGCCTGCGGTGTCCCCCACATCGGGAGAGAGAGATGTCCTCCACGCGGTTTTCTGTGTCCGGTCGTTGAAACGATGCCTTGATTTACCTTTGAGTAAATCCGGTTATTAGCGGTGTCTTCTCCCGACAGGCCGAGGCTCTTGGTTTTCAGGAACTCTTTGAAGGAGAATGGATTCGTCTCTGCAAGATCTTCAAGTTTATCATCTGCAATGGTTAATGCACAACGCATGTCACAAATCCAAAAAGTCTCTTGAAACTCATTAAAAGGAAACTTCCCAACTCGTTTTTTTTTCTGGAACACAACCGCATCTAAGATCTATGATCAGGACACACCCTCATCATCCCACCAGGACTTAGTGACGCTGGGAAATGAGAAGCCTGACCAATAAAACAGATCTGTACCCACGTTAAGAATCCCCCCCCCCCACGGTTTCTGCCCCCAGGGATCACCTGGGGGGGGTTTCTACAAGGACATCCCATCTCCACCCCCACACAACCCAGTTAGTTGGCCTGAGGCATGATCTGTGCTGGGGACCATCAGTTCCAAAGGTGCAACAAATTGGGGATCACCGCCCCCCACCTCTATCCCTTTCCCTGCTTGCCCATCTGCCCTCCCCCTCTCTCCACTTCCTTCTCGTTCTTTCAGTCCACAATTATCAGAGCCCAGGTGCCAGCCTTGTGTGAAGCTGACTCCTGCTCTCCCTGCCCTTCCTGCCTCTTCAGACCCTTTTAGTAGGACTTCCTACCTCTCTGTCGTCCCGCATGTCTCAGCTTCTCCTGTCCTGCACCCTCTTTCCTTCTACTCTAGGCTCAACGACCGAATCTGTGGGACTCCACCCCCACCTCGTCTTTCAGGCTCCAGGCACAAAATTATCTGTTGTCAAATGGACAACCCACCATGGCCGTGTGCTTGGTATTTTGTGTTGGGCAGGGAGAGAAAGGATTGCCCAACTACTCTACCTCCAAAACGTGTCTCCTGGGCTCCCGGCGGACCTTGCTTGGTACACTTCCCCTTTCCGTAGCCAAAATCTGTAGAGACACCATCACCCAGCTGTGATCACCTTTGTGACAGCTTCTCTTCAACGTGGGGTCTCGGGCACAGTGATTCTCACGGCGCGGGGAACTTTCAAAACACAAGCCCCATGGCCCCTGCGCGTGGGCAGAACTTCTGTGGGCCCTGACTTTTATGATTTGGAAAAAGCTCCCAGTAGGCTCTGATGACCAGCAAGGCTGCACACGCCCACCGGCCGTGGTTCCCTCTGAAGCCCCTCGTGGGCTGCCACTCCTCTCTGAGACCCCAGTGGAAGCACCTAAACTCTCACTGCGCACCCGGGCCGACGGGCAGCAGAACTGCTTGGGGGAGAACGAGGCCACTGCCCCTACTGGATGAAGGCTCTGCGGCCTTGCCCCCCAGCACCTGGAAGGAGCACCCGCTGGCATACCTCTTTCCGCACTTACCACCATCCTACATTGGAAGTGTCTGTGTTGGGGGGCGGGACCCAAGGTCAGACTGTGAGCTCCTAGCTGGCGTGGGGCCTTTCAGCACCCGTGGGTTCCCAGAGGCCGGCGCAGGCGGCACTGAGTCCCATCGCTGGGTGGAGGGCGCAGCTAATGCTAACGTGGCGCCGGCTAGGGGTCCCTGAGGCTTGTCTCTCACCTGTGTCTCCCACGGAAGCTAGCACCGGACTGGGCACATAGCACATAAACGTCGGCCGAATGCCGAAGAAGTGGGAGTCCAGGTCCCTGCCATGGGGGCGCTCACAGTCTAGCTGGGGGAGACAAGACCGGCGCTCATAGAACGCAGGAGCTGCAATAACAACAAAAGCGATTGTCCGCGCGCTCTGCGCCGCCCGCCTCACCTGGCGCCCGTCTCGGCGGGTCGGGGGCGGCCCCTGGGCCTGGCGTGCTCGGCCCCGCCGTCCCGCCCGGCCGCTCACCGTCCGGAATGACGAGGCTCCGGGCTCGCGACAGCGGGGGGACGCCCGGGCGGCGCGCGTAGCCCGCCATCGCCGCGGGCCCGGCGGCGCCGGCCCTCCCTAGCCCGGCAGCTGCGGGTCCATGGCCCCGGCTCCGCCCCGGCCGCGGCCCGAGTCCCCCGGCCCCGTCGCCCGCCGCCCGGCCGCCGCTCGCAGCCTCTCGCCGCGGCTTCCGCCCCCGGCACCGGAAGCGCGCCCCCGAACGCCGCGGGCCGGCGCCGTAGGGGCGGGGCGTCTGGGGCGGGGTCGGAAGTGACGACAGAAGCGGGGGGCGGAGACCCAAGATGGCGGCTATGGCGCTGGCGGCGGCGCGCTTGCTGCTGCGGCGCGGCTCGGGCTCGTGGCGCCGCTCGCGGCTGAGGTGAGCCGGGGACGCGCCGGGGGGCGCCGGGGGGCCGGGGCGGCGCGCGTCTGCCCGGACGCTCTGCCTCTGGCTTCCCCACGCCCAGGCGCGGCGCCGGGGCTTCGGGCTTCGGGACCCTGGCCTCGTCTCCGAGGCGCCTGAGGCGCTTCCCTGCCTGGGGCCCCGGTTCCGGGCGCCGAGCCCCATCCGCCTGTCCTCTCCCGCCCCCGCCTCCCGGGCCGACGGGGCCAGTCGGCGGCCACGTGTCATCTCCGCCCCGGCGCCCGTTCTGCCGCGGCGGCCCCCTTGTGAGGCCGAGCCCGCGGGCGCAGCCGGGAGCGCGGGCAGAGTAGGAGCCGTCGGGTGAACGCTTAGAAGTCGAGTCAGTGGGGTCCGACTGCGGGTAGAGAGCAGAGGGGTCGCCTCTGGAGGAGGGGGCGTTGACGCAGGAGGGGACGCACGTGAGGAGGGTCAAGCCCCCTGGCCCCACGGTAAGGGAGGAACGGAGGCGTTGGGGTTAAGGAGCCGGGCTGTGATCCCGGAAGCACCCGCAGGCCCGTGGGATGCGGTGCTGGCCGGCGGTGGCGGAGAGGGCTTCAGGAGAGGACTTTGGATAGAGTTAGAGTCCAGACCCCCATGGGGGGCGGTGGCTTCTATTTAGACTCCAGTGGGGCAGTTGGGGGCCAAGGCGGAGCTCGGTGCCAGAAGAGGTTTAACCCGCACGGTCCTTAATTGTGTACTTTACAAGAGATGGCGCTTGTGACTAGCTTACCGCGGACCCCTGGGCGGAGCCAGGATTTGTACCCGGCAGCGGTGCTCCTGCCCGCGCCTCGTGCCGTCTCTCCGGGGCTAGTGTAGACGGGCCCCGCGGTCACCACGGGCTCTGCGGTCTCGGGTCTGTAACGGGACACCTTCCCTGCGTAGGTCCGGAGCCCCCGCACACAGGCGCTTCAGTAGCAGCGGGACCTACCCCGGCGTCCCGCTCTCCTCCCCGTTGCCCGGCGTGCCGGAGCCCGTTTTCGCAGCTGTCGACGGACAGGAGAAGTTTGAAACCAAAGTTACCACGCTGGATAACGGACTTCGCGTGGCGTCCCAAAACAAGTTCGGACAGTTTTGTACGGTGGGAAGTAAGTACTGTCGGTAGCGTGGCTGCTGTGCTTGGTACGTGGTTCGTGGGCTGGACTCGGAGGGGAAAGGACACTCTAGAATCTGGAAACAGTACTCTAAGCGCGAGCCGCCATCTCGGTGGTGGGCTTTCTCCCTTTATACTTTCCGAGAATCCTAAACCTTCGCTGCCACGAATACCTGGCGTGCGACCCCATGAGTGTCAGCAGGCGTGTGGCTGTGGGTACGTAGCCCGGGGAGTGGACACACCGTCGCCCTCCCGTGATTGAGTCCACCTGTCTGATCACATTGTTTTAAAGCTTTCTCTTGATTGAACCCCCCCTTCTCAACATTTGACTTAACTTGTCAATTTTCTTTTTATTGCCAGTTCTTATTAATTCAGGATCAAGATATGAAGCAAAATATCTTAGCGGAATTGCTCACTTTTTGGAAAAATTGGCATTTTCGGTCAGTGTACAGTTTGTAACTTTTGAGACTTTGGGAAGGAGCTACCGTGTTTTAGTGTTTTTTAGAATGGTTATTTTGATAAACGACTGAGTTGCTAAGGTGTTGCTGCTAAAAGATCTTTAGATTTAAAGACAATTTGGGTTCACGTGTTTTAAAAGCAAGAATAAATTTTCCTTTTAGAAACTGTATCTTAGAGGGGCGCCTGGGTGGCTCAGTCGGTTGAGTGTCCGGCTTGGCTCAGGTCACGATCTCACAGTTCGTGGGTTCGACCCCTGCGTCGGGCTCTGTGCTGACAGCTCAAAGTCTGGAGCCTGTTTCGGATTCTGTGTCTCCCTCTCTTTCTGCCCCTCCCTCATTCATGCTGTATTTCTGTCTCAATAGTAATAAACGTTAAAAAAAAAACAAACTATCTTAGAGATTGTTTTGGATTCCTTACTTAGGTTTTCTTGTTTGTTTTTACTAGTCAACTGATCGATTTGACAGCAAAGATGAAATTCTGCTGACATTGGAAAAGCACGGGGGTATCTGTGACTGCCAGACGTCAAGGTACGCCAGTTTATTTTGCATTTTGCATCCACGAACTATAGCTGTTATCCTTGGGCGGAGTCCCACCGCCTGGAGAGGCTGGGGAGGTTGGCGGTGAGAAGCGAGCCTGGCCTGGGCAGGGTTGGTTGGAGAACTTGGTGGAGGGAGCACGTAGGCGGCAACACTTGCAGCGGAGCAGGCACAGCAGAGCCAGGCAGTCCCCGGAGGTTGCTGGCTGGGCCGTGGGGACACAGCAGGCCCCGTCCCCGGTGTGCTCTCAGAGCCGGCCGAGGGCTGCACCACCGGTGATGGAAGCGACAGCCAGGAACCAAGACTGGGGGCGTGGGGACAGGCAGCTGACCTGGTCTGGAAAGGAATGGCAGCAAATTGGACATTGGCCTGGTCTTGAAGGAGTTTGCCAGACCGAACGAGAGGAGGCGGCGGCCCAGACTCCGGGAACAAAGTGGGAGAGGCCCAGCCCCGGAAGAGGCAGTGGTCCTTCTGGGAAGCGGGAGAGGCCTGGTACGGGGCCAGAGCACAGATGGGGGCAGGGGCTGTGGACGAGGGCAGGTGGAGTCTGTCAGACGCAGCTCCGTTCCCCAGCCACGTGTTCCCCAGCCACGTAAGGCTGCGCGTGCCCCATGCTGACTGGTCAAGGCCAGGCAGCAGGTACTCCGGAAGCACGTGATGAAGTGCACCCCCGTGGTGCAGATGGCGGGGAGCCCATGCTCGTGAAAAGGTCAGAACTGGCCCTCATCCACCTGGGCTGGGCAGCCGCTTTCACTCCAGCACGTGCCGGAAGTTACGCTGTAAGCCAGGACGTGCCAAAGTGTGTGCTGGTCCTCGGCGCAGAGTGGGGAGTGGCCCCCGTTGGTGTGCACCTGTTGTGACCCTGACGCTTGGTGTCGTTTCTTCTTTCCAGGGACACCACCATGTACGCTGTGTCTGCGGATTCCAAGGGCCTGGACACAGTGGTTGGTTTGCTGGCTGACGTGGTCCTGCACCCCAGGCTCACAGGTGTGCCCTGCTCTGTGTGGGGTGTCTGGGGTTGGGGCACGGGGAGGCAGGGAGCCCAGCCCTCGAGGAAGAGCGCTGTGTGGCCCCCCAGGGGCTCAGCGACCAGTGAGCTGTCTCGGTGTCCATGAAGTAACGCTGCTGGTCAGGAAAGTTCTTCGTGCTTGATACTTTGGTGTCACTCTATACTTTTTGGCGTTTTTAGTGAAGTTGGATTTTTAAGGTGTTTTTTTTAAGTTTTTATTCATTTACATAATTTTTATGCCCCGTGTGGGGCTCAGACTCACGACCCCAAGGTCAAGAGTTGCACACTCCTCTGACTGAGCCAGCCAGGCACCCCTGGGTCTTTCATTTCTGAAAGGCATTTCGGACCGTCCTTACACACTCGGGCTGGTATGCTCACCAGGAGCTTCCATGTCCTGGTGTCCATCCCTTTCCTTGGCCCGGTGGTGGCAGGACTTTGATTCTGTGCCCAAAGTGGGCGAGAGCGGGCCATGCTGACCGTTCCAGCCACCCTGGCTGTGCTCTGGTCACGTCAGCCTGGCCTCGTAGTCCAGGTCACGGTGCCAAGTGAGGACCTTTCCGGTACGTGTTCCAGCTAGCTGATGACATGGCAGCCCTGATGTAGGACTGTGCCTCTTTTAAGCGCCTTCACGCAGCTTCATCCTCACAGCAGCCCTTTGGGATAGACAGGTCAGGGGCCTGAGTGCCTCTCATGGGAAGTAAGCTGGGGCTCAGAGCAGGGCCAGGTGACCATCTCATGGCTGAACCTGACGCCTCTAGGTTCTGCCCGCACGGCGCCGTCCCCCTCACTCACACCAGTGCCCCCAGGTCTGCCCCAGGTGAAGGCAGAGGAGATGCCAGCGTCTGGCAGCCAGCGACGCAGCCCCGCCTGGTGGCGCAGGCCCAGGGCCCTCTCCGTCCTGGTGGGTGTGGCCTGAGCCTTGTCTGGGTCCCTTGCAGAGGAGGAGATTGAGATGGCGCGGATGGCCGTCCAGTTTGAGCTGGAGGACCTGAACATGCGGCCTGACCCAGAACCGCTTCTCACAGAGATGATCCACGAGGTGAGACAGAAAACTCGCACGTGCCCTCGTCCGCCTCCGCGGCCCTCCTGCTACCAGGGCGGTTGGGAGGGGTTGCGTGCCTTCCTGAGGTCCTTCCTACAGGTTCTAGGTGTATACAGACAGGACGTTCTTGTTTTGCTTAATTAAAAACATTTTTTTTAACGTTTACGTTTGAGAGAGAGAGAGAGAGTGTGTGTGTGTGTGTGTGTGTGTGTGTGTGTGTGTGTGTGTGTGCGCGCGCGCACGAGCCAGCGAGAGGGGGAGACAGAATCCGAAGCAGCTCCAGGCTCTGAGCTGACAGCACAGGGCCGACACCGGGCTCGACCTCACAGACCGCGAGATCATGACCTGAGCTAAAGTCAGACGCTCAACCGACTGAGCCCCCCAGTCACCCCTTGGTGTATAATTCTTACAGTAACTAGACTTTTGTCGCTCTGTTTCTAGAGTGAGCCTTTTATTCCACATGGGGGTTTTTGAGTTTTCATCCTGGAGAGATAGGTTTTACTGTTTGTAGAAACACACAAAGCTACTCCCGCCAAATTAGCTAAGGGAAGCACCCGTGGGCTCTCCCTGCTGCAGCCGGGGTCATGGCAGGCTTGGCATGAGGGGGACACCTGGCCGTGGCCTCTCTCGTCACCTGTGTCTCTCCTTCCTTTTTAGGCTGCTTATCGGGAAAACACAGTTGGCCTCCACCGTTTCTGCCCCATGGAAAACATAGCAAAGATGAATCGAGAAGTGCTTCACTCCTACCTGAGAGCCTACTACACCCCCGGCCGCATGGTGCTGGCTGGGGTCGGCGTGGAGCACGAGCACCTGGTGGAATGCGCCAGAAAGTACCTGCTGGGAACCCGACCAGCCTGGGGATGTGAGGAGGCTGTGGACATCGACAGATCCGTAGCACAGTACACTGGGGGGGTCGTCAAGGTAAAGCGGTGACGGGAAACACCCCGTGACCTTGGGTCGTGTGTGCCTTTTTCCACTTGGGCTTTTGGCGCGTCGTCGGTTTGAATCTGCAGGTGTCGGGGTCAGCCGTACGTTCGTGGCTTTGCCGGATACACGTTCTAGTGCCCGGGCGTGACAGGTGTTCCCCGCTTAAAGCTAAGAGCTCGCTACGAATGGAGGGCGAAGGATAGTCCTTGTGTCTGGGGAATTGATGGGCGCTCGTGTAGGAGTCTGCAGGCCTGTTTCTAAGCGGGTCTGACCTGCAGGGTTTTTGAGGCCTCCTTGCTTTTCCACGCGGGTACACTGCTCGCCCTTCTCGGTTTCAGCTGGAAAGAGACATGTCCAACGTCAGCCTGGGCCCTGCCCCGTTCCCCGAGCTCACACACATCATGATAGGACTGGAGAGCTGTTCCTTCTTGGTAAGTGCCAGCGGGGCCCCAGCGCGGCGCGGGCGTCCCCTCCCGGCCAAGCTCTGCCCTCCCATGTCCCTCAGGAGGAAGATTTCATCCCCTTCGCTGTGCTGAACATGATGATGGGCGGCGGTGGGTCCTTTTCCGCTGGCGGGCCTGGCAAGGGCATGTTTACCAGGCTGTACCTCAACGTGCTCAACAGGTAGGTGGGGTTCCTTTTGCCTGCCTGTCCGTCCTCGAGGTTGCCTGGCCCAGCTGAGGGTGCTTGCAGACCATGACACCGCCTTCCGGGTGTCCCTTCGTCCGTGTTCCCTACAGGCACCACTGGATGTACAACGCGACCTCGTACCACCACAGCTACGAGGACACGGGCCTCCTGTGCGTGCACGCCAGCGCCGACCCCAGACAGGTGAGGGCAGCCCCGAGCGTGGCGGCCTGCGCTTCCCGTGCGGGTCACGTCCCCAGACCCAGCTGGTCTCTGAGCGCGCGAGCGTCACCACCGGAATTAGAAGAGACAGGCTGTGAGGTCTCGGTCACACTCCTCATCTCCGTGCTCTCTCTTAAAGGTTCGAGAAATGGTGGAAATCATCACGAAGGAGTTCATTTTAATGGCTGGAACCGTGGACGTGGTAAGTAGGGTGCAGAGCCAGCCGCAGACGGCCCCGCTGTGCTGGCAGGTCAGCTGGGGTGGGGTGGCGGCGGTGGGCCCGGCCTCTGTGCCCCCAACACCCCAGCCAGAACAGTCCACCCCCAGGTGACCCGGGTCCGCAGCTGAGCTCCTCCCTCCTCCCTGCTCTCAGCACAGTCACTGCACCCACAGCACCACCCGGGCTGCACCTGACTGGCCCCCGGGTCCTTTTTCACCTTATTGAGAGGAACAGCTCAGATCAGTCTTTGAAGATTTGTTTATCTTGAGAGAGAAATCGTGCAAGAGGGGAGGGCAAAGACGGAGAGGGAGAGAATCCCAAGAAGACTTCATGCTGTTAGTGCAGAGCCCAACACTGGGCTTGAACTCACAAACCATGAGATCATGACCTGAGCCCAAACCAAGAGTCAGACACTAACTGACAGAGGCACCCAGGCGCCCCCCCCTCCCAAAAGGAGCATTATTTTAAAAATAATACCATTGGGATCCCTGGGTTGCTCAGTCAGTTAGTGTCTGGCTTCGGCTCAGGTCATGATTTCAGATTTGTGGGTTCAAGCCCCGGGTCGGGCTCTGTGCTGACAGCTCACAGCCTGGTTAGGATTTCTTTCTCCCACTCTCTCTGGCCCTCCATTTATTCTTTCTTTCGAAAATAAGTGTTAAAAAAATAAAGGCTAAGCATCCAGTTTTGGCTCAGGTCATGATCTCATGGTTCGGGAGTTTGAGCCTTGCATCAGTCTTTACTGACAGCTAGCTCAGAGCCTGGAGCCTGCTTTGGATTCTGTGCGCCCCCCCCCCGCCCCCCCCCGCCACTCTACTTGTGTGTGTGTTCTCACTCTTTCTCTCTCAAAAGTAAATAAACTCTAAACGAAAATAAAAATAGTATCACATTTATGGCCCCTGGGTGGCTCAGTTCAGTGTCTGACTTGGTTTTGGCTCAGTTCATGATCCCACAGTTGTGGGTTTGAGCCCCATGTTGGGATCTGTACTGTCAGCACGTAGCCTGCTTAGGATTCTCTCCTCTCCCCCCTCCCCTGCCTGTCTCTCTCAAAACAAACTTATAAAAGAAAAATCTTTAAAAATAACGTATTTAAAAGTTGGCATTGGTGGCTCTGTTAGCGGTCTGCTAGGAAGTACTTCCTGCTATTGCGAAGCTAATTTGAGGTAAGTTTTATTTGCCTGCAGTTGCCAGAGTAGAAAGCACTCGTCTTAAGTTGGGGATTATCATCCTTAAACAATGACACGGACTCTCAGCAGCCAGCGTCTCCCAGCAGGAGCACATGCTGTCTGGCGTCTGGCAGCTCCACGTTGGCCGGGCGCCGCCTCTCTCCCAGCCGCTCTGTGTGCCCTCGGTTTTGGGCTGAGCTTTGTGACCACAACTTGAGGGGAGTCCTGAAGTTAAATTCCGCACCTGGTCAGAGAGGCTCATGGCACAGCCTCGGGGTCAGAGAGGCGCTCAGCACAGCCGGGTGGATGGAGCTGGTTCTCTCTGAGTTCCTCGGGGAGCGCAAGCCCGGGTGCCTGGGCCCTGCACCTGGGGTCTGGCTGGAGCCGCAGACTGTTGAACTTGTCTTCCTCGCGGCTTGGACGTGAGTAGGCCACAGTGCGTGAGCCACCCGGAAGTGACGCGTGGGACTTGGTGCTTGTCCCCAGGCAGAGCTGGCCCGGGCCAAGACGCAGCTGACGTCCATGCTCATGATGAACCTGGAGTCCAGGCCTGTGATCTTTGAGGACGTAGGGAGGCAGGTGCTGGCGGCCCGTTCCAGAAGGCTGCCCCACGAGCTGTGCGCGCTCATCAGTGAGTACCGTGCCGGCTTCCTCCCCTCCCTCCCTGAAGGTGGCCTCGGCCCTGTTAAGATGTGATGCCCGCGGGCTTTGGTCTGTACCAGCCCCACCTCACATCCCTGAGTACCGACCCCTGTGCCCCCCAGTTTCCACCGCTCTCGCTACTGCGCTGGGTTTCTAAGCGGATTCACGAAGATGATGGAAATGTTCACTCGGGGCCCAAATGGTGCGGGCCCTCACGGCGCTGCGGCAGGTCTCGGTCCTGGGTTCCCACGGCTTCCCGTGTGTGTCCCGCAGGAAGCCCTTGAGTTTCTTCTCAGGGTCACAGTTCTGTTTGTCTGCAGCTCTTTGGGGGACAAGTGTATTTTCACCCTATCAGATCCTCAGAGGGTCCATGACGTTTGTAACCTCGAGGCAGCTCCGGCACTCGCCCCCGCCCCTGGGGAGCCCCTCAGACCCTGGGCCCCGTCCTCCATAGCGAAGGCCAGCTGTGATGGGTGTGTTCCCACGCAGGCTGTGCTTCCGGGGCGCTCAGGAGGCCGGCCCGGGGGTGCTGTGTTGTTTCCCTCCTGCAGGCTCTCCACGCAGGTCACTCTGCGGGCGGGCTGCTCCGTGTTAGGTGCATCGGCTCCTGTGCGCAGGTGTGCTGAGAATAACTTGAAACCGTTGGTATATCCCTCTTTAGTAAGAAAATCTGTCACTCCACCCTGAGTGACGGTGCAGTCTACACACGCCTGAGTCTGGACTCTATGGAGTCTGCAGCCCGGCCTGGGACCCCTCGGTCTGGGTAGTGACCACGGCCACGCGCGGAGAGTCTGGCAGGGCCCGGGCGTTCCCCTGAGGCTGTCGTGTCCCCCATGCTAGGCAGCGTGAAGCCAGAAGACATCCGGAGGGTCGCCTCTCAGATGCTCCGCAGGAAGCCAGCGGTGGCCGCCCTGGGCGACCTGAGCGACCTGCCGGCCTACGAGCACATCCAGGCGGCGCTGTCCAGCCGAGACGGGCGCCTGCCCCGGACGTACCGGCTGTTCCGCTAGAGCCCATTGGCGATCCGGCCCCGATGCGGGCGGTGGATGGAGCACGTGTTCGTACGTGTGTCTTTGGGTGTGAATTTAGTGCAGAAATTCATAAAAGGTGCAAACTAGGGGACTCTTCTCTTAAACTCGATCAGATTTAATGTCGCCGAGCACAGCTCCGTGTCCGTTTCTTCAGGACTGAGCAGCACCAGCCAGTGGAATAGAGGTTGGTCTCCACCGCCACGGCTAGAGACCAGGTGGAGCGAAAGAGCATTGGAGGCGGTCGCTGGTGGGAGACCGGCCAGCGCTCTCCGTGTCCCCAGAGGCCAGCAGCTTTGAGCCCATGCCAGCTCGTCTCCTAATCGGGGCCGCGGGGCGGGGTGGAAGCCCCTGGTCTGCACGGTGTTTTCCTTCACTCTCAGGACGGGGCTGAGAGGCCAGGCTCCACTGGCTGCATCCGGTAGCTGTGCGCTGTGTCCAGACTGCACGCGGGTCGGCGCCTGGGAGGGGAGGTGGGGTCTCTGCAGATCGCTGGCCTGTGTGAGGAGCGGAGCCGGAGGCCGGGAGCCTTCGCTTCCGCGGGTGCACGTCAGGAGTCGCCAGGCCAGGCAACTCGAGTAACGCTGGTTAGCAGTGCGGGGCCCGGAGGGGCACGCGCGCACAGCCCCTGGGCCCCTCACGGGGGCCACGCCGTCCCTGCCTCTGGCCATGGGGTGGCGGGAACGCTTGGAGGAAACCCACCCTTGAACATTACTTTGGTTATTTAAGCCGCTTACTTTTGCCAGAGCCCATCATCCTATCTTGATGCCTTCCTGGCACATGTACCAGCACCAGCAGACGTGTCTGCCTGCTGGGGGGCGGACCAGGGAGCCGAGCTGGAGCCATTGGGGGGGGGGGGGATCTGTGTGGACCACCGGTGGTTGCAAATGATCCGGCGGTTACTGCCCTGGGGGGGTGTAGTGCTCACGAAGAGACATCAGGGCTGCACTGGAGCCTCTGACCACACACACTGCCGTGCCCAGACCCAGGGGTCTGTTCGGAAGTTGGCAGTAAGTACCCCTCACACCCACCAGGCACCTGGGCAGCGCACAGCCGCGGCCCACCCTCTGGCCTGCGCGAGTGGAGCATGTGTGGGTGACAAGGGCCGGGTCAGACAAACTATCCTCACGTTTGAGTTTCTCGATTTCCTTACGAGGCTTGCTTTCTGGAGACTGGCCCGCATCATTTGCATCCCCCTGAATTTTCACCCGACTTCCCGAGTGAGGCCTGAGCAGCTGCAACCTCTGGCCACTTGTAAGCGAACATCCTGACTTGGGACCCGTGCGTTTGCCGGTGTCTGTCAAGAATGGTCAGAGGCGCCACCTGAGAAATGCATCTCACTTGCCTCATTTTCAGGACCCCTCACCACAAAAATCTGTAAGAGATTTTCAGTTTATTGACTCAAAACTCAACGGCACATTGCTTTGAACAACATTTTATAGATCATCTGATGTTTCGTGAAGTCAGGTGGAGCGGACTGGGCCTCCTCTGTCACCAGACCGGGGTCTCGCCGGGGTCTGGAGCCGGTGCTGATCAAGCTGGTGCCTCGCTCTGGAAGTGGGTTTGCTGCATCACGGCTCACGCAGGTCTCCGGGGTCCCTTCTCCCTGAAAGGCCCCCCCCCCCAGCCGGTGCGTCTGCAGGGGTGGCAGCCAGGGTGGGGAGCAGGCGGCAGAGGGAGGCGGGGCCGCCGGTGCGGCCACAGTCAACACCAGACTTCCTGCCTTTGAGCTGGACTTGAACTGCTCTTTTCTGGGAATGTCGTAAGCGTGGGGCGAGTACGTAGATGACCTCTTTCTAGGACTCCCGTCTTTAGCCAGAAAGAGTTTAAGATTTAATATATGGATTTATTTAAAAATATAAATATGGAAAAATAAATAACTTTAAAGACTAGAGTGAATGCCCCTAGGTTTTTTTCCACATTCAAAGCCTATGTTTTTCAGGAGTGATCGTGGCCCTCTAACAGAGATGGGAATGTGGTTGGCGCCGGCCTCGGCTGGCAAGGCGCTGCCGCCCTACACATCCAGCTGTTGCTCAGGCCGGGAAACGCACTACTCACGTTAACGCTGTTTGTAGCTGGTCACACAAAAGCAAATGGTCTCAAGTCACCAAAAACCAGGAGAGGAAATGGCTTCGTGGCTGGAAGGGCGAGGCTAGCTGCGCGAGGCCGGAGGCGGCCCCCAGACAGGCCAGGCCTCCCCCCCCGCCCCTGCCCCAGGCCTGGTTCAGCAGGACCGGGGCTCTCCGCTCGGAAGTCGCTGCCTGTGGCCTGACCAGCCGGGCCTCAGCTCGGTCCTCACACGCACTGGTGGGACCGAAGCTCCCAGCCACCTCACCCTGAGCTCCCCTGTTCAGTAGCCGGCCCCCTGGACTCAGACGGGGAAGGGCATCTCCTGGTCTGCATTTGAGGGGCTGCTGGAGCGCCGCCAGCGTCGGCTCTGGGCGCGCAAAGGAGGACACCAGGAGCATGTGCGCCTGCCGGCCGGGGACCGCCGGCATGCCGGGCCTGCCTGGGGAGGGTGCGGCTGGCTTCCTTCCAGACGGGACACTGGTGCCTCAGTACCGCCTTGCTGGCCGCCTGTTGGGTTCTTGGTGACAAAGTGTGTCGGCCTCGAGAGGTAGTTCGCCAGCGTCCCAGAAAGATTCCGAGGCGGCAGCCTCTTCCGTCTTCTCCAGGGGGCCTGTGGCCAAATAACGCCCCTGCTGTGGGTGGCGAACGTCCGTGGGCCTGCCTCCTCAAGAGACCGTACAGACGGCGCTGGAATGCTGGTCCTTCGGGGCCTGCTGCTGCTGCTGCTGCTGCTGCTGCTGCTGCTGAATTTCTTTGGAAATTCGTCTTTTAATTCCTATTAAGTATAGGTCGCGGTCAAACTTGCCAGCAGCCAGGGGGATGCTGTGGAAGAAAGGGATGTCAGGAGGGCGCTGGCGACTTCCGTAGCCTCCTGGGAGGCTGTCTCGGACACCTGTGCCCTCCAGGCCGCTGGGCCCCGCCAGGCACCGGAGCGGAGCCGCGGCGAGTGCACGGAGCTCCCTGGGGCCCCTGCCGGGCCCGTCACACATCAGGAAGAGACCAAACTGGCCTGGGGCGCGGCCGCCCCGACGGCAGCTGGAGGTCAGGACGCGAGACAACGGCAGGCACCCGGGGGCAGGGATGCTGCCCCCCAACCCCCCGTGGGCAGGAGCCCCCCCCCCGCCCCCCGCCCCCCCCGCGGCCCCAGGGCGAGGACATGCGAGGAGGGTACTGACTTGTCTCTCCCCGGCCTCACTCTGACCCGGAACAGACCGTACACGGGGCGGTGGTCAGACGTCTTGATGCCAGGGCAGGAGGAGTACTTGACAGGACAGATGTCACCCTTGTGGCGGCTCCTGTACATGACCCGATCCTGCAGAAAAGATCCTGCGTGCAGCTCTGATGCCGCGTGGTTTGCAGGGCTTGGCCCGCGTGCCCGTCACCTCGACCATGGTTGAGCAGAGTCCCCGTGCCCAACCCCACCTGCTAGAGCCTGTCCCCAGAGTGCCTCACCCATGCCCCCTGCGCTGGCGGGTGTCTGGGCCCCAGACAGGGGCCAGGCTGTGCGGCAGCCGCAGAGGCCGAGCCTGGAGCCCCCGGGTCTGGTGTGCGCCGCTACCTCCGTCCGTGCCGCAGGCGGCTCGATTCTGTGACAGCCTGGGGGCCGGTGGACTAGCCTTCAGAAGGGCCCTTGTCGGAGGGCACAGCCCCCAGCCCCAGGTCCCAGAGATGCGGTCACTAGCCCGGCACGGGTGCCACATCGGGTGCCCGCCTGCGGCTCGTGGGTGCTGCTGTCACACCGGCCTTGGCCCTTAGCCTGTGGTTCTGAAGCGTGGGCGGGCCCAGAGCCGGGCTGCAGGGACGGGCCATGCACCCGGGGCGCTCACCGTGTAGGAGGGGGTCCTTTGCTTGGACGTGGTGTCGTAGGAGTCCTTCCCAATGTCAAACTTGTACGATGGAAGGAAATGGATGTCCGGCTCCTGGAAGCCCTTGAAGATGGACCCTGGAACGGTCACAGGCCCTACCTCTCGTCAGTCCCGCGGACTGCGCCTCCTTGGGGGTGGGGGAGTCCACACCCCCTCCCCAGGACCTCACCTTTCTTCATCTCCTGGGTGAGCTGGTCATGCTGAAGCAGGGCAGACGCCTTCTCCCCCAGCTCCTGCTTCAGGATGGCCTCCACGGCCACGCGCCCTCCATTCAGACGGAAATTGAAGTCTCCAAACCAGAACACCCCATCGAACCGTGTGGTGACGTCCGCTAGCCAAAACGGGAAAGTGCGTGAGCCCGGCCTCCTGGTGCTGGTCTCACCCCGGCGACTGACGGGTTTGGTCTGTGTCCCCGCTCCGGCAGCCTCGGGCAAGGACGGCCCAGGCACAGCCCTGGCCGTGGGGGTTGTGCCCCGCGGCTTCCTGGGTCAACATGTGGGTTCACATTCGCCGTGGGGTATCTTCATTTCAAACAGCAACAGATATCGGGGGACAGCGTGGGTGCCCTCAGGCTCCCAGGAGCCCACGCCACCCACGCTCACCGCCTCCGCCAGGGCCCGTGGGGGCAGGGAGGCAGCCACGGCGAGGACCCGGACCCAGGTGGCAAGGCCAGGCTCTGGCTGGAGGCACAGCTGCCCAGTGGGTCCCGGCTGGTGAGGAGCCCAGCACCAGGCCTCGTTCAGGGCACCTGCGTTCCCATGGGCTACTAACTTTCCAGATTTTTCCAACCTTGATTCTCAGAAGCTCTCCAAGTTTATTTTAGGTGAACTACCCAGAGCACAAGGCCGGGGCACGTTGCCGGGGCTCACCGGCGTCGGAGCGGTAGGGGCTGGTGTCGGGCACGCTCTTGGGCAGGGCCAGGCCCTGGATGGTTCTGCTGTAGTCCAGCAGCCGCTCTCTCACCTTCCCGTCTCCGGCTGTAAGAACAGAGCGCGGGGGCCGCTCCAGCGGGGCTTCTGGACCCGGAGGACAGCAGTGTCGTCCCGCCCCCCGCCCCAGGTGCTAACCCCCAGTGTCCCCCTCAGGTGTCCCCGGCGCGGGCCCGGCGGGAGGGCACCGGCACAGAAGGCGCTCCCGGCAGGCATGGGGGCCATGTCCTAACGCCTGGGACTTACAGGTGAAGTGAGACGTGATGAAGAGGAAGGAGGTGCCGAAGAAGGTGAAGCTGACGCCCAGGGCCCCCTTGGTCTTGATGTGAGACACGATGCGCGTGGTCACCGTGGAGCTCTCCACCTCTGGGGGGGGGAGGGGTGCAGGGCTGATGCGGCTGCCCCCGCGCGCACCCTGTCCACCTGCCCTCTCGGGGGCCGGGTGAGCGTCCCTGGGCGTTGGCGCAAAGCGGAGCAGCCCGCCTACCTGAGCAGAACCAGATGAGGTCCCTGCGGATGAGCACGGACATGTAGAGCGCCCCGTGGGCCGTGGAGTACAGCGTCACGTAGCGGGGGCCGAGCGTCTCCTGCAGGCGCACCTCCCACTCCCGCCTGCAGTGGGGGGGGGCGGGGGGGGCCGGGACAGCCTGGGAAGGGGCTGGAGCCTCCCAGCCCCGCCCCCCCCTCCCCCACAGCCCAGAGGGCCCTGCCTCCTGGCTCCTGCCTGCGGGAAGGGGACAGGCCAGCAAGCCGCGGCCACAGTGCTGGTCCCAGGCCCTGGCTCTCCCGCTACCTCACGAAGGCTCCAGGTCCCTGGGGAGCCCAGCCCCTTCTGCTTCCCCTGGGTCGGGGGTGCCCGCAGACCTAGGACCCCCTTCAGGGGTCGGGCTCGGGGGCCTGGCGTCCCCCAGCGAGACAGAATGTTCTAGATCAGCTGCGTGTCCACAAGAACTCAAGCTCATCGACTCCAAGTTCTTTGCGCCCCCAACAGAGAAGCGGTTCTCCTGCCACCTGGGCCTCGCCCTACGTGGGCGGACGCAGGGCAGGCGTGCCCCCTACCTGTCGGAACAGCCCTCCTGCACCCCGACGACGTACAGGTCCTGGGCGTAGTCGGCCTCGGCGGGCAGCAGGAGCTCGTCCAGGTTTGGGGGCAGCTCCTGCAGGGAAGCAGCGCCTGGTGAGGGGCCCCTGCGGGGCACAGACCCCAGCCTCTCCCGAAGGGCCCTGGCAGGCCGCCCTCCGCCCCGGTTGGTCACCACCATGCCCGTGTCTGCGCCCCTCCCTCACCAAGGGGCCCCCCGGCCCCAGATGCACTCTGGGTGGGGAGGTGGTGCGGCCCAGCCGGGGGCTGCGGTCCCGAGGGCCGGACAAGGGCACTGCCCCACTGAGGGGCGGCATGGCCCCCGGCGGGCACGAGCGCCACCAGCCCGGGCACCTGTCAGAGCAGGGCTCCTGGTCACTCAGCCAAACCTCGTCCCGCCGGAGGCCCTGCCTGGTTTCCTCCCCGGCGCCTGCGCCCCCAGGGTCCGCCCGGGCTCCGCTGCGCGGAGGGCAGGGCCTCCCGTGCTGTCGCCAAGAACGCCGTGGCGCACGTGGGCAGCAGGAAGCACTCGAGACCCCATCGTGGCGACCCCCTCGCGCGAGCACCACCACAGTGCAGGACGTGCACACCCGGCCCCCAGGAATGAGAGCTCCCCACGCGCGGGGGATGCAGACCGTCCGCCCTGCGCGCAGGGCGCCCCAGCTGAACCCGCAGTGGGGCATGGGCGGTGGGGAGGCTGTGCACTGCCCCCTCCTCCTAAAGCTGCTGTGAACCTGAAGCTATTCTAAACACGTGCGTGTGCAAGAAAACCGCATTTCCCCCCATCGGGCAGCGGGGAGGTGGAGGAGGCAGGGATGCTCCGGACAAACGCCCAGGCAGGCGGCGTGCGGCTCACAGGCCGCGGGGGAGGCGGGGGGGGCGGGGGGGGGGGCCCTTACCTTCTGGCCCTGCATGTTCCACGTGGCCACGAAGACGGCCAGGCTGCGGTCCGGGAAGTACCGGGCCAGCTCGTCCGCCCCCATCAGGGCCCCGCTCGCCAGCAGACTCCCCTCCAGGTAGCTCCTGCGGAGACAGGGCAGCCTGCAGTCGAGGGCCGGGGCAGGCGGGCGCGGGGACACACCTCCCGGGCACGCTGCCGGCCCCAGGCCCCCCGCAGCACGGAACCCGTCTTCGGGAGGCTGTCCCAGAGCTGGGGCTCCCGGGGATCCCCCGCGGGTGAGCACCAGCCTCTTGGAAGCCCCATTGTTCACAAGTCTATAAACACCAGCACGTGTTCAACGTTTCTGTCGCCTCCTGAGACGAAGGACTTGAGGATGATTTCCGGGCTCTTATGCTGGGGCCCTTACGGCTCGGCTTTGGGCTGTGAGCAGGGCCCTGCGCCAGGGGCTCGCCTCCATCTCGGCGTGGTCCCGGCGGCCCCAACAGCCACAGGGGGCACGTCCACCCTCACGGCAACGACAGGCTCTATTTCAAGAGTTGAACGGCACGGTGGGGAGGTGTAGTGAGAGCGCCCTGGCCATGAAGTGCCGACGAGGAGCAGCTCTCCCTTGGGGAGGTGGGTGCGGCCCAGCCCCAGCCCCACCCCCGGGCCCCTCGCAGGGGCGCCTGGGTGTCCTCTCTCTCGCTGCTACGTCCGCATTTCTTCCAGCTGTCTGGGAGTCCTCCTTCCAGAACCTTCTTCCCACCCAACTCAAGATCATTCAGGCGGCCCCCAGAATTAGCACCCAGGTGACGGCCGCACCCATGTTTGGCCATTTTGTCCCCTGGGTCTTCTAGTGCTGCTCTCTGCTGCAGACACTGGTCGCTCCCCCCCACCTTTTCCGGCCATCCAGCCGCTGCGGAAGCTGGTCACTGGCCCCCGTGCATGCCCTTGCCCAGGGGGCTCTGCCGTCTCCTGAATGGTGGTCATATTGGAGGCTGGTTAGATTCCACTCCCATTTCCTGCCAGACGAACCCCAGTAAGCAATGTGGGTCCTGGCCCCACTCCAGTGACCCCAAGATCAGTCCGCCAGAGCCTCCCTCGTCGTCAGCCATCGCCCTGATGGCCGTGTGCAAATGACGGCTTGTAGGGCGCCCTTTCCGGCCCCCGGGTGCGCTGGTTAGTCCTTCCAAGCCCTCTCCTTGTTTCCCAGCGGGCAGGGCCGTCCCAGTCCCGTCTGTCAGGGGCGAACGGAGGCTGAGGGCGTTCTGTGACGTGCCAAGGCCCGGCAGCCGGGCGCTGCAGTGCGGGACAGGGCGCACCAGGCCGCAGATGGGGTGGGCTCGGAACGCCGGGGTGCTCCGCCTGCCCCCACTGCACCCCTCCAGGCTGCCTGGCACCCTGACCCCACCTGCCTCCACCTCTGGGCACAGGGAGAGCCTCTCACCTATGGCCGTGCTGTTCAGGGCCCGCCACCGCCACTGCGGCTCAGCGCTGCTATTCACCAGGGTCCTTAAGAACCCGGCCCAGGGGCGCTTGGGGGGCTCAGTTGGGTGTCCGACTCCGGCTCAGGTCATGATCTCACGGTTCGTGCGTTCGAGCCCCATGTCGGGCTCTGCTGACAGCTCAGAGCCTGGAGCCTGTTTCAGATTCTGTGTCTCCCTCGCTCTCTGACCCTCCCCTGCTCACGTGGTCTCTCTCTCTCAGAAATAAAACATTAAAAAAAAAAAAAAAAAAGAACCTAGCCCAGTGCAGCTGTTCAGCAGAGAGACACCTAGTGCGATCCAAGCTCCCGAGGACTCTTCATTCTTCCTCGCTAAGAAAACCTTACTCCTTAGTCTTGCCGACAGGACCCCGCTCCTTTGAAGGACGCCCCGTCAAGAGCAAGGCTCCCGAGCCACGGTGACCACTGGAACCAGAATGTAGCTCTCACACGAGCGCAGGCCTTGCAGCACAGGACTTCAGTCCCGCCCAGAGGGAGGCTCCGGCTGGCTGCCCGCACTGTGTCAAGAAGCGCCATCACGCGGGTCACACGCGCAGCCGGGCACCGGGAGACGGGCACCCTCAAGACGCCCCCACCCGCCCTGCCCAAGGGCGTGGTGGCCTCTGGCCCAGCCCCATCTGCAGGGTGACCGTAAGGCTGCCGTCCCAGGGGCGCTGTGCTCTGACCCCCTCCCAGGTCTGCAGCCGGATGCCACATTCAGCTGCTTCCGTGGCCCGTGAGCCCCACGTGCCACACCGTCCATGGCACCCGGCCTGTCCAGCCCGGGCTGCGCTCTGACTTTGGCCAGGCTCCCTGTTTGTGGACAGCCTACGAGCTAAGGACCATTTTCACATTTTCAAAAGGGGGGAAAAAACCCTATTATTTTGTGACGTGGACAACTTACACAGAATTCCAATTTCGTGTCCCTGAACAAAGTGCTACTGACACACGGCTGTGGCTGTGGGTGCCCACGTGGCCTATGTTCCTCCGCTACAACAGCAGAGGCCAGCACGACCGCAGAACGGGGACACTTGCAGAAAAAGTGCCGACACCTGTCGTAGAACTCGCTGGGAACAGGGACCTGAGGCGGCAGAACCAGGGTGAGGGATCCCCATCCCCCACAACCTGTTGGCCGCTTGCCTGAAAACGCTGAACTGGGGACCCCTTTTTGAGACGTGGTTGTCATTTTATGTTCCCCGCGTGTCCGCCGCACACGGGGCGGGGACGCTGGGAACACGCTAAGGCGGCTCGCCGTCCGCCAGAAAGCAAGCTGCAGCGACTCCGGCCTGTACCGCCGGGCTCCCCGACCCTCTGAACCTTCGAGTGGGCCCTTATTTGGCAACGGCCAGCGGCCCACGAGAGAGACGCAGACGCGGAGCAGAACCGTGTGAGGACGGCGGCAGAGGCTGGAGGGCGGGGCGAGGGGGGACGCGAACACCCTTCCGTGGTTAGCAAGCTGCTTCCTGACGCCACGGTGAAGGCCACGGCTGATCCCCGGCCCCGGCGGCCCTACCTGCTGCGGACGTCCTTGGCGCGGATGGGGGCCAGGAGGCTGAACGGGGACTTGGCATCACAGGCCAGGGGGCTCGGGGGCCGGCCGGGGCCCAGGCTGCTGTGGGCCCGGAACAGCCTGCCCTGCAGGCGCGACTTGCCGGCGGAGCTCGCGGTGCGCAGGGAGTCGGGGGCCACCTTCTGGTCCGGGGCGGGCAGCCTGCCGGTGCTCCCGGCCGAGCCCCCGCCCCGGTGCAGGAGGTCCAGGGAGGTGCCGATCATGCCGGAGATACAGTGACCCCAGGAGGAGGGACTCCCTCCCGCGCTGCCCTGGGCCCTGCGGGTCGTGGGGATCTCCTGCAAGGAGGTGCTCAGGCAGGGCGGGGAGCCGGTGTGCGCGGGCGACCGGGGGGTCTCGGCCTGCAGGGAGCCCCTGGAGGGGCTGGTCCCGCTGCGCGTGGCCAGGTCCTCGTGGCTGGCTCGAAAGCGCCGCCGCCTCCACGCCTTCTCGTCCAGCGACAGAGCTCGCTCCAGCCTGGGCCTCGCGGGTGGCTTTGGGGTGAAGGGTTTCGCCTTAGCTTGCGGGTCCTCATTGCTGACAGCCGCTGGAAGGTTCAGAGGGAGGACGGGGCTCTTCTCGGGGCCCTGACAGTCGCCGGTAGGCAGGGACCCCGGGTGGGGTACGAGGTCTTTGCCCGGGTTTGGAAGCTCTCCCTTCAGCATTCTGCCTTCGGGCCCCAGATGCCCCTGGGGGGTGGGCTGCGGGGGGGCTGCGTCTGAATGCCCCAGGCACTTGGATGGCATAGTCCAGCGGCCAGCTCTAAAGGGTGACGGCAGCCCAGCCGACCCAGGAGAGGGCTCCTGCTGGGGCTGCCGGTGAAGCCCAGGGTCAGGGACGCGTGGTCAGATGTGGCCCGGCAGGCCCAGGGGAGAGAAGGCGCGGCGGCTCCCCTTCAGGCCCGGGGTGGTCCAGCAGGCGCAGGGCCCGTTGCTGCATGACGGGGAACCCTGAGGTCCCGGAGTCCCCGGGAGGAGCCTGGAGGAAAACGGGCTGTTATCCTCCCAAAGCCATGGCCCGACGTGCGCGTCGTGGTGCGACCGGACCGCTCTGCTGCAGGGCCACGGGGGGACGGGGCGGGGGGGGGGAGGGGGAGGCAGGCCAGCAGGAGCTAAGGAAGAACGAGCATCTACACTGCTGCTTCCTCCTGGGAGGTGGGGTGAAGTTTGGCCCCTCTGAGGGCGGGAAGCCACCATACACCATACTGCGCGGGGGAGGGGGGTGTGCTGTTCCTCCGTGGGGTGCTGGAGACACGACCCACACAGAATTGCAGCCGCAAGGTCAAGGCCAGTTCACAGGTCCAGCCTCAGATGGCAGTCCCTGGGCCCTCGCTCACCTGCGTGGCCACCCCATCGCTCAGCGGGCAGACCCCGCGGGGACAGAAGCCCCTCCGCAGGCCTGCGGCTCGGCCGCCACAGCCAAAGGCTGACTCAGGACTTGCAAGCCGGCGCCGCGGGCGCGGCGACTGCCGCGGGGTCCCCAGGGCAACGACAGCCGCGCAGCCTGACCCCGCCCCCGCTTCCCGCCTGGGGTCGTCCCTGCGCCTCAACCCCGCGCTCTGGACCCGCGCTCCCGCCTGGGGGTCACCTCGCCCGAGGTTGCCCAGTGCCCCAGACTCGCGTCGGAGGCCCTGCCCAGGATTGCCCCAAGCTCCGGACCCGCGCCCCCGCCCGAGGTTGCCTGGTGCCCCAGACTCGCGACGGAGGCTCTGCCCAGTTTGACCCGCGCCCCGGCCCGAGGGCCACCCCGCCCGAGGGCGCCCTGCGCCCTCGCCTAGGTGTCTCTCGCGCCCCGGACCCGAGTTGGAGGCCCTGCCCAGGGGTCACCCCGCGCCCTGGACCCACGTCCCCGCCCAGAGGTCACTCCACCAGAGGCCGCCCCGCACCCCCGGCCCAGGTGTAGCCCCGCGCCCACCTCTCGGCGCCGCCTGCTCCCCCGGCCGGCGGGTCCGGCGGCCGCTCCCCGGCAACGGGCGCACAGGGCGTCCCGGGCGCGGTCCCCGCAGCGGCCCCTGGCGGCCGGAGGACCCAGCGCGCACGCGCGCGCGAACCCGGAGACCCCTCTCCAGCCGCGGCTTCCTGGGCCCTGCGGCCGCACCGGCCCCGCCCCGCCCAATGGACGCGCCTCACTTGCTGCCCTGGGAGGAGGGGCTTCCCGCCAGGCCCACCCCCACCCAAGACAGAGGAGCCCCTCCGGCCGTACCTGCCGCCTTGTGGCCCTGATGGTGACCCACCAACAAAAGGAAACAAGTGACAGAGCCCTGCGAGCGCAAAATACTTTACTTATCAATTTGCAGTGTAACAATTTGCATTTAGGAAAAATAGCAGCTCCCGCCTGTCCTGGGAGGGAGCTTCTTGAATCAAAAGTCGCTGGCAGTCCACGCGGGCAATGGTGGGCAGGCCGGGCAGAGGGCGTCGGCGGGGGGCTCTGGTCCCAGGGCCCCCACTGCCCCTGGCAGCCAGGCCCCACCTGTCTCCAAGTGACAAGAACAAACGCATCCAGGTGTGCCCGTGGGTGACACGTGGGAAAACGCTCCGCACCCTTCCTCTGGGGCCCAGTGAGCCGCGGGGAAACTCCACATTCACACCATTTCCGCACTTAGATTTACGACACCCAACTATGTCCCCAGCAGAACCTACAGAAGTTATTTCCTAATGATTCTTATAAATATTTAATTTTTTTTCTGTAGTCTCTTCAGACTTAACAAGAATGTGAATAATTCTAAGAACAGTCGATGAAGCCTTAAAGCTTGGAGCTCCGGGGGGGGGGTGGGGTTGGGGTCTCCCTCTGTGGGCTCAGCCCGCCACCCACTGAAGATCCCGGTGGGGGAGGGGGGGCGGAGGGAGACACGGAGGCAGAAGGCTCAGAGTCCGAGCGCGTGTCAACTCTGCACTGTGAGGACCGGTCATGAGAAAGTACATCGACTGTTTCACAAAGAGCGTGCCAATCCAGAAGTTTCTGTGAGGAGTCGTCTAACTAGGCTACTCCCATACTAAGAAAACCCAAATGGAATCCGTCACCGGCAGGTTTAGGCTTGGTGGGGTAGGCGGGCAGGTCCACGTGGAACACGGCCCTGGGGGACCCCTTCCCAGACGCAGAGGGAAGTGACGTTGGAAACATCTTTGCCACCAGACAAAACGCACTTCAGTGACCGGGCCTCCCTGGAAAGCTTGACCGGGTCCACGTTTCCTTGAGGCGTTTTTTTGCAGTGCCCCCACCCCAGGGGGCTCTCCCAGGCCGGGGTGCGCTCTCCCCTGGGCGTCCTGAAGGACCAGCGGCAGGGGGCGGGGGGGGGGGGCGGCAGAGCATGGTTAGGTTTCCCAGACACCCCGTTACCGAAGAGCGGTGCCCTCGTTCTCGTGCAGCGAAGGCGGCTCCGGCCTCACCCGGTGCAGCGTTCCTGAGCGACTAAGGATGTGCTGCCCTTAAGTCACTGTCAGGTGAGAGATGGGGCCAAAGACCCCCTCTGTTCGCCCAGCACCGGAAAGGCAGCGTGGGCCAAACCCCGGCAACGCTTTGGAGACAGGTGGTGAAGAAGGAAGTGCGAGCACAGTCACGCGGAGTCACCGCTGTGCCCATGTGGGGACACAAGGGAGGTGCAGGCGATCAGTCCGTCTGACTTCCCAGGAGAGCAGAATTCGAAGGTTCTAGATGCTACTGCAGGACAGGGACCCTTCTAGCTCAACGCCGGGTACTTCCTCTGGCCAATCCTCCCCATCCTTGAGCCCCCCGAGGCAGCAGAGGTCTGGAAAGACAAGGAAGAGGGTGGACCTCCACACGCCAGCCTCCGAGGCCGTGGGGACTCCGGTCCGCGGGCCCGTTTCCCCCGACAGAACAGGCGGGCTGCACGCGTCCTCTGCAAGCCCTGACAACGGACCGAGTTGGGACCAGGTCTAGACATTCGCTTTGAAGGCCTCTGCCGTTTGGTCGGGTGCTGAGAAGGGAGGTGGCCCCTGCAGCAGAGCACCCGAGGAGGGCGGCGGCCCAGGCTGCCACGGCAGGGATGCGGGGCGGGGGGGAGGGGGGAGCACCCAGGGACAGGCGGCGGCCCAGACTGCCACGGCAGGGATGCGGGGCGGGGGGGAGTGGGCGGCGGCCGGACCAGGCATTTACTTGGGCTGAAGTGAGCCATCAAAACCTCTCGGAAAGCGAGACGGTGGTGACGGAAGGAGAGGCACCACCTGGTCCCCAAGCGGAAAAGCAGCTGCACAGCCAGGCGGGAGCCTGGGGGGCAGGGCAGGGGGCCGAGAGGCGGCCTCGTCTGCGGACATGTCGAAGCAGAGGGCGGCAGGCTGGTGAGAGCCCGGCTGACAGTGGGCAGGCCCGGCCACCCCAGCCGTGAGGACACCCAGGGTCAGGTGAGGTTTGACATTCTGAATGCAGAGACAGCCCCTTTCCCAACCCCCTCCCCCCACCCCCCTACTCAGCTCCCCCCAAGCCAGCAGCCAGTCTGTACCCTACAGGCATGAGACTGAAGAGGAGGAGCGAGAGGCGGAGAGAAACAGAACGTTCAGGAGCATTCTCCCGCTGCGGCCATGGGCTGCCCGGTGAAGGGGCCCAAGGCTGGCACGGCAGAGGGGAGGCGGGCCCAGAGCGAGGCGGGCCGGAGACGGCAGGGCACTCACCTGTGCAAACTGAGCGGGGCTGTAGAAGGGCACGGAGGCCCCGGGGGCGCCCCCTGCAGCGGCGTGGTCACTGGGAGCCTGAGAAGCACAGAGAGCCCGTCTCAACATGGCGACAGCACACAGCGGCGCGTCTCCCTTGTGAGCAGACGCCGCTGCCGAGTAACCCCCATGGCACTTCTAAGGAAGCCACAGAAGCAGCTCGAAGACACTCGTTCTGACACTGGATTTCACTACCGAGCGGGTCACGGGGAAAAGGTGCACGTTAGAGCAGCATGCAGAGCACAGTGCTTCAGGGAGCAGGACGCGCGACGGCAGGCAGTGCCCGGCCCCGGGGCGCCCCGAGTGCCACCCGGAAGCGGTTAGTAGGTATTTCTGACCCCCTCAGACCTAGAGCGTCCAACTATAGGACCCAGTGTTTTAATAAGTAAAGTCCCGTGCAGCCTCCGTGGAGGCAACGGGAAAGCTTCGTCGTGCGAGCCTCACAGCAGATGAAGTCTTCCTGCGTCGCCCTGCCCGCCCGCCGAGGACAGCCTCGCTGCCTCGCTCCGCCCGCCCGCCCAGGGACGCCCTGCGCTTGACCAGAAACTGGAACTTCTCTGGCCCCCGGCGGGCTTCTGAAACCCTCACATGCGGTGAGGCGACACCCAAGGCCCGCCGTTTGGCAAAAACAATCCGGAAAGAATACAATCGCAAAAAAGTCCGTCGTTCACCAGGAACGTTTTGGGGTCGGCTGGGTCACCAGTGTAAGCGGACGGCTCAAGAGCGCCTCCGAGGACACCGCGAGAAAGGAACACTGCATCCCGTGGCGAGCGGAGGGCGGGCGGGGAGGCGGCGGGCTGTGTTAGTGACAGGGCGGGACACAGGCCAGCACAGCGCTCTCAAAGGGACAACAAAGGCGACCCAGTTCAACTCGGGCTCAGTGAGAACCGCCAGCCACAGGTACCTGGTAAAGGTGCTGGCTTACTTCACGTGATAGTGAACTCAGTGAGCTACAGCTCGAAAGCTACGAGACAGCAAGAACACACACACACCACAGACGAGTGAGAGGTCGGCATGCTGCTGCCCCGCGCGGCCGCGTCCACCCCGGAGCTGCGTGGGGCCGTTCCATCAACGCGGGCCAGCCGGGACACAGACCGTCAGCTGCAACCTCCTCCGTTAACAGGCAGGGTTTTACTTTACTTTAATTAACAAAAAAGTTTACACTTATTTACTTACTTTGAGAGAAAGAGCAGGGAGGGGCGGAGGGAGACGGAGTGAGAATCTCAAGCAGGTGCTGTCAGCACAGAGCCCGACAGCTCAGAGCCTGGAGCTGCTTTGGATTCTGTGCCTCCCTCTGCCCCTCCTCCGCTCACACTCTGTCTCTGTCTCTCTCTCAAAAATAAATAAGAAACATGAAAACATCTTTTACGAAACCACCGTCAGTCTGGGGGGAGGGGCCTACCCTCGCGCTGCGGGAGAAGAGCGAGCGTGGCACTACTGTGCCGAGGGGGCCTGGGCCGCGGGCGCTCGAGCCCTGCTCTGTGCGCGGCTCCCGCACAACCGCGCAGACACAGTCACCGCTGCGCCGCGGGACCCCAGACACGCCTTCTAAGCGCCAGGGAGCTGCTGCGTTGCCTCTTCCTACTCAACGTTCTCACTTAAAAGGATGAAGCCACTTGGACGGTACGAACGGGTGAGGTCCTCAGCCCAGCTTCCGGGCAGGTACCGAGGGGTGGGAGCGGCTTACCTCTCCTCCCTGGGAGCCGTCCTGGTGGGTGGGTGGGAGTTCAGGGCCAGGGAGGGACGCTGGTGAGCCCAACACCTGCGAGAGAAAGAAGAAAGGCCGCAGCCCTCAGTCCTGTGAGGCCCCCGCCCCAGCCCCGGCCCAGGAGCCCCACTCGGAGCATGTGCCCCGCTGAGCAGCCGCGGGGCTCACGACAGCCCATCTCTGGGGAACTCAGACCATGCGCCCCTTGATGACTTTGTGTGTGGGTGTCCTGTCACCTTGTTTCACAGAACAGCAAACAGAAGCTTTGAGAAGTTACGTGACCCTTTAAGCATTAAGCAGCGAGGGGCGCCTGGGGGGCTCAGGCGGTTAAGCATCCGACTTCGGCTCAGGTCATGATCTCACAGGTCATGGGTTCGAGCTCCGTGTGGGGCTCTGTGCTGACAGCTCAGAGCCTGGAGCTGCTTCAGATTCTGTGGCTCCCTCTCTCACTGACCCTTTTCTGCTCATGCTGTCTCTCTCTCTCAGAAATAAAACATTTTAAAAAATTATTTTCTTAAATCTCTTTAAGACTGTGAGTTCAGGAAGCCAAAGATACCGGACCACATGCACCACGTGGTCACGATCCATATCTCGGGGACAGCGCTCAGGGGAAAGACTTCCATGGAAACAGTCTTCTCCGGGGCGCGACGGGAATGACACAAAGGGCAGGTTGACTTTCCGGGGGAGGGGGTGAGGGGCGAATGCTCCCTGTCCCTCCTCCCATCCCCGAGGCACCGCTTGCCTGGGGGCTCATGCGGGGGCTCACCTGGGGCTCCGAGGCAGGCTCTGGATTGACCGGTCCCCCCGCGGGGGCCTGCCCTTCCCTGCCGGCCCCCTCTGCAGGCAGGCCTTCCTCTGCGTCTGTGAAGGGGACAGAGTGGGAGGCTGTCATTCCACCCATGACACTGCTGGGGTTTCATGCAGAACCACCCCAGGGGAAGGGGTCCCCACAGTGCACTTGTGGGGACACGGAGAGGGCTCCATGAACAAGCACGGATGGACCCCAGGCTCTCTGCACATCAGCTGGTCATTCTTCTTAAAGGGAGACTAAGGCCACGGGCCCTCAGAAAGAAGGTACAAGGTCAGGAGGTCCCGTGCCACCTACCTGTGTTTGGTCCGAACAAGTGGGTAGGAATCGGCATCGGGGCAAGAGGAGCAAAAAACTCCGCAGGGGCAAGAGCCGGTTCACTCCGCTGGGGCCCCCCCGGGTTTAACACGTCCACGTAGCGCGCTCGGGCTCCAGCTGCACCGGGGCAAGCGGTGAACACAGGTCAGCGCACCCGCTGCCCCGGGCCCCACCTTCCCAGGACGCGGACGCGGCTCCCCCCACAGCGCAGGCGCAGCGCTGGCTTCTATGGGGGGAGGGGCATCTCACAGCCCGAGTTCACGTGCACTGCGCTGCCGCCGCTAGTACCGCAGGGTCTCTGAGCAGGGCCCTGGGGTCTAGACACAGGCATCTCTCTGGGGACTCACCCTCTGACACCGTGTCCCGCCTGCACACACACCCACGGTCCCTACACCCTGCCGTTTGGGGGCAACAAACACGTTGTCAAAGTCTAACCTCTGCCTTGACTCTGTTACCTGCTTTCCGGGAAAACATGTTCACAGAGGCTCTGGGGGGACCTCCGGGACCGGGGGGCCCAGCCTGCGCGGCGTTGGGGAGGGAGGTCGGCGGTGGCGGCGGAGCCTTCTTCTGCGGAGGGAAAGCGCTTTAGAGACCTGCGAGGTCACCAGGCACGGACAGATGCCTCCCAGGCGCCCACGGCCACACTGTGGGGATCCCAGCTCACCTCCTCCTCGGGCTCATTTACATCCACCCATCGGTTCTTCTTTTCATCCCAGACGATCTGCCACCATCGGGAAAAACAGAGAGAGAGGTCAGGAGACTCGGCGGAACAGAACTGGAGTGTGGCTCCGCGTTGACGCCGCGCACCCAGGGGACGCCCGCCTGGGGTGTGCCGTGCGCACCACCGCTGCTGGCGACACCGTCGCATTGAGTCACCGCCGCCGGCAGCGCCCCATCCTACAGCACTCACCGATTTGTTCTTGTCGTCAGGCAGATAAGCTTCTGTCCTCTTCTTCCCGGGCAGCCAGCGAAATAGCCAGGATTCTCCGCTCTGCACACAGAAACAACCGCAGCGGCATGGAGGGTGCGGCGCTGGGTGCGGGGAGCCCCACGCGGAGGACCAGTCCTGGAGGGCCCTGGAGGGTCTGCTCACAGGAGGGGCGAGCGCTCGGAGCCACAGACGCAGGGGACAGGGGAGGGCGGGTCCGTGTGTAACGGGACAGAGTCCAGTCTGGGAAGACGGACACATTCTGGGGACAGATGGGGGGTGGATGCACGACAGCTTGAATGCGCCTGACACCCCTGAACTGTACCCTTAAAACACGGTTAAAACGGTAACTTCTACGTCATGTGTATCGTAGCACAATTTACAAACGTGAACAATGTGCCTTTTGGAGCTGTTCCTGTCTAAATGCCAACGGACGGCGGCCTCTGGCGGTCTCCCAGACTGAGCAGTGGCATGACAGCTGGGAAGTCCTGTGGGACCCGCTCGGAACAGTCCCCCCGGGTCCTCCGCTAGGAGAACTTAGGTGTCAGGGACACGGACTTTATTCTTCGAATCCTGTGCTTTGCTTCTTCTAGAACAAACAGAAACCGGGAAGGAGCAACGGCGGCCGCGTGTGCCCTCAAGCCTGTCACTCGGAGCTCTGCTGTGGAGAGCGGCACGGGTCTGCGCCCCTTCTCGCTGACGCATCACGTTGCAGCTCACAGTGCCTGCGCCTCTGCCTTACGCCGGGTTTCAGTAAGACACCAGCCGTTAAAAAAAACTGATAAACTGAACTATATTAAGAACCATGTACTACTTCAAAAAGTGGGGGAAGGGCACGTGCTGGGTCAGTTGGTGAACACATGACTCTTGGTCTCAGAGCTGTGAGTTCAAGCCCCACGTTGGGTGTGGAGACTACTTAAAAAATAAATAAATAAAAAACAAAAATACACCCACCCCCAAAAAGAACCATGCTCCTCATAAGCTAACTAGCACGAAGAGTAGAAAGCCGACCCAGAGTGTGGAAGAGGACGGGCCTCTTCCCAGGCTGGGGCTCCAAGAGAAAGGAGCGCTATCGCCAAAGGAAGACAGACCAGAACTGCTCATGTAACAACCCCACACGAACACAACGGCTGCGTCCATCACCGAGACGAAGGATAAATACAAGGGTGCACCTGCCCACAACCTATGCTCCTACACGAGGGCATCTAAAGGTCGGCCTCCCCTGTAAGAAGCCTCAGAGCAGCAGACACCAGCCACTGGTGACAGAGGTCAGAAGAGACCACCCTCTGGGGCTGCGCGGCGACAGGCCTTGAACACATGGGGCGGGCATGGGGGGCTGCGCTGCTCCAACCCCACTTGGGTCATACCCCTTTCGGGACACAGACGCACAAACGTTCATGAAGCTTCGTGCTTCATGTGCGCTTAGGACCCTTCCCAAACCGTGTGGCCCAACTGACAAAAGAATGATGGCCCAGGCCCGGTGGCCCCTGTCGTGCCGGAGCCGAGCCGCGTGCTACCTTCTTAGGCTCCTTGGCCTCTTTGCCAGCTGCCGGCGCAGACCTCTTCCCTTCGGGCGCGGACGTGAGAGGCGGCTGCAGGGCGCCGGAGCTGGCACGCTCCCATGCCGGAGGGACCTCGGAGTCCTGCGACGTCCTGGCGGAGCCCTGTCCCAAGGCAACGGGGGAGCAGGTTCACCCGGGGCACCTCCCCAAGGGCCTTTAGAACACCACCAAGGGGCCAGGTAACTCGGGCAGAGGGCAGAGTGAGCGGGGGCTGGGCTGGCTGCCCCACCCAGTGCCTGCAGTCAGCCAGCAAGTCTATCGGGGCACCCGCGGGAGTCGGAAGGGGGTTTGGGAGCTCAGGGGGCACTGCTGGGCTGCCAGGAAGGGAGGGGACTGGGCACAGCAGGCCAGGGGCGTTTTAAAAGACAGGCTTGTATTTTTTAGAAAATACTTATCGCTGATTGAAGACCCCATTTTCAAAACAGACCAACTGTCATTCTACACGAAAATAGATTATTCTTATGGCAGAACGCATAACAGAAGTTTAGATAATGCTGTGTGCCCGCAGAGGTCTGGTCTCTCTAAAGACGGCTGGAGGAGGCAGTGTGCAGAGAGCGTCCCTCCCCGTCCCCCCGCAACCCACTCAGACAAGAGCAAACAGAGGTGGTGTTTATACCGGACACGTCCGATAAAACGAAATCTCAATTTTAAGAAACCAGTGAGATTTTCAGGGATTCTACTGCAGAGAGCGAGATGCAGAGGGTGGGCAGGCTCTCCACTGCAAGCAGTTTCATTACAAACAGGCACTTCCTCGCCATAAGGTATCTGCATACCATCAGATGAGCCTTTTCCTCATTAACATTTCCCCCAACTCTTCATAGTGTAAGGAGCTAAATTATTTCAGAGAAACTTTTCTGCTGAAAAGCAATTTAAAGGATAATTTCCTAATCTTCACCATCATCTTTCTACTTAAGACAAGACTGACAAGTCTGGGCTCCTAATCGATGCAGTTTACAGAAACAAACAGCTTAAGAACAAAAAGCGGCAGAGTACCAGATGAGCAAACTTTCCGCCAAAACCGTCTTCTCTCCGCTCTGGAAGCGAGTTTCTCCCGAGCGCCTCCTGCACCATCAGCCCTGTCAAGGGAAGAGAGAGCCACGGTGGCAGCTTCGTGCGGGCCCTGGCCTCCACAGCACGGGCCTGAGTCCGAGACTGGAAATGGTTTCGTTTTCAAAGCCAGGTCTACACCGTGCGGTGCCCAAGTACACAGCATGGGAGCCACAGTGGAGCGCGGAGGAGGTCCTGGCCCGGGCGCACCTCAAGGCCGGCTCGCCACACCCGGGACACCCAGTTCCGTTCCGCGTCCTCACGAACAGCCGAGTCACGAAAGAAGCTAACATGAACATCAACTAGCCGTTCCACCTACAGCTTCCAGAACCCTTAGCAGGCAGGAGGCGATGCAACTTGTTTCGAGTACAAACGACCAACCACCTCCTTGGACACTGAACCCCATCGAGTGCTCTGGGGCCGGCATCGCGGCAGACCCACCTGGGTCCTGGCCTGCGGCCTCCTGGGGCAGGTGCTCGCTCTCCGGCAGAGACGGTGCGCTGGCGGGAAGGCCAGGTCCTGGGTACAGAGCTGCGGCGTCAGGCCCAGAGGCCTCTGGGAAACCAAGTGCAGACCCCAGGGGCCCACAGCCAGGCCCCAGCTCCAGGGGGCCCGGGGGTGGCGGCACCGGGAACAGCGGCACCCTGGCAGGGAGCGTCGGCGGAGCTGCAGAGAGCAAACAGCGGCCTGAGATCACCAGGCAAATGCCAGTCACTCGGAGACACAGACTGGCGGCTGGGAGACCGTTTATCTCACACGTCATTCTGCGCGGCCGCCTTTCTCTCGTTATGTGCAAGAGAACCGGCACCAAACCAGGAAGTGCCAGGGTGCGGGGGCCTCCGTGGTTTGGGGAAAAGCAGAACACACACTTCTTAAGGCCCAGAGAGAGGACGTCATTAAGTATGACGCGAGGCAAGGGCTCTAAATGACAGCGAGACCCCAACGCAACCTGGGGAGCGGCTGCCCGAAACCAACGCGTTCAGGGAGCCCTCCCGGCCTGCGCCTCCAGGGGTCAGCAGACCCCCCACCCTCTCAGCCGATGTTTAAAGCCTCAAGACCAGACAGGCTCATGGAGGGAGTAAGCACAGAGGGAGAGGAGAGGCTGACGTGCGCGGAGGCACGCCCTCTCCGCTCTCCTGGAGGCAGGATGAGAAGGTTCCACGTGGGGCATGGGGCTCACCTAATGGCAACAGCCGCACACCCTGGCCAAAGCGCTCGGCGCTCGGCACAGGCGGCGCCAGCAGCGGGTTGCCTGGCTGGGTGGGTCCTGGGCCGTCGAGCTGCCCAGCCTCAGGGCTGGGGGGGCTGGGACAGCGCTGAGAGAGGGCCCCATCCGGACTCCGCGGCGTGGCGCCCTCCTACGGGAGACGGCAGGCGTTTCCCCCAGCCCCGTGCGGGCCCCGTGTCCGCGCCTCAGGAGCCCCCGCCCCCACCCCCAGCCGGGGGATCCGTGTGTCTCTGAAATCCTAGCGTTGACACCCGACACCCTCAGCGTGAAAACAGGGGCACGGACCACGCCCGTCGGCACGTCTCTGACACAACGCCTCCCGAGACGGAGAGTGAACCCCACACCTTGACCTGCTTCTCCACACGCTGCAGCTGGACCAACCAGGCAGGCTCCGCGAAGGACTCCTCCTCCGGCTTCTCTCTCAGCTGAGGGTCGAAGAGCCGCAGCTGCGAAGCAACCTAGACGCACCCGAAGGGTAAGGAGCCTGTTACCGCCGGGGACCACAAGCAAGCTACGGGGGCCCGGGAACGAAGGCATCTTCATCGTCACCCAGGAAGGACTTCTGAGGCGCGCCGCGGGCCTGCGCTGAAGCGGCTGGCGATGCCGAGATCTCGGCAAGGGAGCTGGGGGCCACGACGCCTCCCTCGCGAACCCAGACGTGAGCCCAGCTGCGCAGGGGCCGGCGGTCTGTAGCCCCAACATCGGGTTCCGCGGACTTGGCTTCACCGACCAAAATGCTGAGCGGACCCGGAAGTGCATACGCTCCGATGGGCGGTGGGGGGAGAGCAATGGTGAGGGGCGTGGGGACAGATGAGACAAGAGGGCCCCACGTTCGCTGCTGAAGCTGGCGGAAAGACTCATTACTCTATTTTCGTAACTGTCTAAAAATTCTCGTAATACGACACTTTCCCGAGTTACCAAGTGAGTGCATTTTCCAGAACGGAAGTCCCGGGGGGAGGGGGCCCTGGCACAGCGGGCAGCTTGTGCTGGGTGTCCCCATGCGCTGGGCCCCGTCCTGTCCCGTTTGTGCCTCGCCTGCTGCCGGCGGCCAGTCACGTGGTCCCCATTCTATAGAGCAAGACACGGAGGCGGGCCACGGAGCAGCCAGGGCTCCGGAGCTCACACCGTTCACCGCTGGATTCGAGTGGCCCACGGTGAGAGTTTCCGGGGCACGAAGTTGCTGCTCAGTTTCTACACGGAGGCGAGAGGGCTGAGGAGCTCCTATGCTAACGCACACAACCCCGGGAACCGGCCCGAGAACGTCGAAATCCCGGGAGCCGTTCAAGAAGGAAGGCCCAGCGCCCCAATGGGCCCCGCTCAGCTCCTGAGTCCCGTCGGCCCAGTGTCAGTGGGAGAACGCTCCAGAGGACGTTACCTGGACCAGCTGGCTGATGAGCACCGGGGAGTACACGTGGGGCTGTGTCAGGATGGCCTTGGCAATCACCTCGCAGTAATGGAAGGCCTGCGTGGCCAGCCCCATCTCCGCCAGGCGGCACGAGTAGATGAACTTAAACACCTGGGGCCAGGGGACAGGGCGGAGTGGCCTGAGGCTCTTCCCCAGCCCCCGACCCCCCCAGGCCGGAGCGGCCTCACAGCGCCAAGCCCTGTTCCTGCACGGATCTCATCTTTCATTTCCTTATTTTTTGTAAGATTTCATTTTTTAAGTAACCTTTACGTCAGACATAGGGCTCAAACCCACGACCCCGAGATAAAGAGTTACACGCTCCACAGACAGAGCCAGCCGGGGGACCCCCAAGGGACCCTCAATGAAAGTCAACAAATGAGCTTCTGGGAAACTCACTCGTTCCCTTCAACCCGCTTACTAGGTGGGTGAGGCCGGCTCGCCAGCAGGAGCCCGCTGCCCAGCCCGCCCGCCAGCACAGCCGCCCCCGCTGGCTCGCTCCGCTCCCGACATTTACACCCACATGGTCCCGGCTCCCACTGCGCTCTCCCCGCGATGCTATAAGCTGCTGCCGGGAAAGTACTGGAAACCAAACACTCAACAAGCATTTTATATGCAAACAAAATCCTCAACTCAACAGGGCTTACTTCTCAAGCTTCACAGATCAAATGCCTCCTCACGACTTCTAAAACCGCTTTATCGCTTTTCGCGTAAGGACTCAAAAACCTTCGGCAGTCGGAGGCGTGTTAGCGCTGCCCGCCCGCCGGCCCCACGCTGGGCAGCCCGGCCCCGGTGTACCTGGAAACTGGGGAAGGAGCAGGTCTGCGCCCCAAGAGACTGGCCATATTCGTAGGCTTCTGTCCTCTGAATTGCTTCATTGGTCGCAAACTTGAAAAACGGCAAACTGTTGAGGAAACAGGCAACTCAGTCCTTGAGCAAGTCACCCAGAAGCACCTCACTCCACATGGTGGGCGGGGCGGGCTGCTGCCCGGGTCGCCTGCCGTTTTGGGAGAGCTGAAGAAGGGGTGCTTTCTTTCTAAAGGAAAACAGATACCGGCAAGTTCCTCACCTGTGATTCGATCCAATTAAAACAAGTTTTGCGGTTTTCTTTGTATAAACCCCTAATCCGACCTGGGCCATGAGGTAGCAGAAGTGCGCGGCATCTAAGAGACCTTTTGAAGCTGAGGAGACAAGCAGCAGGCCACAGTCAGTGACCCCGAGTCCTCCCAGAAATGCCGGCAGCGGCTTCCACACATGGGCGTCCTGTGCTCTCCCACCTCCCACCCGTGCCCGCACCTGACCTACCTAGAGTGTCGCCCATGGTGGTCATCGCCCGGGACTCCACATCCACGTTGCTGCTTAGGTTGGACAAGATCATAGCAAGATGCGGCCTCCAATCTCCCCACTTCTCGTCTCCACAACACTAAGGTCAGAAAAGCGCAAAACAGAATAAACCCTTTTCCTCAGAGGAGAGTGTCGTTTTCATCTTGTACTGGATGAGCTCAAAGAGCACAAGGAGGAAGAAGGACCGAGAGGGGACTGCAGGCCTCGCAGCCTGTGACGCGCTCTGCCAGAGGAGCGAGCCCGGACAGACAGCTGGGCCGCGGCGCCGCGCGAGCCCCTGAACACTAACCGTGGATGCAGCGGGCATCCGGCCCGACATCAGCTGGTACACGGTCTGCAAGGGGTCATTGATTGGAAGACTGTTGGCGAACCTAGGCAGACAGAAAGTCAGCGAGACCTGAACTGGCCCCGTTTAAAAGACGCACAAAACCAAGTCTGGTCTCGGCCCTTCAATGACACTTAACCCGGGCAAAGTTCACAGGTCCCGGTATCTCAATTAAGGAGCTAAGAAAGCACGGGGGGCCCGGGGGGGGGGGCTCAGTCGGTGAAGCGTCCGACTTCGGCTCGGGTCATGATCTCACGGTTCATGGGTTCGAGCCCCGCGTCGGGCTCTGTGCTGACAGCCCGGAGCCTGGAGCTGCTTCAGAGTCTGTGTCTCCCTGTCTCTCTGACCCTCCCCTGCTCACGCTCGCTCTCTCTCACAAATAAATAAAACATTAAAAAAATTCTTTTAAAAAAAGGAGCTAAAAAAGCAAAGCCCGAGAAAACCAGTGGTTTTACAGAGTGTACACAGACTGCACGACCGACAAAACGTCTAGCCCTCCCTTCGCAATGCCACCCCAGGAGGAGGGCCAAACAAGGACGGGCCAGCGGCGCCGCGCAGGGCAGACCCCCGCTCCTCGCCTGCCGGGGCACACGTGACACGTCACTGTGCTTCCCAGGGCTGAGCAGGCAGCGCGACCGGGCCAGCCGGCAGTGCCCAGAACCAGGCTACACGGCAAGATTCTCTACCTGGTCATGACCCGGGCGTGTGTCCGGTTGTCCATCTTACTGGCCAGTAAAAGAGCGTGTCCCCATAAGGCATTTTTCATCGCAGACTCCAAGGCGTCCTGCAAGACATTTTGTGGTTACGTGAGCCACCAGAACGATCTCCCCGACACAAGCAGGCAGAAGCAGCAGCTCGTGTCGCCAGGCACCGCCGCGGGCACTCCAAGGAATGCGGGAGTCAAAGCTCTGCCCGCGCACACTCCCGGTTCAGAAACGAAGTCCACCTGTCACACGCGCCCTAGCTGCAAAGTCCCTGGGGTAGTAGGTTTGCGACCACACGCAGTGCTTGGTTATCTACTAGCAACGTAAAGAACACGCACGCCGATCAGAACCAGGGTGACCGAGAAGCGGTACTGCCACCTCCAAACCGTCACTTCCACCGTGGGACGTGCCCCAGGGATCGCACTCCCCATTCAGGCTACGCGAGGCCTCCACGACCATCATCTCGACGCGCACAGAGCTTTCCTAAGGCAGCCTTCCCTCTACCCAAAACCACCCGGGGCAGGGCTCAGAGGACACCTCCGGGGACACGGGTGGTAGAGGTAAACAGTAGGCACACCTGACAGATTTTATAATCTCAACCAGTCAGAAGATGTCCACGGAAAGACCGTTTATCAAACGTGAGCTTTCTGAGTTTGTCGAGACACTAGAACAGCACGAACCTCGGGCCGGGCAGACCCGCCCCCAGGGCCCACACGCGGCCCCTTGGGCTCACCCTGGGCCTTCCCCGCAGTCGGCCCGGCCCCGGCGAGCAGCCCCACCTGGCTCCTGCCTTGCTGGGGAGGACACTGTCGCTTCCGTCTCGTGCTCGCTTGGCCCCGAGACCTGCACACCGCGGGGGCAGGGCCCGAGCACAGGAAATTCATCTATTTGCCAAACAAGTAAAACCTGCTTGGAAGAAAATCTTCACTGACGCGAGAGGTCGCATCAACGCCACACAAACGACATCTCAGGTGCCGAGTCCCGGTTAGGACGCCGGCGCTCCCGGCAGGGGCCTGCACCCCCGCGCTTCCTGCCCCAGCCCCCCCCGCCCCCCCACTCACCTTCTTGCGGCCATAAAGTAGCAGCTCTCGGAACCTCTCCGTCTCCCTGTCGAGAGTGCCGGGGGCGGCTGCACGGCTGTCCGCGAGGAACGAGAGCTGTGCCTCCCCGGACTCCTCGTCCTCCACCCGCTCTACCGCCTCAGATGTAAAATCTATCAGGTTGGCTTCGTTGGGCGACTTCCCAGGAAGCCAGGCCGTTCGGTGGTCTCGTAACAGAAGTTCCGCGATGTCCGTCCCCACCACGGTCTGCGAGGGCCGGGGCGAGAAGGAGAACGGGAGGCTTTACCACACACAGCCGTTCCCGCTCATGGTCGGGCGAGACCCCGACCAAACACGACTCCTCAGACAAGCACGCTCCCGGGCACAAAGCACCACCGGTGACACAGCCAGGAGCAGGATGGACACACTGACAGACTGCCTGACAGGCTGACAAAGCAGGCGGACCCAAACCTCCCCTCGCCCCAAACCACACGGCCCGAATTCCCCTCCCCCACATCGCCGCTACGACACTCTTCCTGAGCGAGGCCTGAGGTGACCGCGCCGACACAGCCTGGCAGAGAAACCCCGCCCAGCTCCTCAAGGGTGCGGGGGGCCGGAGGGGACAGGGGGACACTCACCCCGTTCTGCCTGCACAAGAGAACAATGAAATTCCAAAGGAGACTTGCAGACTCTTTGTCAATTAAATTTTCGTTCTGCAAACATTTTGTAGCTTTGTTCTGTGCAAAATTAATAACATCCACTTTATGGGTGTCATCTCTGAAAAAAGAACACACACTCAATGAACAGCAACAAGTGCACCGTGAGGCCGAGCACAGCAGCCGCCTCTGGACAGACGCGGAGGGCGCTCCGACGGGGACATACTTGCCGAGCGGTCCCGGGAATGAGCGCATCTCCTCCTGGTCCGGTGTGTGTTGCAGCAGGGTCTGCGGGGGGCGGGGGGGGCACAGAGAGAGAGAGAGAGCAGCTCAGGGGCCGTGGCTGCGGCTGCCTGGGCCTGGGAGGTTGTCAACGCCACCCAGAGGGCTGCTGCCCCTCTGTCACAGAGCACAGGCAAGTTTGGTTTACAACAGGGACTTTCCAATTCTAAGGAGTGGGAACCATGCCTCCCCTCTAACCCCGAAGCAGGGTCCTAACACATGCACAGAAAAGAGGCCTGCAGGGCCCACCTCCCCCCCAGCCTCCTGCACCCGGGCGCCCTTCCCAGTGACCCACATCCACCGATAAGGTGATACGAGCAGGGGCCTCCCCGCTGAACCAGAAATGTGAATAAAGACGGAAAACGAATGCGCAAGAAAACCAAGTCTAACGTGGCCCCACTGCTGAGGATCAAAATGCTGTTGTCTGAATCAGCCATGACCCAGCGCGACAGGAACATCTAGGGACCAAAGACCCCGGTGACAGACACTTTGCAAAGGCAGCCCCGCGAGGCGGAATCCCTACCCACGGAATTACCTCCATGCTGTGGACCTCGACCAGGGCAGGCTGTCCTTCTGAAGGCAGGTTTGGAGTCACTCTAATGAGCTGACCCCCGGGACCAAACCTGGCACAGACATGTGGTACCGAGAATTTCTCAGGAGAAGTTGGTCTCGATGGAGCTACATGTAAATGAAGTGAACACCAAACAGCTCGTCAGTCTGCAATGCTTCCCAACTAGGTCAACGGTACGGGACTTCGAGACGCCCACACAGCCGCGGCCACAGGTTATACCGGCCATGGCGACCTGGCTGCCCATGGGAAGGTGGCGGCGGTTCAACGTCCCCCAGTAAAGAGAGCTCAGGTGTGTGTCAGAGAACATTTCAATCGTTAAACATGACAGCGACCCTCTTCTGAAAACAAAACTCCTTTAAAAACAGCCGCGTGCACGGAGCACGGGTCCCTCGGAAGCAGCATCCTGGCTTCTGGCTGCTCAGGCACCCCCAGAGCCTCCGTGGCCCCCCAGCTCTCCTTCACACGCCGGCTCCTGATGGCGAGCAGCACGGGGACATACGAGGGGACGAGGAAGGAGGTCTCAGAGGAGCGTCACCCTGTAGGCTCCAACACCTACCTCTGCGCTTCTCCAGGGAAGAGCAGTTGACTGAACACCTCAGAGAGGAGTCGAGACTGTGGCACAGGTGACCAGTCCATGCGGGTTTTCAAGGGGAGTTAGGAGTTTCTGCACAAACTGCTCACCCAAACGGCTGGCACTGGGAAGCCGAGGGCAGCCGCGCCCAAGAACCTGGCGGGAGTCTGGTCTCCGCGCCACACCGACGTGGGTGCCACAGACAGGCTGGGCTGCTCAGGTCTGAGCCTGAGGGATGTCAACAGCCCCTGTGACAGCTCTGTGACTCAAAGCAGTCCCTACTCTGCAGAGACGACCAGGCCAGACCGCTGCCAGTGCCTTCAGGGCCGAAATTCACTCCCTCTTTCGTCCCAGGCTGAGACCCCCCAGCGGCGTGACCGGATGTCCCCATTCAGCCGGGAGCGCCGGGGCCCCGAGTGCACACACACCTTGCTCCGTGGTGGCCCAACCGGCTTCGGCAGCATAGCCGTACTCCGCGAAGCCCTGGGCGCTGCCAAAATTGTTGTCGTAGGCATAATCGCCAGGCAAAGAGTCCGGGGGAGGCGGGGCCTCGTAGGAAGCAGCAGTCACGCCGTGATTTCTGTAAATCTGACTCTGAGGAAAGAGCGCACAGGACCCATCAGCCCCTGGGAGCCCGGGAGACTCAGACACACGGGCGGACACGGGCAGGGGGCCCACCTGGCGCGAGCGGGAACTGAGGCTGCTGCGCAGACTCTGTGCCGAACGCTCGCTGTGCACGCTGCGTCTGTCCGCCTCTTCCCCGTAAGGGTCCCTGTGGGGCTCGGGGTCGTCATCAAAACTACCAGTGAAGCGAGGGTCGTACCTCCAGGGGTCATCATACCTCTCAGGCCTGGAGGGAGCAGGGGCAGAGGCGAGGAGAGGGGAGTGTGGGAGGGGACTCCGGACAATGGCCCTCTGCTACGTGGCGGTGAGCTCCTGCCATGTCATCACCACCCTGCTGCCAGGTGCCGGGTCACCATCCGGGGTCTTGACCCTCAGACGACCGGTAGGAGCCTACCCTCGGGGGCGTGGCTGCATCCCAGGCCCAAATTCAGACCCCACCTTTGCCTTCAGATTTGGAGAAAGAGGCCCCAAGGGCACCTGTGTGTGGCCACACCTCTCCCAGACCAGGAAGAGGAGGGGCCAACTCCCAGCACCGCCCCCCGGCCAGTGCCCCCTACCCCCCCCCCAAAACAGCGGAAGCAGGAACTGCCAGGAGGGCCAGTTCATCCTTGTCCTTCAGACAGGGACCCCAATGGCAGCTGCTCACCAGGATCCCAAGCACAAGCGTAGCTTTCTGATAAATGACCGACGTGAGGGCAGAGTTACCCTCCTTGGCAATGTGCATTGTACCAACCTGTCCCCGTAAGTGTAGTTTTCTTTCCTGTACAGATCGTATTCCGCGTCATACCAATACCTCCGGTCACAGGCGCGGGGGTCCCTGAACCTGGAGCCGTAGTGGTACCGGTCCCAGCGGCCTGCATCTGCAAGCGGGGGAGTGACGGCTCAGTACGACAAGAAAGGAAGACGCTCCTCCTGGGGTGGCCAGATACACCCCACCACCCCAGGCCTGAAGGGCGCCTCCTGGACCTCAGAGGAACCAAACCTTCCTCCCGATGGCCTTGGAAAGTATTAACCGACAGGTAGAGGGCCCGGGTGCATCTTGCCTGTACTGATAACCCTCACAGTCACTGGGTCTTCTCCCAACACGGGCGATTTAAAAAAATAAAACCTTAAGGAGCATCTTGTTCATAGTCACCACCTTTTAATACTTAATCCCATGACTGTGTTTTCCTTCTGTGACTTCCAACATAGCTCAAAGTTTCAAGAAATAATCGAAAACTAAAAGATTACCTAAAAAAAAAAAATACATTGGCGCCTGGGTGGCTCAGTCGGTTGAGCGTCCAACCCTTGATTTTGGCTCAAGTCATGATCTCCCGGTTGATGAGATCAAGCCCCACGTGGGGCCCTGCATGGACAGTGTGGAGTCTGCTGGGATTCTCTCTCTCTCTATGCACCTACACACTCATGCTCTTTCTCTCTAAATAAATAAACACTTTTTAAAAAATACATTAACATGGGGCATCTGGGTGGCTCAGTCAGCTAAGCGTCCGACTTAAGCTCAGGTCATGATCTCACAGTTCGTGGGTTTGAGCCCCACGTCGGGCTCTGTGCTGACAGCTCAGAGCCTGGAGCCTGTTTCAGATTCTGTGTCTCCCTCTCTCTCTGACCCTCCCCTGCTCACACTCTACCTCTCTCTCAAAAAAGAAAGAAAAACATAAAAAAAATATATTAACACAAAGTAGATGTACCATTTTTGGCAGTTGTGAGCAAAATTTATATCTAAAGCAACACAAATATATACGGAAAAGGGGCCTGGGGGAAGCGCGACCACCAAGGGGCAGTGGGCCCGGGACCCCCTGCACCTAGAGCACAGGTCGCAGCGGGCAGCAGTGGCTATCAGGACCGCTTGGGGAACATGTAGCTGAGATGCGCACCCTGCCCAATGGGAGAGTGTCAAGACCGGAAGGCAGCTCCGGGCGTGTGCAGTGAGGACATCTGATGTCTGCACCATGCAACTTGGGGGCGGGGGAGGAGACGGCTGCAGGAAGCCATCAGTGTGCCACATGGGGCCAGTGTGACCCAGGAGCTGGTTTCCCACTTTATTCTTTTCAATAACTTATATAAATGCGCAGGAACAAGGCCGTTCTGGAACTACTCACAACCGCACTTTGTTGGAAAATTATAGGAAACTACTAATACTACAAAGACGTGTTAATGCTATAATCAGACGTAATTTCTAAACAAAAACAGCAATACAATTATTCCCAAGGGCAGCTGATTTGCAACTACTTTGGCTCTAGGACTAAAGAGAGCAATGGGGCGGAGGGCCTCCTAAGGAATGGCCAGAGGGGCTGGCGCGCGCCCGGCTGCACCAGTGGCCTGAAGGCGTGTCCACCAGCGGCTGGCCGTTTAAACTCCTGAACTTACCTCCGTAGTCATACTGGCCGGAGTAGTAGCCTGCATAGTAGTCACTGTGGCTGCTCCACCCGCTTTTGGAGCTGGAGTAAGCTTCGGGGTAGCTCTGCCTGGAGACACACATGATGCTGTTACGAAATAAGTTTCCCGCCTCTGTCTTAGAGTACGTACGAGACGCCAGTCAGCGCGCGTTATCCGGAGCGTCAGGCACTCAGCAAAACGCTTTGTGACAAAATTCTCATGAGAAAATCCAAATCAGTAATAACGATGAGGTAAGATTCCCTGCCACACGGCCATAATCCGTCTCCCCAAGTAACTCCTTAAGCAGCACCCATTTGAGACAGAGCGCCTCCCGCCTGCTCCGTGCCACACCCCACACGGCCACGATCAAACAGGCTCCTCGGTTTCCAGTATCGATACTCAGCATATGCAGAAAGCACGGAGCTGTCAGAACCAACCTAAAGCCGACTTCAGTGCCCCGTGCGCAGACTGGGTGCCGCGTCCTCTGGATGGGTAGAGGCAGGCGCCCAGGCGTGGGGTTGTGGCTGCCTCGGCCCCTCGCGTCCGCTCCCAAACCTGACCGGCAGGAGGCCTGAAGCAAGTCTGGTGGACGCTGGCCTCAGTGACCCGGCTACGAGTCTGACTCTAGCCGCGGGGAGAGCAGAACTTAGCAAGGTCACGTGTCAGAGCTTCTGGGGCAGGAAGACCCTTACGCTGGCTTATCAGCATTTTTGTCTCTTACTGACAAGTTTTAGACAGTATTTGGTTTTTAAAATGTGACTCTTCTTGTGCCCCTTCAGGATTGTCTCCCAGATGAGCCTGGGGGCTTTGGGCGCGGCTCCTGGGACAGACTGCGGCGAAGAGGACCCGCTCTCAGGGTCCAGCTGCAGGAACAAGGTCCCCTCTGAGGGCCCTGGAGGACAGCACTCCAAGCCCCATCCCTGTGCAGAGCGGGGGGCCGCCGCGCACACCGCTGGGGGGCTCAGAGCCAGGCACATGCCACCTCCTCACTGCCCTTGCCAACCGAGCCCGTCCACCCATTGGCAGAGACAGTCACAAAAACAAAGGACGTGTTGCCACCTCAAGCGGTTGCTGCAGGTACGTGATCACACCAGGCATGAGAACAACACGCACACGCACTGACATGTGCATGGACACATCTGCAAGTGCGGACACAGATGTACATCCACGACTGCGGACACACACACGCGCAGACACGCGCACACACCAGCAAGGGCGGACACAGATGTACACCCACGAATGTGGACACACCTGCGGACACACACACTTGCAGACACGCACATACACCTGCAAGCGCGGACACAGACACGCGCAGACACGCACATACACCCGCAGGCGCGGACACACGCACGGACACAGATGCACACCCCCAACCACAGCAGGCAGAAAGGCGAGGCGGCGCTCCAGAGCTGTCACAGATGAGGGGTGAGGACAGTAAGAGCACAGAAACCCGCCCAGACAGGGGACACAGCCACTGACGTGTGACCCGGCCTTGCTCCCGGCTGGGTGACTTCTCAACAGCACGCAGCCACCTGTGGCCTCTTGGAATGACCTTCCACGTTAACTTTTCAGGTGGCCACGAGGACAGGAACCTGGAATAGCAAGATGCGCCCGGACTGCACCCTCCTCTGCTCTCCCTGGTCCCTTAGGTTCTAGAAAACACCTGCCCGACACTTTCCCTCAATCAGAATACTTCTCTTAACTTCAAACCTTCCCAGGTGCTGCACAGGAACTAACACCTCGGGAACTTCCTCCCATAAAGCCCCTGGAAAGCTGGGCTGTGTGCCGGTCAGCAGTGCACACAGAGAGCAGCCAAACAGACAAAGGCTCACAGAGACAGAGCCCTGTCTCCAGAGAAGCTTCCAAAGACCCGAAGAACCAGCAATCTGACCCCACGACTCTAGAAAGCAGCATGCGTACAAAGCCGTCATCGGTGAAGACTTCCTCTATCACGAGCTCAGGAAGCCGTGTGCTCTCGTGCCTACACCTACCCGTCGCTCCCCACCTGACGACGAGCAGGTGCCGTGAAGGGCTGGGAGGCAGCACGCCCCTGCTTCATCCCAGCTCTCCCTACATCTCTTAGCGGGAGGCTGGGACCTGCTTCCCTTCCTACTCGGCAGCAGGCATGACGCCAGAGCTTTCAGGATCCCTCATCTGTAATCACGGAGCCGAGACGCTCTCACTCAGTGGAGGAGGGCAGCGGGACAGACATGTGGGGCCTTCCAGCAGGGAGGGAGTGCTGGGAGAAGGAGGTGGGCGGGGGTCCTGGCCCCGGCCTGCCTGGCCTGACACCCCGCACTGCTGTGGTCAGTAGCAGGGAGAGGCCTGAGCGGGGCAAAGCCACCACAGCCCGAGGGCCCTGAACACCCGGTCAGCAAAATGCCAGAGCCGTGTGTGCGCCTCGGCTGTAGGATGGTCCCCTGGCCCAGGGAGGGCCCCACAGAGGGCCTGGCCCGAGCCTGTGCTGGCTGACAGCAGGGTGTGGCTGCAAGGGAGGGCTCTGGTCCACCTCAAAGTGCGCCTGTGCTCTGCCCCTGCTCATTAAACACAGGCACAGAAATAACAGGCTCGTCTGATGTTTTCAGATCGCTAACTTACTACCACGGCCAGTCACACGAACGTTAATCACCTGGCGGGTGGCCGGTCCGAGCAGTGGCTTGCCCGGGAGCTGGGCCGCTCGGGCTCGGGGCAGCGGTAGCTGTCAGCGTAGGCAGGCACGGCGTTGTCGTAGGGCCTGTATCTGGGCTCATACAGGCCGTAGACGTCCTGCCGGAAGAAGGGTTTGTGCAACGTTAGACATCAGAAGAGCCACCCATCAAGCAGCCGGCACGAGCTCTAAACGGCACCGACGATGGCCCTCTGGGAGCACCGGACGTGGGGCTTCCCTCGTGCAAAACAGAAAACCTACAATTTGAAATCCACAGCCACAGACAGGCAGCAGGATCTTCCTAAAAGGGACGGCCCTGGTCCCGCTCAGGAGAGGGTCACCATGTCAGTGGGCGGCCCCCAAGGGGCCGTGGAGGCCCTACGACTCCCCAGGTTTGTGTCCTGTTTCTGACCCCACCTCAGGTAAGCAAAATCTCCAGGGTTCCACTTGCATGGGCCCTGCAGCTATGGGCAGCCTCAAAGAGAGACCACACTCTATCCCTACAAGGCTTTCAGCCCATTCAGGCTGATGACCGGCCACAGGCTGATGACCAGATGCCTGGTCTCCAAGGAGCTGTCACGTGTGCACCTGAAGCAGCCCTCTGGTCTGCGAGCCTGACTCTCCGCCATCACCCGGCCGAAGGGGAGCAATCACGTCACACGGACTTATTCCCGACCACCACCAGAGACTGCGGCAACAAGACGGAAGGGCGGAAGGAAGTGGACTCCCGCAGGAGTGAGGCTGGGCTCTGGCTGGAGTTTCCTGGATGCACGTGGCATTGCTGCACAAAGAACCCAAAGCAGGCACACTGCTCCCCTCGTGCTCTGCCAGCCCTTCCCGGGCACCGGATGGACCTGAAATCCATTTCCATGTATGGAAACAGGAGTCCTTGCGGCTCCTTCCGGAACCTAGAATTCGCTAATCTCAGCAGTTAGGTGCGCCCTATTCACGCAATCCCAAAGATGCTCACAGTCTGCGAAGGAGACACAGGCTTCCTACCAGCGGGGGCTGCTGCCTGACCAGGCCCCAACCAGCCCTACGGCCCCGAGCTGCCGCTGAGAAGCTCCCAGCACGGCCACCTGCCCCCGCCCCTGGAGGAGTGTGCTTTCCGAACTTCTAATCTACACTCCTTTGACCTCTGACACTCTGCTGACCTTGAGCGATGCTGGGCTGGGACTAGAGTTGAGGAGAAGCAGATCACGATCCAATGCGTGCACTTGAACCCCATGTCAAAATGCCAGAGAACTGGATGAAACCCAACTCAACTTGCGTCACCGTGAACAGCAAGTGCTCTGTGTGGCAACACGGCCCCGACCCACTGCTGAGACCGACACGCGCGCAAGTTTACCAGATCTCCTCTCCCTTGACCTTTTCGTTTGGATTATGTTCTGATTGTACCTTTTCTCCCTAAATGTTTCTATTCTCCAGGAGGGCTTTAAAACACTACACTTTCCTCTTGTTAGGTAGGTTTTTCAGGTCAAAACCACACCGAAGCTTCAAGAAGCCATCCCAATTTCCCAAAGCATGCAGCTCAGAACTCAGGTCCTGTAGACAGCCCACTGGAGGGGCAGGACACAGAGGGCTCCTTGGCCACATAAGCTGGGGCAGGGCACGTTAAAAATTAATCAGGTATTCTACACCATCCAACACACGAGTGCGCAGTGTGAACCTGAAGAGATGGGCCGTGCCCAGCAGAGCAGGCTCTGGGAGCAGGGCTCTTTCCTCAAGCAGCGGTGCGCAGAAGCGGCCCTCTGCACGACGGTGGGACTCCAAGCCCCTTCTGAATTAAGCAACAACTCGGGAGAAAGGGACCACCAGTCACAGGATTCAACAGTGCAAGAGCCTGACCATACCTGGTAATAGAGAGAGGCTGTGCCAGGATCTGGCGGGTAGGGAGAGGGGTACTGCGACTGGTAGCCATCGTACAGGGGTCTATAATAGTAGTAAGATGCCAAGTCTGGGGGCGGAGGCTGCAGCCACTGCTGGTCTGACCGCGCGGCGGCCTGGCTCGAATTGGTGGACACGACGGACGCACTGGAGGACCGAGGCGGCCGAGGCAGTGGCTGATGACCCGTGTCGGCTGGAGCTGGACTTGCAGGCGGCGGGACCGAGTTTGGGGGCTGGCCCTGCACTGGCGGACTTCCTGGGTTGGAAGGTTCTGAACATGTTGCTCTGGGCCCTCGCTGAGGGGACGGTGATGGCTCCTGCTGAGCTCTCTCTAGGCCACGCTGGTCCTGAGCATCTTTTGTCACCTGTTGGTAGAAAGGGTCTGGGTTATGTGCCCCTGGCCCGGGCTGTCTAGGATTGGTGATGGTTTGCTGACAAGCTGGGCTGTCAGAACGGGACGGGCTATACATCCTTAGAGGGTTTTCCAAAGTCCTATTCAGTGTGAAGTCTAGGGCACCAGAAGTTTCTTCCCGATTACTGGAGGGATCTGCTTTATTACCAGCAGGTACCGAGGTAGCGTTTGCAGGTGGCACTAACATCACGCCTGTGTTTCCAGCAGGGTTACTAACCAACTCGGGAAGAATGTTCTCTGCGTTATGAATCTTTTGGCTTTCTGGAAGTAAGTTCTTTGGAACTGGATGAGGTGGCGGCTGAACCAGCAAATTAGCAGGTGGATTAGAAATGGTTTCTGAAGTGCCAGGAACCTGTGGAAAGCTGCTGTGCGGGAGACTCTTGGGCAGAGGCGAGCGGGTGAGAGCACCAGCCGGGACCCCCGACACGGGAGCGCTTTCTCCAGAGTCCCCGCCGACAGTCCGGCTACCTGCCATTGGTCTATCCCCCACCAAAGCATCTCTCCAGGGCGGATTCTTCTCACTAGGACTCGATAAGGACACAGAAAAATTAATGGGCTGAGCCAAGTTATAGCTCTGATCAGGCTGGGCAATCAAGACCGGCTGATTCTGCAAAGACTCAGTGGGCGGCGAGGACAAGAGGCTGGCGTAGCCGGAGCTCGCTGCCGACGGAAGGGCCTCCTCTTCTCCCATTTTGGGAGGGTTTTCGAGGTTCTCGGAAGCACCGATGCCCTCCCTGCTCTGCAGGGGGAGGCCAGGGCCTGGCTGCCGGGACTGCTGACCAGAAACCCCCTCGTCTGGAGGCTGAATCACCTCGGAGGGCTGAGGCCTCACGGGCGCATGCAGCGCAGGGGCGGCTGGGGCCAGGAGCACTCTGCCTCCGAAATCGGGGAGCTCATTCTGTGCCCACAAGGTCGTTACTGGGCTCTCGCACTTCACAGCTCCCTGGGCCCTGGCAAAAGGCCTTTTCTCAGCCGCCAGAAGCACGGTTTCCGAGGGCAGCCCCCCCGCGTGCCCAAGCTCGTGGTCGGCCTCCAGGGGTCCGGTCAAGGGCAGGGAACCGGCCGGGAGTGTGCACAGGGTCTCCAAGTTGTCCGGGGGCTGCTCCAGGTTGCCAGGGCAGGTGTCCGGCGGCACAGCAACAGGCCTGGGCTTCTTCTGGTGGGCTCCGGCCCCCCTCACCTCCCCCACCACCTTGGCTCGATCGGCCTCAACAGGTTTTACTCCAATGAAGTGGGATTTCACCGGCTCAAAAGAACTATTTGCACTTGTCTGGAATATTCCAGTGGGTTTGGGGGGGCTTGGGGTTGAGGGCTGGGACAGGCTGCAGCGGTGACTCTGGCTCCCGGCGGTCTCGTTGATCTCGCCTCCTATGGGAGAAGAATCAATTTGCTTGAAAAAGCTCCCCGAAGACTCATCTTCAGGTTTTCCAACTTCCTGCTGAATGAAAGTGCCCACCAGGTCTTGAGGCCTGGCTGCACTCGAAAGATTCCTGTGGCTCTTGCTGCTGTAACCGGATGACACGCTATCGGATCTCACAGGGTGTGGCGTTGAATCCGGGGCCTCGAGATTTGGGCCCCCGCCTCCAGCTTGGGCCACACCACTGAGCCTGGGGATGGCTGGCCCAGGAAGGGGACCGTATCTGAGCTGATCGCCTGGGGCGGAAGGGTCCAAACTTAGGGGCTCACTTGGCAAAACTTCCTGATTCTGAATGAACTCTAAGTCCTCGACGTTCTCATACTGTGAGCTGCCGGCAGCGTGAGCCCCTGTGCCTGCCGCACCGCCCCATGCAGCGACAGCAGCGCTCACTGTGGCTGGTCTATCAGGCTGGACGCCTGCAGACTGAGAGAAATAAGGCTGCGGGTGTCCTCCCTGCTGCGTGGCCTCGTTGTTGGAACCTCTGGGAAAGGCGTGGTAAATGCCACCCACTCCCACACGTGCGGAAGCGTGACCAAGTCCAGGGCTGGGGGAGGAGCCATCTAAGTCAGACCGACCAGCAAAGCTTGTTTTCTCAGATGAAAGGTTCTCCTCGTTTTCCGCCTCCCCGCCATGGAAGAACATGGAGAGAGCCCCCAAGTCCACTTCCGGCAGGACCTGGCTGGTGTCGGCCCCTGAGGGGTAGTGCAAATGGCTTTCTGGGATATTTCCCTGAGCGAGGGGATTAACGAGAGCAAGGTCTGGCAACTGCTCTTTATTCACTCCTGGATGTGGCCTGAGCTCCTGGCTTGCCCGAGTACTCCCAGCTCTAGAATTTTGCCTGAACGCATTTTCAGGATCAAAGTTACTTGTTGACTGGCTTCCGCTCTGTAGGTAGGCTGCCTCATTGCTGCTTCCGTCACCAGCCAAGGGACCTGGCAAAGACACCGATGGGGTGAGTTGCTCGTGGCCAGGACCGTGATGCAGGCTGGACGGAGCAGGGTAGGGGGGACCACCGGACGTGTGGGGCACCGCGTTCTGAACAGGTCCTTCTGGGCGGGGCCAATAACGTTGACCTGGGGTCTGTGGGCCTCCCTGCCCCGCCCCCCACTGGCCTGGCATCTGCTGACGAGGCTGAGGGAAGAAAGGGGCTGGCGCCCGTGACGCAGCGCTGTCGTGTGGGTTCTGCCGACTCAGGGGTCTCTCGGGCCCAAGCATGGCCGCGTGTGGGTGGCCCCCGTGAGAACCGTTGGCACCAGTTCCCGGAATGTGAGGATACGGCAGAGCCTGCACTTCGGGTTCTGCGCCGGGAGCAAGCTCGGCACTCCTGTTCAGCTCGGGCTCCGGCGGCTCTGAAGGTGTCGACATACTGGAAAATAGAGTGGCGTCCGCTGTGGGCCGTGACCCAGGTCCCTGGGAGGTATCCCCAGCATTCGTGTGGGGCACAGGCAGACCAGGGCGCTGGAGGAGCGCTGGCGGGGCCGGGCCCTGCAGAACGGGCACGCTGCTTTTGGACGCACTGCCCAACGGTGTACTTTGTAGCGCCTGTCTACTGAAAGCAAACGGATCCGTCACCGGCTGCAACGGGCAAGTTATCGGGGTCACTGGTGCATTACTGTTTGCCTGTCTCCTGTACGATCTGTTGGACCAGAACAAGCTCTGAGGACTCCCGGCTGGAGGTGGCCTGACCACGCCTGACGGGGCTGCCTGGGGTGGTGGCTGCATGATGGGTCTTTTGCACGACTAGATGCCGCTGGCAGAAAGCAGCAGAATACAGGTGTTCCTTGATCTAAACAGAGAAAGAAAAAGAAGAGATTAGCATAAAATCCATATATTCAAACTCCCAGTTGGAATTAGGAGAACTAAGAAAACAGAGGAAGGCTGGAAACAACTTGGGGGTCTGCACCCGGCTGCTCCCACCCCGCTCACCCCCAGAACTGCACCCCGGAGGGGCCGCGGCCGGTGAGTGCAGGTGAGCGCAGAGACAGGGCCGTGGCCAAACTGGGATGCAAACGCCGGCCGTGCCCTGAGCTCACCGACTGACTTCAGACAAGTCCCTGCCTTCCCTGGGGTTCAATTTCATCGCCCGGCTAAGCACCCCCGTGGAACGCTTGATGCCTCCGTGATGCCCTCACCGCAGGCAGAGATGAAGGAAGCAAACCTAACTGCTGGTCTGATTTACCACCAGGTACACGGACATCTTCCTGTAAGTCATCAGCAGATGCAGAAAGAGCCAACTCCCCTATCAAGATGGCACTGTCATACTTTTCACACAGGTTAATACGAAGTCTTGAAATGAAAATGAAAGTTTAAAACGTGCACTTCCATTTTAATGAAAAAGCGTTCTAAAGCACTAAGTGATACAAGCTACAGACTCTGAAATATATAAAAACACTTCTTATGCCACCGTGCGGAATGTCTCATTTTCTGCGCTGTGCCTGGTTGACACCGTGAGCAGAACAAGTCGCCTCTGACTGCGAGGGCTGTAAGAAGGGAGTCCGGATTTGAAAGCCCCAATTAAAGCTGAAGCAGCTTTAAAACTGACTGACTTGGTTCAAACATTTTCAATCATAGAGTCCCCACAAACCTTTTACAGAAAACAAAACAGTCTTTAGAGTGTTTTGTGGTCGCAAGTACTGGTGGCAGCTTTTGTTTTTTATTAAATACACCAAACGTAATCCTGAACAGTTAAACTGCAGTTTTAAGACCAAAACCCAAGTACTGTCTCTTTACCGTCTTTTTCTGTGTACGAGTCCTCGCCCTAGTGCCACATGCACAGACAGACAGATGAAGTTTAACCGATGCGAGAGAAAAGTAAACACCAGAGGGAGAAATGGGAGAAGGACTCCAGAGTTTAACCCACACGTTTCTGCAGCCGCACAGCACTTTTGCTCTTGGAAATCTTTCTGAGAGTCCATAAAAAAAATTTGTGAATGTATTTTAAGTAAAGCTACTTACAGCGAAGGCTCCCCCCACTCTCTGGAAACGAGCCCGATGACTCTATTAGCCCACTACCACCACGGCCCACCCGTGTCTGTCCTAGGCCACCAGGGAAGCCCTTCGCACTGACAGGCACCCCAAAACTCACTTCAATTTAATGGACTGTACTGGGGACAGCACTGGAGGCTTCATCTGGTTCTAAGCTGTCATTTTAGAAGAAAGAATACGTGCAGCTCAGGTTTACGAGGACTGAGTGCACAACAAGCACGACCTCTTCCTCTTCTCTGTGGACACAGGCGCCCAGCATGTCTTCCAAAACACCACTTCCTCCTTGCCAGGCTCCAGTAGGAGACCTCAACCACTCTAAGCATCTGGAAAACAGAAGCACCAAAGAGCAGAGGCCCAGAGCATCACATGGCAGGGGCGTGGCTGTGAGAGCAGGGCCCCAGGCACGCCTCCTCTCTTCCTGCCACCCAGCCTCTTCACCTGTAAAGTGAGAGTCTGAGGCTCCTCTCGGCTCTGTGTCACAAAGTCCTGCTCACGGTGGGTTCTGGGACGCCCCACACAGAAATGCCATCAAAAGGCCAATGACATACCTATGTCAATGTTCTCTTGCAAGAAACTTTCTCAGCTCCTGAAGAATCATTTCACAGGCAAACACTATCGCTTCCTTATAAAACAAAATCTCCCCCACCCCCACCTGAGAGCGTTTTAACATTATGCCAATCTCACCTGAAACGATCCTGAACGTGAACATTATCCTCTGATCTTTCTTCTCTATTCACGAACGGACATACCGCCTATCATTTCTCTGCTGACGCCAGTGACTTCATCCCAGCCCCTAAGTCCTTCTACACCAAGGCATCTGACTTTGAAAAGACACTGGCTGCTTTCCTTAAACACACGTTACTCATGAACCTGGCCCTGCCACGAGACCACCTAGTTTCTACGCGAAACACTTAGGCACAACCGATCTTTGATCTTCGATCCAAACTCCTGGCTAAGGAATGGAGATACTCAGGGCCCATTCGGAGCTGCCACCGCCAACTGTACAGTGTGGACCAGCAGGAGCGCCAGGGAGCCGGAGTCCCCCCTTTGCCACGACGTCCCTCTCTGAGACTGTGAGCCTCAAGTCCCCGTCAAGACTACGGGGCACTCGACACAAAGACACCGCAAACTCCAACTTTTCTAAGTACAGCCCCCAACACCTCTAGACGTTAACATGAAGGGGGGTCTAAACACCGCTAAGAATGGCGAAGATCCGGGGGACACACGGACAGTCAGGGAAGAATCATTAAAACATACACACTGCCCTGAAGGTTCAGTACAATTTCCAGACTTACTGGTGTTCAGGGTGAACAAACTGCAGAACAAGAAAGCACTCTTCTGCCTCCTGCCTCACCTTTGCTAACAGAACACCAGCCGGAACCCTAAGAAATGGCGCGGGGGCGGGGGGGGGGGCCTGGATGTGCGGAAACTCGCCCAAGTATTGCTCTGGGAACAACCGTGTGTGACTCAGCTTGCCCCCTGCCCTCCCCGGTCACCATCTGCATTGAATGTACTCAAAATCTGGCCTTAAGCAGCCCAGGCCCCGTCTCCACACTGCGCACAACTTCTGAGGTGAAGCAGCAAGACCGATTTTAAATGGCTGTGATGCGCCCAGACGCTCTATACAATCCTTTCGCCACAAAAACTCTACTAATTTCATTACATGGTCCCGTGACCCCTCACGTAAAACACTGGTGCAGCGTCTCCGTCACTTGGCCACGAAATGCAAATCTGTCTCATCACCAGCTTGGCTCAGGAAAAACCGCCCAACCAGTGAGGACAAAACAACTTCCGAACCTTCGAGGCAAAGGACACGCAAAACTGTTGAAGAAATTTCCCAAATGTCTGCATTCCTTGAAAGTGGCGGTCTGGTCTATCTTCACCATTCCAACGCAACCTTCCCTCCATCGAGGCCGGCAGGGCGAAGACAAGTGTCAACACGGCGGAGCCCGACAGGCACTTGCCACACAGCCGGCCATACCTGCGGGGTCCACGTCAGTCTGACCAGGCGGCCGACAAAGGTGCAGAAGGCGGCAGGAGGGTCGCTCACCCGGCCACCCCTGACCCACCCCGGCCTTGCAGGTCCCTGCCCCCCCCCGGGGACCCTGCCCGAACGCTGGCGGCACCCGGAGACGCGCCATCCGCTCAGGGCTGGGCCCGGCCCGGCCCCTTCCCTCCGCCCGACCCCGGCGCTCACCGGCGCGCCACAGGGCGGCCGAGGCCCGCACCGGTTCCGGTTCCTGCCCGGCCCCTCAGCGACCCCTGGGCCAACCCCTCAGGAGCCACCGGCGGAAGCCGGCCGGGCTGCGGCGACAAGCGCAGACACGACAGCCGCAGCAGCCATCTTGGCACATCCGGCTCCGGCCGCCGCGCAGCCGACGTGTCCGACCCCGACGTCAGTGCGCGCCACGCCTGCCCACCACGCCCATCGGCCCCGCCCACCCCAGCTGCTCCCGTGACGCGGCGCCGCGTACGTTAGCCCGGCCCCCCTCCGGCGTTTGGTCCTTCGCCGGCCATCTATTGGTCCGCCCCGTTGGCCCCGCCCCTCGCCCGCGACCAATCTTTCATCGCTCTTCCCTTCGTTCCGCCCCCTTGGCCCCGCCCCCCCGAGCCCCCGTAGTTCACCGCTCATCCCTCCGTTCCGCCCCCTTGGCCTCGCCCTCTACCCCGCCCCCCTGCGACGCGCCCTTCGCCCACCTGCCGGGCCGGGCGCGCGGGGTACTGCTCGGAGACGCCGCCCTGATTTTGCCAGCTCTTTCTCCCAGTCTTTTCTCGTCCTAGGCTGTGAGGAGAGTAAGCGTTTCTCAGTCATACCCAAGTGAAGAGCCAGTCCTGAGCGACCGAGGCCAGCAGGAGCACCCACGGACAGCGGCTACTCGGCAGCGCCGCGGACCCGAGCGGAGCCCTGGCGCGGGCGCGACCCTCCCGTTTGGCCGTTGGACTTCCTCCAAGGCGAGGAGACGGGCGTGAGGAAGCTGCGCATGCGCCGGGCGCCGCGGCGGGCTACGCGTGCGCACCTCCCGGCGGCTCCGGTTGCCTGGTTACGGCCGCTCGCGGCTCCGGGTTCCAGTTCTGCCCGCGAAGTTCGTTTCCGTCCACGCGCCGCGCTCGGAAAGCCGTGCCCGTCTGCCCCGCGCAGAGCCCCGGAAGGGCCCGCAGGCGCCCGTCGAGGCCCCCTGCCCGCCCGGCCCCCGGCCGCAGCCACGCCACGCCGGCCCCGGGCTCGCGCCGTCCGCTCCTCTCCCTGCCGCGCCCTGGTCCCTAGAGGCCTGGCGCCCTCCGCGCCCGGTCTCGTCCCCGACGCCGCGTGGACCGAGGCCAGGCCTCCGTTCGGTGTTCCGCCGCCTTAAGCGGGCGTGTGCGTTGAAGGAGCGCCTCCCCCAGGCACCGAGTGTCAGGCTGGGCTGCCCTGCCAGCCGCCTGCTCCGCCCGGAGAATGTCACCATCTGAGCCCTCCCATGGCGGATCTTAGGGACGAGGGGGTGCTGCCGTTTGCATCCTCATTTTCCCAGCGAGAACCCGGAGGTTCAGTAGGTGAGGAAGCAGCCAGCCAGGCCCGGCCCACGCACCCACACTGCCTGCCAGGGAGAGGGAAAGTCCCCACTCACCCCAGCTCCTTCCAGAGGGCAGGAAGCGTGGCAAGGGTGCCCACCCGCTTGCATCCCCCTGTGGTCGAGCTCCCTGCGGCTGCTGCCACTAGTGCAGCAGCGACTGAGGCAGGCCCTGGGGTCGGAGGACTCCCTGGTCACCCGGGGGACTCAGAAGCCTGGGAAGAAGGAAGGAGCGAGGTTCAGCTATTTGTTTGCTGTGACGTTGGCAGGGAGCAGCCACGCTGTCAGGGCCCCAGCGGGTGCGGGGAGAGTTTCAGTCCATCTGACGTGGCCACTCTGCTAAGCTAACATTTGCCTTGCAGAAATGGAGATCCGATGTCAACACAGAGGAGGTGATGGGACTCAGCCCTGCACCCCACTGCCCTTGATCCACTTCTTCCTACAGGTCACGGTGCTATGCAGTCACTTTGTCCCAACAAATCGCTCCACAGGGAGAGAGATGGCACTGTTGACCTCCTGACGGGGAAAGCAGAGGCAGAGGTGCTAGAGCCCGTCCCCTCTCCACTCCTGCTAAGCCTCTTTGAGTGGAGGCTGTGCGGTTCTTGGCCATTTGTGGCCTGGTGTAGAGGAGAGAGTTCTGGGCCCGCAGTCGGTCCTGGAGGCCGGGGCTCTGAGTCACAGGCCCTCCGCTTCAAGGCCCAGCCTGCTTCCTAGGTGCTGTGTGCCTTTTGTCAGCTTCCTCGACCCCCCTGATCGCCACGTCCTCGGCAACCTGAATCCAGGCGGGGTGAGCACCTGGACAATTTGGGGACCCAAAGGAGGTGCGATTGACGCTTCTGCCAGAGCAGCAGGCATGAACCGGACTGCCCTGGACCTGATTCTGGCTGCGGAACAAGCAGGGGCCCACGCTGTGGGGGCGCCCAGGCCATGACAGCTGGTGCTGTTCCCAAGTGAGCGTCCCTCCCTTCGCCTGCAGTGTCCCTCATTCTCTCCTCCCTCCTCATCCTCCCAGGCTCCCAGAGGCTGGATACACATGCCACCACCTCCCTGAAGCCCCCCCCCCCCATGGGGGCTAGAGTCAGCTGCTCTTTGTGGAGGGCGAGGTTGTTAGTTTCTCCTGCAAAGTGCTGTGCCCAGGGCTGTAGTCACGTGACCCCGAGGACACAGGGCTGCAGACTTGCCAGGACACCAGGAAGAGGCCGTGCCAGAGAGCCAGGCTGTCCTTTCCATCATCACAGCACTCTGTCACGCTGTGTTCTCAGGGTCACCATGGTCAGCCTCTCCCAGTAGCCTGCACGGCCCCGGGAGGATTGGCACCGAGTGCCCGACAGGGGCCGATCTGAGCTGAAATGGGACCTCAGTACACGTTAGAGGCCAGAGTGCCAACAAGGTAGAATAGCCCACGGGCAGCTCCTTATCATCCAAATGATACTAGTTTGGAGACACTGAGTTAAATATAGTGTTAAAACTTCTTTAATCTGTTTCCCTTTTTAAAAGTAGCTAGTAGGAAGTTTAAAATTCCCTCCGTGCCTGGCATCTTTCCACTGGACAGCACTGGTCTAGACAGTGAGCACATTGTGGGAGGGGGTCAGGGGTCACTCCCCTCACCCCCGCCCCATGCAGCAACCTGGGGCTGTAGCTTCCTAGATTGTGGAGCTGACACCCAGCCATTTAGGTGATTGTGGAAGGAGCCCTTGGTGGAGGGCAGCCTCAGTCTTGGTGTAGGCGAAGGCTGGTGGCCGTGGCCTTGAACCCCTGCCCCTCGCCCCTCCCGGGCATAAAGTAGCTGCAGGAGGTGTGGTTTGTAAGTGGGTGTTTGTAAGACGGTCCTGCTCCACAGCAGGTGCTCGGCTCAGCCCCCCCGACTCTAGCCCTCGGTCGTGGGCACTGAGGCTGGGGGCGTGGGAGGGGGCTGCTGGACTCAGCCTGGAGATAGCAAGGGGCTGCCTCCGTGAGATGGGCCTGGCTGCACGGTCCGGGCAGAAAGCACATTAGGGCCTCAGAGGTGGAAAGAGCTGGCAGAGACAGCTTCTGGAAGAGTGGGCCGTGCAGCTCAGGAGGTCTGGAGAGGAAGGGGACATCGGCTTCTTCAGGAGACGGCAGGTCTGGGGGCAGAGAGAGCGGGCGTTTGGGCTGGTTCTGTGGCACCTGTGCGTCAGGCCCCCATGGTGCTGGCGCCTGTCCGTGTGCATCTAAGTTGGCTTGTGGTGTGTGGCCTGGCCTAGCACGGGGGGCGGGGGGGTGCAGGCTCCGTGAGGGCGCAGCCGGGGTATAAAGCCAGAACTGTTAGATCGTCCCGGACCCCTGGGAGGCCTTGCGAGAGAAAATCCACATCCGGGCTGGGCTTGATGAATGTCCCCACCATCCGCGGCGTCACCAGCACGAGCGTGCCACTGTCTCTCTCATCCCTCATCTCCGGTGTCTGCAGACGTGCCTGGCGCCCAGCAAGCCTCAGAGAACCGTTCTTCCGTAATCACTGAGCCAAGGACTAAACGTATAAGGCGACACCATAAGTGACAGGGGTGTCACAGAAAGCACCAGAAGGACCCGGATGCCACACCAGTAGGGCCACAGAAAATCAGAGCCACGGGACAAAGTGAGGAGTGTCCTGTTGGCGGCAGCAGGACCCCGGAAAACCCCAAGAGACCTTTTTCATAAAACCGTGTGCGGTCGTTGGCTGGGCCCCCACCGCGTGCCCGGCGCTGCTAGGAGCTGGGGTGTGGCCACAGACCAGCATGTCAGGCCTCCCTTAGGGGACACAGACTCTGGACAGCTGCAAATGAGCCCTGAGGGGCTGGGGGGCACCGGGCGGGCACCCGACGGGCCTGGATCCCACCTGCTGCCTACCCGGGTAGAGGTAGGGACGGAGGAAAAGGGACACTTGTGGCCGAGGCAAACCGAAGCTTCTGTGGCGGCGATGGGCAGAAACCAGAGAAGTGGGAGACAGTGGGGAGCTGGCGGGTGTGCACTGCCTGGGCTCGGGGGCCCTGCACTCGGTCTCTGGAATCAAGAAAGGTCTCAGGGCCTTCCCGGCAAGAAAGCCATCGTCCATCTAGCCTCCCCCACCCTGGAGTCGGGCAAATTGCTAACAAGAGCCAGGAGCCCAGGAGGCGGCCTTGGGTCCCCGGGAGGGCTGAAGGCCAGGTGACTCCCAAGGGCAGGACCCGGCTCTCTCGCTGCCAGCCGCACCTGCAGCCCCGCCCTGCACAGCACCAGCGCTCCACACATCAGCCAAAGGAGCAAGCAAGACAGGAAGGCGAGTCCTGAGCACTGGTGGGGACTTAGGTTACAGGCCTGGGCTCGGGGGCCTGCGGGACCGTGAACTGGGAAGACCAAAGGGCCCAGGGGGGAGCGTGGAAGAGGCCTGAAACCTGCCCATTGCCAAGTGCCCGGCTGGCTGAAGCACTGGGTCCTGAGCAGCCGTGCTCCT